CGGCAGCCTTGGGCATGGCCGGCGCAGGAGGAGCGGCAGGGGCAGAGCCACCGCCGAACGTGGGCGGCGCATTCGGCTTGGTCGCACCTGGAAGAGCGCGAGCCTGCGGGCGGTGCTGGGAGCGGCCGGCCATCGCAGCGGGAGCCTTCTTGGGCGCCTTCTTCACCTTCGGCTTGCGGGGCGGCATGGGGTTGGAACGCGCCGCTGGGTTCTCGCCAGGGCCGACGGTGATAGTGTGCGACTTGTACGTCGGCTCGCCGGCACCCTTGACGGCCTTGATCGTGCTCTTCTTGTTTTTCTTCATGTACTCGATCGTCGGGCCGATGTTGACGGGAATGCTGCCACCGACCTCGGTGAGAATGACGCACGTCATCTCCGTCTTCAGCGGGCAGGTCAGCACCGGGTCACCCTCCTCGCACGGCGGAACGTTGAGGATGATGAAGTCGTCGCGCAGGTTCGTCATTGCAATCGACTTGATGGACGAAAGCGGGATCTTGCGCTCCAAGGTCGTCGTAACACGTCCGTCCTTCGCCATCGAAACAACGATGTACAGCGCCTTATTCGTAACGATCAGGAAGCGAGGCGAAAGCTTCGAAGAACGGCCGAACTTGGACACAAGAATCTCACCACGCGAGCTGAAGGAGACTGTCTCCCCACCGCCGATGCCAGCAGCGTTGCGGAGCAGCTCGCCCTGCGGTGACCGACCTCCGACGTCGAGGTAGTCTCCCATGAACTTGCGCATGCCGAGGAGCGAGAAGCGGCGACGTTCCTTGCGGCCCGCGAGAACGTCATGTCCATAGTCCCGCTTCTGCGCGTAGACGAGGTTCTCTTTCTGACCACGCCAAAAGCGCTGGATCTTGATCGCAGCCTCCTCCTTGCGGCGGACGTATGCACGCCACGCACGCTGGATACGCGTGGCCATTGTGTGCCAGTAGCGGTCACGCTCGCCCTCGAGATAGAAGAGTGTCTCCGGGTTCTTGATGAATGCCTTCGTGACACCCATCTGCCACTCGTCCTTCGAGATCTTGGCGTCCTGCAGAATCGCCTCACATCCGGACCGCGCATCGCCCTCCCAGATGTAGTCACCAGCGTACGAGGTGCGGGGCGAAAGGAGGTAGAAGCGCTCCACCATCTTCTGGAAATCGGCACGGTAAGCGAAACCGGCACGACGCACACGGATGTTCTCCTGGAGACCAAGGTATTTGATCTGATGGAGAATCGCCTTATCGTCGTACTCGGTCGGCGAACGATTCTGATTCGGCTTGATCGTACGGATGTAATGCGGCTGGCACTGCATGAGGTTCGTGACAAGCTCGTTGGCGGACTGCTTGATCTTGTCGCCGGCAGTGGGGGGACGCTTCTTCGACGAGTGGTCGACCTTCTCGGGGAACAGAGTGTGCAGGAAGGGGTCCTTGCTTCCCTCAATGAGGTCAAGGATATCGCGCGAGAGCTGATCCTTGTTCTTGTCCGTCATACCCGAAACGTTGTAAAGCACGTCTCCGGCGTAGTGCTTGATCAAGAACTTCTGGCCGCGGGACTCGAAGTTGGGGTTCGAGCTCAGCATGCTGGAACGCTGGATGAACGAGTTGTCGGCGGCAGCAGGGTCGGCGTGGGCGGTAGCAGTCGCATCGTTCAGCGTCGCGAAGATACCGGCGGGTCGCTTGCCCTCGATCAGGTCGCATACAACCTTGTTGTCGAAGACTGACTGTCAGCGGGGTTACTGGGGTTAACTCACATTTGATGGGTGTCCACTTGATCTGTTCGCGGACATACTCCTCCTGCTCTGCCTTGAGTGTAAGCTCGATGAAAATCTGTTGGAGCTTCTCGTTGACGTAGTTGATGCAGAGCTGTTCGAAGCTGTTGTTCTGGAAGATTTCGAAGCCATAGATATCAAGAACACCAATAACGTAGGAGGCTTGCTGCTGGGGCTTCATCGAGAGGTTGACACGACTGACAATCCACTCGAAGAGGTTGTTATACAGCGCCTTTGCAAGTGCGTCTCGGCTCGCCTGGGCCTGAGGCACGTTCAGCGGCACCTCGTAGACTGAGCCTCTTCGTCCTCCACGCTGGGTCTCCATGATACGGATGCGAAGTGCCTTCTGCACCGTCGTAGACTCGCCGTTCATGAGGTATCCGACAAAGTCCGTAACTCCGGTGTCAACGATCTCGGCGTTGCCGTCGTCGCCCTCCTGGAACTGGACGTTTCCGAGCCACAAGATTGTCGCGAGTACACGGAAGATGGAGGTCTGCTCCTCTTTCGTGAGACCAATGATATCCATCGCGCGCTGACAGTCAGCTAACAATCCGGGCTATTATAACTCACCAAAGTCTCCTTGAAGTCGTTCTGGTCGTTGATGCTGGGGACATCGAGACACTGGCTCTGGCTCGTGTAGTAGTACGCTTCGGGGCCCTGGAGACCGAACTCTTCACGCTGCTCCGCCGAAGCTCCTTTCGTGAACTGGTAGAAAATGTGGAAGTCACGCTCGTTCTTGATCTGTCCGACGACACGGTTCTGAGAGTTAGCAGGGAACGAGCATCTTCACTCACCTTCTCCAGGAGGTAGTTCGTGATCTGGGCACCGACTGGCTGTCCCAGGTCGTTGAACATGATCTCGAGATACTTTCCGTGTCGACTGGAGTTGTCGTTCCTGAGCGTCTTCGCACAACCGAAACTCTCGAGTAAAGGGTTGGTAGCCAGGACCATCTCCTTGACGTTCTCGATGCCGCTTCCGCTGCCTTCGCCTCCGGACACAGCCGCAATGTACTGCATGATGCGCTTGGCAGCTTCCGTCTTGCCTGCTCCCGATTCTCCGGAGATGATAACGCACTGGTTCTCCTTCTCCGTCGTCATCTTGTAGTAGGCGGTCTCCGCAATGGCGAACACGTGTGGCGGCACCTCGAGACGGTTCTTTCCTCTGTATGACTGGAGAACGGCATCGGTGTAGATGCCGAGATCTATCGTTAGCTCCGAGACCCAAGCGCTTCCGTAAGCTCACCTCGGAAGGGATTGACCGAAATCAACACATGCGCAATGTAAGTCTTGGCGGTCAGCACTGCCTCATGCGCAGTCGGTCGCTGGTAACTCACGTAGATCTCCTGGTTAAAGAATCGAGCCTTGAGGTTATCGTTGATGGCCTCGTTGGTGATCGTACTCAGAAGCGTCATGTCCTGGACACCGGCTGACTTCTTTTTGTTCATACCCTCGGACCAGTCCGCCTGTCTGTGTGAGCGCGATGCCAGGTGGAGCTTCATGATGCAGCGCATACCTTTGCAACCTTCTGCGGCTTGGCTACACCTGCGCTGGACAGCAGGCCGCCAACCTTTTTCTTCTTGCCCCCGATAGCCTGCATGTTGTCAGCTAGGTTCTGCTTTTCGGGCAACAGCAAAGCTCGATGCGGGGCCGTGCTTGCTTCTGTTGACCTTTAGTTGGACGTACCATTGTGACGATTGACTACGGTGCAGGGCGAAAGTCGAAGTGGGTAGCTAGTTGGTAGTCCTAGACCGAGATCCGGACAGCTGGGTATAGATCGAGATAGGTCGAAGAGAGCAACGCAAAGGTTTTGCGATACCGTCGCAGACTAAGTGCAATGTCGGGCTTCAAGCTGTGAGCGACGACGACATCACCACTGCCAGCTGCCCTTGATGCTGGCTGGGGTAACTCCGTCATCGCTTAATGGCGAGTCGGGATCAATTACACGTGGCGTCATCTCGCCTGCCTTCACGGTCTTGACCACTACCAACCCCTCTCCATTAGACGCTCTCCACAGAATCTCTTGCATCCATCCCACTACATGACCGACGTGAAGCGCCCCTACACCCTCCCACCGGGTCAGCGGGGTCCGATGCGCCGCGAAATGGCCCCCATGCCGGCAATCCCGCGCCAGAGCGATTTTGGCATCCATGAAGTGAGCAAAACGCTCCGTCGTTTCGTCGCTCCCAAACTGACGGCCAGGTGTGGGCAGACAACCTCGAGACCGAGTTCGCCGCCCTTCGTGCTGCCGTTGACAAGTATCCCTTCATCTCCATGGTGAGCTATGGGGTCGGTAATCCAGCTGACTGTCAGGACACCGAGTTCCCCGGTATTGTCGCGCGTCCTATCGGTACCTTCAAGACTGGCTCGGACTATCACTACCAGACGATGCGCTGCAATGTCGACATGCTCAAGATCATTCAATTAGGAATTACACTTTGTGACGAGGAGGGAAACAGCCCGGAAGGCATGACGTGGCAGTTCAACTTCCAGTTCAACCTCGCGTGGGTACAACGGGTGTCGGCTTACGCTACTAAGGCTGACGATTTAGCGACGACATGTACGCTCCGGAATCGATTGAGCTCCTGAAGAACTCTGGAATCGACTTCAAGCGTAACCAGGAGGACGGAATCGATGTCGAGTACTTTGGCGAGCTGCTTGTCACCTCTGGACTGGTGCTGTTCCCGAACATCAAATGGGTCTCATTCCACTCTGGTTATGACTTCGGTTACCTTCTGCGCATCTTGACGTGCGAGCCGCTGCCGGCGACGGAGAACGACTTCTTCCGGTTGCTCTTCATCTGGTTCCCGTGTATCTACGACATCAAGCACGTCGTGCGGAGCGTGAAGACCCTTCGAGGAGGTCTGCAGGAGATTGCCGAGTCGCTCGGCATCCAACGGATAGGTCCCCAGCACCAGGCGGGAAGTGACTCGCTCCTGACCGCCGCCGTGTTTTTCAGGATACGCTCGACCTACTTCAACAACGAGCTCGATGACAACTACTACAAGTGAGTTCATGGTACTTTATCGCGAGCTGACCGATCAGGAACTACCTCTACGGCTTCTCCAGCGGACGCAGCCCTCGCCCGCCTGGAGAGACTACCAAGCCCCCATCCCCGACCCCGGCAGCGCAGCTCCTGGGCGGGGAGAAGCCGTACTAGGCGTAGAGGGTGTAATTGAGCTAGATCGAGCCCCTTCACCTTATGAGGAGCTCACGAGTAGATGACTGTGAGGCCATTGTACGATATACCCCAGGCCTTTGTTACACATGACACACCACCATGCATGATGTTGCCTATCTACGATCTGATAACTGCCACGACTGGGAAATTGAAGGGCGGGCCGTATAGCTTTGATGCTCTGCCCAGGAACTGCAACCTTCCTCGTTTGTTATTCACGTTCCGGCTTTGTTAGAAAACTAAAGGGCGATCCGACGAGGCTTTGTCAGAAATGCACGCATCATGGGCTTTAAAGACGATTCAGCCCAGGAAGACCGGTAGTGTATTATGTGTTGGGCGGACGCAACAACAGATTGATCCTTATGGTCCTAGCTGCTGAACTGATCAGATAAGACCCGCGATTGGCAGCGGCCCGAATGTCCGCCCTCAGACTTCGGCGCAGTAGCGCGCAGCCCGCTGCGCACTCCGTCCCCGGTTGGATGAACATTTGTCGCAAAAGTCAGTCCCATACTGACCTAATTGCCACCAGAAGGAGACGCAGCAAGTGAGCTGAACGGATACGGAGAGTGGATCATCTCAAGAGCAGACACACGTCGGATGCGCATGCGCCAAGTCGCGGCGACCTTGGAGGTCAGGAGTGAATGCACGAAACAGACGCCCCTTTTCCTGACACGCGCTACAATCCCAGCTGGCGTGCCACGACGAGATAATCGTCGCCGCGGAACCAAAAGCGGTGGCGATCACTGTGAGCGCCGCCCTGGCTCGAGGCCGCGGCACCGCCAGCCGCCAGTTCTCTGACACGATCTGCTATCTTTGCTCCGTCGACTTCACAACTCACGCCTCACAACTCCACTCCACACTCGGGTTGGGCTCTGTCCCTCCTCAATTTCTCATTCAGACCACCCATGCTGCAACGATAAACGACACGACGACACGACAATGGACATCGACACCCCTCCCCCAGATCTTAGCCCGTTGCCGCTGCCCGAGTTCAGCGCGTCCTTTCCTCTCCCCTTCCGCGTGCTCTTCCTCATCGGCTTCGCCATCCTCCTCTGGGCTGTCAACCTCCATGTCCTCTCCGCGCTGGGTCTGGACGTTTCCTGGGTGCTAGACATCCGGGACGGCGACGATGGCGACTACAACGTTGACCTAGACACACCGCTACCGATGACCACGCCCGATGCCTCTCGTTCCGCCTCGCCCGCGCACATGGGACCAGTGTCCCGTCCCGAGAGCACGAAGCTGTACGGACCAGTTTATCGGCTGTTCCTCCTCTACACGCTCTGGGTGGGAGGAGGCTGGCTCCTGTTCCGCTTCATCACCGGAGACGACACCTCGGCCATGGAACGATGGCGCGGTCTCATTGCCGCCATTGCCCTGGTTCCGACTCTCCTGTCGCTGACTCCGTGGCGTGGCCCGGCGTACCGCGAGCGAAAAGCGCTCCGCCGATCAATGTGGCGCTGCCTGTTCCCGCCCGCGAACTCGCCTATCTTCTTCTGCGACGTGATCTTCGCCGATATCCTGACCAGCTTTGCCAAGGTCCTTGGTGACTTCATCGTTTCCGCCGGACAGGTTCTGTTCGGAGGCGTGTCTCACGGACGAGAGGCACCGGCTGGACTGGCCAAGTGGGTCACTCTGGCAATGGTTTGGTAAGTGTTATCTTCAGGCTTCGAATACCCATTCCATAACAGTAGCTGACCGCAGTTTACCCTACGTGATCCGTTTCCGCCAATGCGTTGTGGAGCTGTACCACTCGGACTGGAAATCGCTGCGACCCCTTGCTAACGCGTGCAAGTACGCCTCCGCGTTCCCGGTTATCTTCCTTTCGGCCGCGCAGAAGATCGTCGTACAGGACGTAGCCGCCGCCAAGGGCATCACGGAGGCGCAGTTGAACCAGTCCGGTGATCGATGGTTCGGCGAGCACCGGTTATGGCGCCTGTGGCTGCTTGCAGTCATCGTCAACTCCATGTTCTCATTCTACTGGGACGTTGAGAAGGACTGGGGCCTGTCCCTGCTCGAGCTGGAGACCTGGGCGCCAAGTAGCATTCTGAACCGGTTGAAGAAGCTGGTTTCCCGCGAGCCGGAGCGCTACGATCGGAGCCCTGGGCCGCGAGGCTCGACGAACACCCCGCCGGAACACTGGGGACTGCGCCCTGTGCTTCTGCTTCCAGACGCTGGAGTGTACTACCTCTTCACGCTGATCGACGTCGTGCTCCGCTTCACGTGGAGTCTCGAGCTGTCATCACACCTGCACACGATCAGCGACCTCGAATCCGGCGTCTTCCTCATGGAGGCGCTCGAGCTCGTGCGCCGCTGGATGTGGGTGTTTATCCGCGTGGAGTGGGAGGCGGTTCGCATGGGCGAGGCAGCGCGATTCCGCGGCACGCTGCAGGACACGGAACTCGAAGGCCCTTCAAGGCTCCTGTTCGAACAAAAGCCAGAAGTCCACAACGACGACTGACAGCTGGCACTATAGACTTGACTAGATTAGATTATGCATGGGTAATGACATCTTGTGGGGGCTTTGAATGCAATGCGAAATAATGGATGCTGATGGTCGTACAAGGCTACAGGAGAGAAGGCACTTCGCCTACCACTTTCGCCCGAAGGCTTTCTGCTCGTCAGCCAACATGATGGTCCAAGGAAGCTCACCTGGACACAGTTTTTGAACTGGGCAAACTCGGGAGCACACATGTCTTTCCGAACGTCCTGATATTGCTTGCCAATGCACTGGCCGTATGCGAGAGACTGGACGGTCAGTTGTCGGAGCATGTCAGGCAACTCACCTCCTTTGCACACGACTTGGTAGCCTTGGCGAGGGTCTTGAGCGGCTGCTTGTCCTGGAAGCGGGGAGCCATGGTGGCCGTTGTGCTTCTCGTCAAAGGTTGAGAAAGCGAGGGAAGGCTTAGTGATAGCTGCGAGCAACGACGTAATGTCGGGCTCGTTGCGGCGAGTTCGGCGTTGACCCCCGCCGCTATCGGCTTGTCTGGCCCGCCCACTTACAGCATCACATCCAGCCGGACGGTCCTGAATTGGGCTGGCGGACGCCTCATCGCCCCGCGCGGTGCGCGCTTGGAGCTGGCTCAGTACCTGGACGCTGAGCACCGAACACACCCATCGAGGAGGACAAGGCATCAGGTCATGCATGCTGATCCTGAAGCCACATCTCCTCAAGACACTGTCATTCACCTCCTCACACCTAGCCTCCTCTCCTACACTCACTCTCCTTCCCCTTCCTCTCTCGTCTCTCTGTCACATCCGCTCTTCACCGCCTCCTGACTACGCAACACCTCAGCACCGCCGCAACACCACCACACCTCTTTCCCGCGGATCCTCACACCACCCGACCACCGACCACAGGGTGCTTTTTCGATCTTCGCTCCATCCTTGTCATTTAACGACACGTCGCGTCTTCCCCTCCAGTCTTGCTGAGTCCCCGCAACCAACATGTCCTGGAAGATCGGCAAGAGTGAGTGCTTACGAGACGGCTGACATAGGAATAGCTATTCCATTTCAGTCGCCTGTCAACAAGAACCGCTGAGCTGACGCATCTCCTACTCATTGTGACAACCCACTACTGCCTCGTCCGATGTTACGGTGTTCCAACGCGCAGAGTTCAAGGACAGCGGTCTGCTCTCCGGAAAGAGCCACAGCTCCACGCCAGCTGTCGACTCGCGTTCAACAACACCCACCCCCGGCAACCCCCACCCTGGCCACTCTGCCCCGAGCAGCGGCGTCGCGTCTGCGACGGGTTCCGGAGCCGCCACACCCCCCGTGGCGCGTAGCGGTATCCTCCGTATCCGTGTCACCGCCGGAAAGGGCCTGACCCTGCCCCAAGGAGGTGAGTCGATGCGTGTGCCAGACGCGGCGCGAAGCGTGTGCCCGCGTCTAGGCCATGAGTGAGCGGCAGCTTCGGCGATGAGGCGGAGCACTCCTCGGGTTCCCCCGAGCTTGTGTGCCTGATTAATCACTCCTCCAGCTGCTGCTTGTTCTTGCCGCAGTCGTGCACGAGCCTCATACTGATATCGCAGTCTCCGTTCCTCAGCCCGTGGCGAACGCGATCCAGCAACACCCGACTTCTGTCCTCTCCCAGTCCCTTTCGTCTTCCCCGCGGCATCAGACCCGCCCCTCGATTGGGAACCGCGATACCTTAGCGCGCAGGCAACTGTGGTGGCTCCCCTATGTTGTTCTCGAGTTCGACAAGAATGAGGTCCTCGTCGATGCTCTCGGAGGCGACCTCGCAAACCCCGTTTGGATGTACAGCGCCACCTTCGACGTGTCGCGTATCTCCGAGATCAGCGTCAACGCCTACCTCCGCACGGCTCCCCCGAAGAGCGGCGATGCGAGCGACATGGGCAACGCCGATCTCGCCCTCGGCGGTATCCGCTTTACCCCCAACCTTGAGACGAACCGCCTCACGGACGAGTGGATCCCCATTACCAGCGGCTCTGGCGCTATCCACGTCCAGGTTTCGTTCAAGCCGGCCCAGGCTCCGTTGACGATTGACTCGTTCGAGCTCCTCAAGGTCATCGGCAAGGGCTCGTTCGGAAAGGTAAGCTACTCCTTGGGTATTCCTGAGCTGACATGGTAGGTCATGCAAGTCCGCAAGCGCGACACGCTCCGTATCTACGCCCTGAAGACTATCCGGAAAGCGCACATCGTCTCCCGGTCGGAAGTCACGCACACGCTCGCGGAGCGCACCGTGCTGGCCCAGGTCAACAACCCGTTCATTGTGCCGCTCAAGTTCTCGTTCCAGAGCAAGGAGAAGCTTTACCTCGTTCTTGCGTTCGTTAACGGTGGTGAGCTGTTCCACCACCTGCAGCGCGAGGGCAAGTTCAACGAGACGCGCTCGCGCTTCTACGCTGCCGAGCTTCTGCTCGCCCTCGAGCACCTGCACAGCTTCAATGTCGTCTACCGTGATCTCAAGCCCGAGAACATCCTGCTCGACTACACTGGCCATATTGCGCTGTGCGACTTCGGTCTCTGCAAGCTCAACATGGGCAGCGACGAGACCACTAACACGTTCTGTGGAACGCCCGAGTACCTCGCGCCGGAGCTGCTGTCCGGCCACGGCTACACGAAGTGTGTCGATTGGTGGACGCTCGGTGTGCTGCTGTACGAGATGCTCACCGGCCTGCCGCCGTTCTACGACGAGAACACAAACGAGATGTACCGCAAGATTCTGTCCGACCCGCTGCGGTTCCCTGACGAGGTCGGCCCGGAGGCGCGCTCGCTCCTGACCAAGCTGCTTGACCGTGACCCGTCGCGACGACTGGGTGTCAACGGCGCGCAGGAGATCAAGGACCACCCGTTCTTCGCCCGCCACATCGACTTCAAGAAGCTGCTCCAGAAGAAGATTCCGCCTCCTTTCAAGCCTTCGGTTGCCAGTGCTATCGACACGAGCAACTTTGACGAGGAGTTCACCTCCGAGGTGCCCCAGGACTCGGTCGTTGCCGACTCGCACCTGTCCCAGACGGTGCAGCAGCAGTTCGAGGGCTTCTCCTGGAGCGTCTCGCCGCTGGGCGAGTCGGTTGGCCGGGGCTACTAAGCCTCCTGTGAGCTGGGTATGAGCTAGGCGGCCAGCCCGGCGAACCCGGCGAAACTGGCGAAGAGTGGGCCGCAGGCGAGCGGCGAGCGAGAAGTTCTAGGCGTGTGCAGTAGTCGCGTGAACAAGGCATCATAGAGCGGGGCGCAAAGCTCCGCGATACTCATAGTGTACCGGGTCCGGAGTCTGATGACTAAGGGATACCAAGAGCTGAACGTGATACCCAGATAAATGCATTGAACATGTCTCAACGAGTTATCGAGCTATCGGAGCAATCGGTCCTAATCTCCTATGGACCCTATGCTTTGTGCAGATCGCTGGCCTGACTCGGTTCCGAAGCTGTCCTGCGGGGCTGAACGGGGGGCTGACGTGTCGCGGAATGTTGACAGAAAGTTGGGAGGCACATACGACAACAGGCCGACGGTCTCGCTGCGGCGCGCGGTGGCTGCGACACCATACGGCACATACTCGGCGATCTGCAAAAGGAGCAAGAGGCGAGGAACGCGACTGTCCGGCTTGGAAATGCCCCGCGTTTGTTGCATCTGTCGCACATGTCGCGCATGTACGCGGGAAACTGCTGCAAAGTACCCAAAGGTGCGCGAGATATGCGGTCGCCAAGCGCCAGAACTCCAGAGGCCAGAGGCGGGAGCCTGCGGGCATGCGGGGTCACGGCGCGGTGACTACTCTGACTACTCTGAAGGAAAGCTGACTGTACCTTGCCGTACAAATGCCCCTACTTCTGCCTCCGATCCGGAACTCCTAGAACTGAGTCGTATCTCGCTTTCGTCGGCACATCGCTTCGTCGCTTGATCGGAAGCGGGGGCAGCGGGGCTTCGTCGGTTGCTCGGTACATTCGGGCCAGATCGAGGGTTCGCAAACATGGCCCGGAACTCGAGTCAGACGTCACTTCACTGTGCACTGTGACAAGCAGCAGCGCATATGCAGTGTAGGGCAGATATAAGAGCGACACTCGGTTAGTCCTCCCGGCCCGCCAGATCTTACTTTGCTCCGCACATCACCGACGCACATCGGCCACCGAGCCTCGAGTCGCCTCTGGTTATCTACCTTGCCTTCCTCCGTCCGCGGCCCTCAATCTCTACATATATCTATCCGTGTCGTCTCGACTTGGCCCCTGCGTCCTCCTCGACGACCTAGAACCTCTCCTCCATCGGCGCCTTACACGAACCGCCTCCCCCAACTGCTCATTCTCCAGCTCACCACACCCCGCAAGCCACAATGTGCAATCCCTGCTCCTCGAAGGACTCTGCACCCCCGCCAGCCCCTGTGTCGACAGAGGTCGAGCAGCCGTGTCGCTACCACACGCTCGCGCAGCAGAGCTTCACCCGTATCCGGCCCGATCACCCCGATATGTGCTACTTGCATTCTGGGACGTCGAGCTCGGGCTCGAGCACGGGGAGCGAGAAGAGCGAGACCAAGTCGGGATAGATTTCCTCCGCTTGTCTTCCTTGCATCCCCACGACATAACGACTGCCCGGCCGCTCGGCCGCTTGACCGCTCACGAGAGCTCATCGAGGGTGAGGCTGCCTCGCCTCGGAAGCCAGCGGCCTGAACGAATCCGTTGCCACCCGCTACGACCCACCATCTGATAAGATAAGAAGGAAGGAAGGAAAGAAGAAAGAAGAACGTAGGAAGGTCTCTAGTGTTTTGAGTGTAACATGTCTGAAGTATGCTGTATTAGTATGATGCATCTCGTGCTGTGTGTCTATTGCGTAGCATCGACCCTCTCTCTCTCTCTCACTTATCCCCGTCATCGCTGGTGCTGCGCCGCTCTACGCTCGTGATGGCTCACCGCCTCCAGCCCTCCCTTGCCGGACTCCGGCTCCTCTCCCTCCTCCAGCTATCCCCTCCCCTTCCTCCCCGTCCGCCCCTCCCTCCCCTGTCTCCACTCCCCCTCCTGAAATCCTGCGGCGGCAGCGGTTCCCCGCGCCCCCACGCTCCTCTCGGCTCAGGTGCGCCTCCAGCCTTGAGCGCACCGGGCCCACCGCCACCAGCCTTGGGCGGGCGAGGCAGCGCGACACACAGCGACAGAAGGTCGCCAGTCAGGAATCCGTACTCGTCCAGCGTCTTCTCCTCTATCCTCTTTGCCCTGCCGCCGCTTCCGCCATCCTCGGTGTCGTCCAGCTCGGCGTCGAGCATCTTCTCGCGCCGCTCCTCGCTATCCATCTCCACGTCGTCGGCGGGCGCAGAGGCGGAGGAAGCGTTCAGGGTGGCGCGCAGCTGTGCTGGCGTGATGCTGACAAGGTCTCGGGCCTTGTACAGCCTGTCCTCCTCGGCGTCAACGTAGACGTGCCGGAGGGAGAAGCGGAGGGCGGATCGGTACAGCGGCGGGAACTTGGCATAGAGCTGCTTGAGGATCTGAGACGGGGTGGAGTGTTTCCTGTCCTGTCAGCTTGTGGTATGGGTGGTTTACAGCTCTCGCACCACTGAGCTAGCCCTAGTGGGTTATAGTGCAGCACACTGCCATTCGAGACTATACTTACCAAGCATACACCCTGTACTCCTCGGTCGGGAAGCGCTTCTGGTCGTACTCGATGACGGGGTTGTGCTTGTTGCGGAGCACGAAGACGCGGATGAGGAAGGGACAAGCCTCAGCGAGAGGGTTTGGCGGCGGGCTCGGCGACCTCGAGTCCCGCGACGAGTACGACGCCGACCTGCTGCGGCTCCTCGATCTGTCCCTCGACGGCGACCTAGATCGAGCTGGCGATGGGGAACGATCGCGGTCCGAACGCACCGGCGAACGGGCGGGAGATCGCGACGGCGAGCGCGAGTACGACCGGGATCGAGAGCGAGGCATTGTCGTTTTCAGCCTCTTTTCAGTCGTCGTTGCTGATGCGTCGACGCGATGATGTGGTGATGTGGTAATGCAGCTGGGCGGCCAGAATGTCGAGTGACTGCCGCGCTCTTCGACGCGGTCATAATATACTTAGTTTACGTAAGCCTCCACCGCCGACGGTCCGACGAGCTCGAAACATGTAGCGGGGAGACCGAGGCCACACACACACAAAAGTCACAAGACAACGCTTCAACGACTCGCTCGCACCTGTCTGCACGTAAGGGAGAGACGCAAGCCGGTATCTGGACAGGTAATTGTGTGAATATGTCCTACGTTGTTGTGAGTTTCGAGTTCTTCTACAACAAACTGACGGCCAGACCTGCCGTGCGGCGCCGCGGACGAGGGGTTATGTGCGTCTCGTGAGCCGCAGCTTTACGGCGTCGGCGGTGCGCCTCGATGCCTTCAAGGAGCTGCCGGAGAAGCGGGACGGACCTCGGCTATTGCTACCATCCCAAATCACGGCCTATGAGCGTTTCGCGCCTGTGCTCTCCTCCCTTCCCCCCGTCGACTTCGGCATCGCCTATGGCTCCGGCGTCATGGAGCAAGCGGAGCGTTCTGGCCCCGCGCCTCTGATTGATTTCATCGTCTCGGCGCCGGACTTGCAGGCGTTCCACGCCGAGAACCTGAAGCGGAATCCGGACCACTACCCCCTGTTTGCACGCGCTCTAGGGCCCAAGTTTGTGGCGTGGGCGAACGATGCCTGGGGTGCTGGACTCTGGTACGTCACGATGGTCAAGGTGCAGGGGCTGGAGATCAAGTACGGCGTCGTGGCCTCGGACACGCTCGTGAGGGACCTACAGCAGTGGCGTACACTGTACACGGCCGGCAGGCTGCAGAAGCCCGTCCTCGTGCTCACAGAGACGCCCGAGATCAGCGCCGCCCTCTCCGCCAACCTCCGGTATGCGCTGAGTTACGCGCTCCTGCTCTTGCCGGAACGCTTCTCCGAGTTCGAGCTCTGGGAGAAAATCACGAGCATCTCGTACTCTGGCGACCCGCGCATGAACATCCCCGGTGGCGAGAACCCGCGCAAGATCCAGAACATTGTGCGAGGAAAGAACGTCCTCGAGGGATTCAGGAGCCTGTACAGCAACCATGTTGGACGGGTTGGACTGCGCTTCGCAGACGACAAGCCGCCGGCAGCTAGCCAGGTCGCCAAGTTCCTCTGGCAGGGCAATGGCGATGCCACACTCCAGCAGCCCGGCAACAGCGAGCACCTCGCCCAGCTCCTTGTCGACCTCCCCCGGCCACTCAAGGTCAAGGTTGCCGGACACTTCAAGGCGGACGTCGACGACCCGACCGCGTGGCTCGAGATCACGAACAAACCTGGCTTCCGCAAGATTGTTGAGGACGGTGAGCTTCCTGGTCTCGGACGCTAGCTGACAGACAGAGGTCAAAGAGATCATCCGGCGGCCAGCAACGACACAGTCGGTCAAGGGCCTCGTCACAGCTGGCTTTACGAAGTCGTTCTGGTACTCTCTCGCCAAGATCAAGAAGTACCTCGCCGGCCGGAAAAGGTAGAACAATGGACACAACCCCCATACAGTCACATTTATATAGCATATATAGCATCGCGTGCATTATTATACAGTTACTTGATCAACACCCTGTCAAACGTGACACCGCCCACGGAGCCGCCGCCCATGGCCCGCTTCACGTTGTTCTGGAACTGGACGTGGTCCCGGCGCAGGTCCTCCGCAGCGTCTGACGTTAGCTAATCCCATGAGGTTGTGGCAGCTGATGCGCGGGCTGCGCCCCTGACACGTCAACGGCACTCACCCTTGTTCAGAGGATCGTCGGGGTTGGGCGCGAGGAAGAGCAGCTGCAATCCGTAGCACACGGACGAGAGGTTCAGAACCGGCTTCCAGTCTTCACGCAGAATGTTCCTGCCCGTCAGTTATGTTGCCGACCAGGAAGGAACTCACAGGCAGACATTTCCCTCGAGGTCGAGGTTCGGGTGGTAGATCTATCGTCAGCCCGTGCCGCTAAGCTGTAGCTTACCTTCGGGACGCAGCGGACCTTGGGCGGCTCGTGAGGGTAGTTGGGGTTGATGGCGACGGTGAACTTGAACGAACCGCCCTTGTACTGGCCTGTTGTGTCAGCTCTACAAGCTCCGCAACACTCAGCTTACCCTCGTCGGGGTTGATAGTGAGGTTGAAGTTGAGCACGTCGGCGGGGTCCGGGAACTCAATCTTCATCGTGTCCGGGAGGTCGAGCTCGGTGAGGTCCTTCTGGACGCGGAGTTGAGCCGGGGTCGTCTTCGGCTTCTTCTTCGCCGCGGCCTCCTGGTTCTGCTTCAGCGACCAGATCTATTGACATCATCATTGTCCATAAAGTTATCGATACCGTCCGTAGATCGCAGCGAGGACCGAGACGACGAGCGACGGGGCGTGAGGAGGGGTCCGGGCGCGGAGGGCGGCAGAGGACAATGTGCGTAGTTGCCAGGTGAGCATTTGGGGACGTAAGGCCGGCAAAGGAGGAGTGAGTGCAGTCGTAGGGAGCACAGCAAGTGACGCGCGGGGAAGGTCATCAGAATTGAACATGTCGGTGGCGAGGGGAGATGGGGTCAGCTCTGTCTCTGGCCTGCGCGCGGGAGACTCACCTTGATCATACTGCGGAAGGTCTATACGGCTGTCCTGCCCGTCGGGGTACGTGTAGGTGGTGTCGAGGTAGTGACAGTGAGCAAAATGAAAGTGTTAACGAGAGAAAGAGTCGATGTCGAAAGGCGCGATCGGACCCACCTCTAGGAACATCACCACATGTACGGACTGAGTCATCCGAGCATCAGCCTGGCGCCGCAGCCTCCACCAGACGTTCCTCCACCGTGCGCCGCCCAATATTTTGATACCTCCGCCTTGTCTTCCCCGCAACTCAACAACTACGCAATGGCACCGCCGAAGAAGCAGTTCGTGCAGGAGGAGCTGCCCCCGCCGGAGCTCTCGCACAGCGTGTAGGTGCTGGCGTACTGACTTTCAGCTGACAACAGTGAGCTCCGAATCCCGTTCATGAACGCGCAGCACGCCGCCATTGCGAAGCGTTCGCTCGACGTCGACCGCGAACCAAACCTTGAGCTGGTCGAGCGACGGACAACCGTTGACGGCGACGTCCTGATCGTGTGAGTACAATCTGTGCAGCTAGCACTTCCCCCCGACCTACAGCTGACGACAGCACGTTCCGCGCTGCGTCGGTGCGCCTACTCCGCCTGGCGTCCAACTCGTTCCTTTCCAGCGTCGACCTCGTGCTCCGCACGATGGCCGAGTTTGCGCCGGACCCCGATGAGGTGCTCCCGACAGACGAGGAGCTGGAGGCTATTGCGAGCCGCGCGCGTGAGGAGGGAGGCGGCCGCAAGGGCATCGAGCTGAAGGGCGGCGCGGGTGCTGGCGGCGGCGAGGAGGTCAAGTGAGCGGTATTTCATCACAGCTAGAGCGGTGTCACATAGATGTACGAGTAAGCAGTTTACTGGCGCACTGACGAAGGCTTGATGTTTTTGATACTGACAGGGAAGTGCGTAGCAAAGCATGGGATGAGAACCAGCCCCCTGCGTGAACTAACAGCCAAATGCTGACGATGAGTAGCTCCTGCCCTCCGATGATCTAGAAACTGCCTGCATTCACTGTCTTTTTGCTACCAAAGTTCTAAACTATCTAGATCTTGTACACGAGCCTCTCGCCCGAGACCTTTCCGTCCTGCATCTCCTTGAGGCCGGCGCTGATGTTCTCAAGGCCATTGCGGACCTTGAAGGGAGGGGGCTTGAAGAGGCCCTCCTCGATGTATCCGGGGGTCTTGGCCTGGAGCTCCTCGAACCACTTCCTAAGTCCGGGGTCGGCGGGGACGTGGATCTGCTTTCCATCACGGGGGCCCATGGAGTAGGGGATACCGTACGCGCCGTAGAGCATGGTGGTGACAAACTTGATGTTGGGGAACTTGGCCTGAACCTCCTGCGGGATGGCGAGGAGGAAGTTGGCCTGGCCGCCCTGCTCCTTGAAGCACTTGGCCGTGAAGGTGGCCGTGTCCGCGAGCGAGATGCAGTCCATGGCGCGCGTGACGCCGCCGCCGGTCACCTTCTTGATGCCCTCGATCGCCTTGTCGCCGTCATGGTAGTCGAACACCTCATCGGCGCCGTACTTCTTGACGAGGTCGAAGTTGTGCTTCGACGCAGTCGCTGCAACATTGTAGCCCAAAGCCTTGGCGAGCTGCACGGCCTGCATGCCAACGCCCGACGAGCCGCCATAGATCACAATCCACTCGGGCGTGTCGGGGTGCTGGCGCACGGGAGGCCAGGGCTGCTTCTGGCTGTGCTGCAGGGCCTGGAACGCAGTGAAGAGCGGCACACCGTAGGACGCGGCCTGGTCCGACTTGACGTTCTCGGGCACACGCCAGCACATCGACGGCTCAGTCACGAGGTACTGGGCGAACGAGCCCTTGTCCGGGAACTTGCCGCCGTAGACGTCGCCGGCGACACGCTGGCCGACCTTGACGTGGTCGCGCGACGAGGGCGAGGCAGCGACAACAGTTCCAGCAAAGTCGCATCCGGAAATGGCGCCCTCGGGCGAGGCGTAGACGATGTGCTTCCAGTCGGTCGGGTTCTGCGGTTAGCGGGACGCCACGGTGGGCAAAGTTATGAAATGCCGCCTGTCCCATGCCTATCGGGCAGCCACCAGCATCTCACGGAGCACTCACGAGAGCAACGTAGTCGACCTTGACGAGAATCTCGCCCTCCTTCAGCTTGGGAAGGGGAACGGTCTGGACGGAGGCGCCGCCCTTGCCGTCAGCAACGAGCGCCTGGATCTTCTCGGGGGGAGCGTCGGCCATGGTGATGTCTTTGGTGCTTTGCTGCGGTGTTTGCGGGTTAGAACGAGCTGTTCTGATGCTGTGGGAGCTTCTCTGTCCAGCCAGGTGTTATATATGTATCGGTCACTCTCACGCCCTAGAACCGTCTCTGAGAATCCATGAAATCAACATAATCGACGTCATGGGGAACAGTCCGTTCAAGCGGGATTAGTAAGGCGGGCGCCTCCTCCACCGTGGCCGTCGGTGATGCCCGTGACATGCACGCGACGCCGCACCCGGCACAACCAACATCCGATCACACCATGCACATTTCGTTGTTAAGCCCACCGGGCTTGCTACCAAACGCGGCGTTTTCAGTCCGGGTCATCGATGCATTTTGCTATCAGACGTGTCTAGTCATTGTCCAATGTTACAGCCCTTTGACAGAAGAGGAAAGAGCGGGTTTGATTTGTGATCGGTTGGCGTGGGGAGAATGAGGTTTGGGGTAGGTTTAGGGAAAATGTACGTGAGGAAAGTAGTGGGAGAGACGTTGCAGGCGTATAAGGAGGGCGTACGAAGGCCGAAGGCGTCCGCGGCGCTGACCTCGTCGAAACAGGATCATCGGCGAGCGAGCAGTCATCGGCGTCCGCTTCTGGGACGGCAGCTCAGTACTTAGTATCCGTGCTGCTGGTTGCTGTACTGGTTGTACTGCGGGCCCTGCTGGACTACACTATAGCCGCCATTGGAGTCATACTGCGCGGTGACAGCATGGTGGCCCAGCGAGGAGCCACCCGTACGGTGGCCCTGCTCGGAACCGTGGACGGAGTCGCTTCCATCGTCGAACGGCGACTCGTACTGGTTATTGTTGTTGTTGTTTCGGAAGCTGGGGCTGTTCGTGTGGTGACGCGACACGGGGTTCGTGAGGCCGTGGCCGAGCGACGAAGTCTCAGCAAACGAGCCACGGCGAGATCCGGCGGGCGAGTTTAAGTGAAGCGAGGAGCGTTCCAGCGCGTCCTGGGCGACACCGGGGCCGTACTGGTTGGCGATCTGCGAAGCATAGTCGTTCATGATGATAGCCATCGAGTCAAGGTCGAGACGGTAGCGCTTGGGAGTGAGACCCTTGCCGAAGCGGTACGTGACGTGGTTCGAGCACAGGAGACCGGCGAGAATGATCAGAATGTGGGCGGGAACAAGCGAGAACGAGACGGTGTACCAGGTGCGGGTAACGTTACGCTCGAGCTTGAGGTACTTGTTCTTGCAGCCGTCCTCGACCGAACGAGGGTAACAGAGGGGCGAGACGGTCGCCTCCGACGCAGGAGAGAAGTAACCACAGCAACGGAGAGCATCCTGGATACGCAGACGGCCGACGGTGCCGAGCGACTGAGACCACTGCTGGTTGATCTTACCCTCAAGGTTGAAGGTGTGACGCTTGTAGGTAATGTAACCAGGGGCGACGATGAACGCGAGACAGACCCAAAGAAGAACAACATAGACCGCCAGGAAAGGACGGCTGTTGAGGAAAAGTCCAGAGAAACCAAGGAGAGCAGTGAACACGGAAAGACAAGCGGCGATTGTTGACACTGCAGAGGTTAGTCTTCTGGCACGCGCGGGCTGCAATGGCACGTACGAATGAGCTCGGTGCGGTTACCAACACGGACGACATCAGACTGGTAGAAGACGTTGATCCAGACCAGAATGCAGCAGATCAGCGTGCCCATCGCGTAAATAATGAGCTGTGCGGTCAGTAATGATCGTCATCGTGGCTGCGGACATGTGTGAAACATTGTGCAGGGCTTGGGCGCTCCGCCGTTGTCCCACGACGGGGTCCACTATGCAGATTCGCTGCACCGTCAACGCGCCGTAAACACTCACAACCCAGTTGGCCAGGAAGAGGATCCACTTGAAGCGGTTCCAGCGAAGCTTGTGCTTGCGCTTCGGCTTCAATCCACCCTTGCCGAGCTCGAAGACCAGTCCCTCGTCGTCGTCCACAGTTCCCGGCTCGCCCATACGGGAGGCACCGGCCGAGAAAGCGTCACGACCACCACCCTGCTTCGCACGACGGTGCGCCCAGTCACCCTGGGTGTGGAGCTTGGAGAACTTGGTAGGGACATAGTTGATCGACAGCGACGGCGGACGGTTAGCCTTGCTGTTGCTGCGGAGTTCCGTCAGGTCGGTGAACGACGTGTTGCGGCTGCCACCGTTGCTCGGGGTTCCGTTGTCCTGGTACTGTCCGCCGGTGACCTCCGAGAATGGGAGGTTGGGCGGGATCAGAAGGTCATCGGTGTACTGCACCTCGGCGGGCTGCTGGTTGTACGCCATGTGGTGGTCGTAGGACGACTCCGGCGAGGGAGAGCGATTGCGGTAGCGGTCGTCCTCGAAGGAAGTCGAGGTGAGCTCGTCGGAGGGAGGGCGATTGTCGTTGCGACCGCCGGCACGATGGGCGAGGTTCGCGAACTTGGACTTTGCCTTGGATGGCATGTGGTATCGAAAGAAAAGGGGATGGAGGAACGAAGAGCGGTGCGGATAAAGGGCAGGGGAGGTGGAAGCGTGCGTGACCGAGACCGTCGTAAGGCGTAAGGGCCCACTACTTGCCTTTCCGAGAGTAAGGATAGGCTTGTTGTCTTGGAAGTGGTGACCCAGTTGAGCTTTGAACTCTACCTGCTGAAAAGGCGTGCAGCAGTGGCGTCTGGAGACCTTAGTACCGACGTCGATGGGTGCACGTAGACGATGCGAAATGCGATCGGGTGCCGAGAGATCGAGAGGGAGGCTTGGCCGTGTTGATACTTTCGTGCGGCTGGGTGGAGTGGGATGTGGGAACAGCAGACGCTAAACCACTTCCCTAGTGCGGGATTGATAGGCGGAGAGCGAGGAGTTTTTCGAGGACTGAAAGAGTCGAGTGTCCGGAGCGAGCGGAAGGTTCGGGCGAGAGAGAAGGAGGCGATGCAACGATGAGCGAATGCAATGGGTGTGTGGGTGAGGAAAAAGAGATGACGAGAGACGTCGAGGATGGAGTTGGTGAGGGATGCACACTGCACACAGTGGACGTGTATTTTTGTCGCGAGGATCAAGCCAAGCAAGGCAGGGGACGAGGAGATCAGGGAGGGGGAGCAAGCTCTGAATGAGAGTGGTGGTGTGGGACTGTGGGACGGCTGCCAGCGTGCTTTTGGTGGGTGCCGCGTGCAGGAGGGGGGGGGACGGAGGGTCTAGGGCAATCGTGCCAGCGCTCCGGATCGTAGGATCGCGCAGGGCACTGGTTGCTGTGCATCTTTCACTCTCTCGTACGGTGGGAAGTCAAATCGTGCTGCAGTGGGCCTGAGGCTGGGAAACCACCAGAGTACGCACAGCCGGAGAGGCACCACCGCCAGGTACTGAGGCCTCGATCAGCCCAGGGAAAACCTTTACCTCCGCTTGGGCGGTGTGCCGCCGTCACCACGCCACCACGTGGCATTACACCCTAAGTTTGCCCTGGTGGATAATTGCAACGCGTTTTAATGTGCTTTCTTGCCATCCTAATGCGCCCATCCTAATAACTTGAATGCGAAATGGCGAGATGGCTGCACATAGTGTTTATCGCAGTGTCCGATGCAGCTGACAGAGCGCCCAGATGCATGAAAAATCATTGGAAAGTCTGCGCAGCAAGCACCCCCGTAGCATGCTACTGGTCTGAGCAGAGCTTCGCATTAACAGCGTCCGGTGGTGCCTTCCAAACTTGATTTCTCGCAGCTGTTTTTGCGTCGTGCGAGGCGCTCCCCGCCAATCAAACAGCGCGCCTCTGCGCAACGTTTGACCCTGGCACGCCCCCCTGCCCGTCCAGATCGCTGGCCTGGCGCATGCACGCAATGGGTGAAGACGAAAAACGAAGCGACAGGGGCGCAGAGATCGACGCCCGTCGCCCTCCGTCTGGCACACCGGCGCCAGCCTGGGCTTGGGACTCACAGGGAAGGATATTCTTAGCTGGCCAAGCGCCCTCGAGCGACTGCGCAGAAGCCGGTGCCGATGCGCCGGTATCTTGCCGTCACGTCACAAGCTCTGCATGCCGCTGCGTGGCACGCAAGTTCGTTGACTTCATTGATGGTCGATATGTAGATCGTTCAGCGGCATGCAAGGAAGATGTTTCTTCCAGTGAACAGTCCACCAGGTATCCGTAATCTGCAGATGTAGACTCAGGATGTGGTACAACATCTGCTTAATAAGCTGTCGCCAATGCCCACCGTGGTCTGTGACGAGCCACTCTCCGACATGGAGGTCGCTACCAGATCTCCAGAACACCTGACAGTCTGTACTCCTGCGCGAATTCCTTGTGCGCCCACTCACACTACGTCTCACGAAGCGCTCACATCAGCAGAACGCTGTCATCCCGGCTCCGACCATGATAAACACGTGGTGCCCACAAACATCTACGTCGTCGAACTCCGACGTCGATCCCCCTGTCAGCCGGCTAGCACGGCTCGGTCGGCTGTCTCCTATGCAATGCCAAGAGCATGGTCTGTCCATTCGACTCGAGTACCCTAGCAGAGTGTTTGGTGACGATAAGAGCAGATGCGGAGTAGGACGGGTGTAAGCGGTGCCGGAATGGATCTACAGCATGACGTTAGCGAGGCAGCCGACCTGGCCGAGCGACACCAAACCATCACCAACAGGAACGTCAGGTGCCTGGCCGAATCGGAGTGTTGCAGCATCACTTGACCAGTTGGCCCAGCTCTGACGTTCCTGCTCTACCAGACTGCAGTGCGGCATCACATGCTCCGCAACCCTGCGGCATGCTCCTTCGGGTTTCGCGATGGATGGCGTGCAGGCTACCAAACCGAGCGACATAGCTCGGCGGTGTTTCAAGAAGCTAAGCAACGCTCCAACGAGACTCATAAAGCATGCCGCAACGACGCTCCTGCCTCCCTTTCACCAACTCACTTGAACACCATGACTGATTTAACACTCAACGATATGACAGATATCCCAATCCAGCAGCGGTTGGAGCTTCACGCCGAGCGACACAAGGCGCTGTGGACCGAGACTGAGAACCTCGAACACGCCCACGATGCGCTGGCGCAGTGCAAGGACGAGCTCGAGAAGGCAAAGGCCGAGCTCAAGAAGCGACAAAACACGCAACGGCGATGGGACTTCAAGCTGTGAGCCGGCTCGCCACTGACCTGTGTGCTGATGGCAGCGAGGAGCTGTTCAAACAATGGAAGGACCTCGAGGCGCCAAGCCGGAGCACGCGGCTGCTCGTGAAGCTGAAGAACCCGGTACACACGGATCAGGCGTATGTGAACCGCGACATCGAGCGGAAGCAGAAGGAGGAGGAGCACAAGCACGCGTTCTGGCAGGGCCAGGAGTACAAGCGCGCCGTCGAGGAGAGCGAGGCCCGCATCGACGCCCTCGAAGCCGATATCGAGCGCTACACGCTCGAAGCGGAGAACCACCGCCAGCTGCACGCAGAGGTGAAGGCGATCCACACCGCCGTCTTCGCAGGCATCCACAACGAGTTCCCACAGGAACTGGATCTGCGCGACCGTATCGACATGGTGGCCGCGCACGGGGTGGACTTTGCGCAGAAGCTCGCGGTCGAGCAAAAGGCGCTCGGCATGTTCCCCCTCATGCTCGAGGAGGCGGAGCACGCCGAGCGGCAGTTCCGCAAGGCCATCCGCGCCGACTCGGACAACCAGCGCCGACACGTGCGTAAGGCCGAGAAGGCGTACGAGCTCGCAAGGAAGAAGGAGACGGAAATTCGCCGCCTCAAACCCTCCATCGTTCCGTATCCTGCGGACATGCCGAGCTTTAGCTTCTTCGAAACGGGAGACTGGAGCATGCTCTTCCGCCGTGGGTTCTCTGAGCGCAAGGCGTACTGCAGCGACCTCATCTTGCACATGCGTCGGCAGTGGGATATTGCGAAACGCGACGCGAGCGAGATGGCCCAGGGCGTCAAGGAGCTTAACATGCAGCTCAAGGTAATGGAGAGGCAGCTGGAGAAGGTGCGCGCGAGGATCCTCTTGAACAAGGCCGCCGAGATGGGACTCGGAGGCGAAGTCGACGAGCAAGAGCTGGACCGCCTTGCCCTCGGGGACGTAGAGGACCGGATGTTCGCCGGCGATGGCCTGACGGTATCCATCTGCTCCATCCAAGGAACTCTCGAGGCCCCGCCCCCCGCGTACTCGAAGTACTGCACCCCTAATAGCAGCCTCCCTCCCGCCATCCTCACACGAGCGTAACGTCTGTTTGTTGTACTCTTACTTCCTTTCACTTTCTGTACACATAATGTCTTCCTATTTCCTGTACTTTTAGTCTGAATTACATATGCATCCCCTAATCTACTCTGCCTGCGTCTGATGCGAGTTGTCGGGAACATAGAGATGCTCCCACTTCTCCATATCCTTGCACCAAATCTCGTTACCAGGCCTCGGCACGCTGCCAGGCGGCAACAGCCCAGCCATGACGTAGAAGTCGCCCTGCTGGTTGCGGTCGAACAGCGCGCATCCGCACGAAGGGCACCAGAAGCGCCGTGCCGTGCGTCCCCCGAATCCCGACACGGAGTGTTCCTTCACGTCCCCTTGCACGTGAACAACGGATGACGGGACGTGGATCAGGTAAGCTCCGAGGCCGCCGGTGAACTTGCGGCAATCTACACAGTCTGAGGTCAGCTGGGAAGGCTCGGCTGCTGTAGAGAGCAGATCCGGAGCCGAGTGACTGCCAGGAGAGCTGAGCTCCGATGGAATGAAGGATTGGGGGTTCATGGCCCGTTCACGTTCACGACAGGCGCAACTCACGACAGATCTGGAGCTCGGGCAGCTCGCTAGGCTCCGGGATGGTGACGGCGACTTGTTCACAGTTGCACTTGACGATCATAGCTGATTGGATTCCCTGTCACTTTCGAAGACTGAGTGGGCGGAGAGAAGCCTTAGCTCGGCGTCTCAGTGTCTCGAGGGCAACATCGGCAGCGATCCGAATGACGTCCGGACATTCGGTCATCTGCGACACCATACGTAATAAGCCTCCAGGCAGAGGCTTTCCTTTGTGTTTACCTTAGACTCGCCACCCAAGACTCAAGAGCAGCATGTCACGCAGTAGTGCACATGTTGCGCACGCCGTACAGGTCAGGTCATCTGACGCACGGGGGCGGACAAAAGTTACTGGAGCCCTGTCATAGCGGCGTAAACACCGTTTGCCTGCACTGCCTCTGCTGATCACTCCTGAGCAACCCGATAACCTAATCACAGTTCGCTTGGCACCGTCAGCGCGGGGAACAGGCAGCGCGGGGAACAAGCAGCGCGGGTCCAAGCAGCGGAGATGCGAGATGAACGTCGGAGATGAATCAGCGAGCGGCAATCTCGGAAGAGGAGCGTGGTCAGGTGATGAGGTCTGTTCCTTCTTACGGCTCGTACCTGATCTTCAACCTCGCTAAATAGTGAGTTGGTGAGCCGGAACGGAGTGTGGCAGCGCGATTTTGACACGAATCATTCGCCGCGGATTGTGGACGTCTTCTCGTGAGCTCGGTTAGAGAGCGGTCCCGAGTCACGGTGATCGCCGTCATGGGCAGGGTGCTCGCAATGTCAAAGACGGAAGTGGCACTCGCGCTTTGTCAGCCGAAGGTGGGTCCAAGGCTGTTGCGCTATGGATGGATGTTGCCTCCAGTAGCTCGCAAAGACGGGGCAAGCTCACGACAAAGGAGTATGTGCCGCTTCCTTATGCACTATGACAGCAAGCCGCGCCATGCTACTGCCGTTTCCGTCAAGTCCATGGCGTCACTGGCAATGGAGAGTACTTCCCTCCACGATTATTCCAACACTTATCCATTCATTAACAACAGCCATATCGCCTCAGTGCGCAGTTAGCATTGACAGATTACACGTCAAGACATGCGGCATCAGCAACCCAGTTCGCGACCGCAGAAGAACTGGACTCGGTTGTTTCACTGAATCTACAATACTGGGAGCAACCTTGCCCTTAGGATCTCCGCCTCTGAACTCAGTAGGCTGCCGACCTGTCTATCCGCTGATCAACGACGTACACAAGAGCTCTTCGTCTTGTTCCCGCAGACTGGATGGTGACGTTCAATGGCGCCTTGACCGCCAGATCGCCTTGCTGGTGTCAAGCTTCACCAGTCTCTCGACTCTGGCCATGGATGCCGGAGCAGGTAGTGTACGCTCCCTACCGCTACTCTGCCCGTTCTTGGAGTGCATGCTCCTAGAATGTCTAAGATCTGTGCAATTGTGCGCGACCGTGGAAGACCCCCTCACAAATGTAACTCCGTTGACCCGGTATGTGAGGTTAAGGAAAAACGAGTGCCCCTGGGGCTACCGCTACGAACTTGAGTCGAGGATCCAGCGGTCCATGTCTTACAGGGCTACTCTGCGATGGGTTCCGAGCTTGGTGGCCGGCTGACAACCGAGGATCTGCGCTGATACATTGCTTCTGCTTTGGCTGCTGATCCTGCCTCCAAAGGCTGCTCGAGTGCGTGCGAAGTCAGCGGGTGCCCGCTACCAGCACTTCTGTTTCGATGGTATGAATGATGCATGTGTAGATTGAAGACAGATGGATTGAGCGCCTCTGTCCCACTTCTTCTTCCCCCCAGAATGGTGTAAAATGTCGGTACGCTGCTCATTGCTTGAGACGAGGCGCCTGAGAACCTCTTCCGGGAGCTTGAGCAAGTGCTGCGTCGAGCTCGGCCTGCTGTTTGAGCTTGCCCTGGAGACTCTTCTGGGCATCGATCTCCAGCAAGCTCCTGATCTCGTCGTACTTCTTCTTGTCGATGTGTGTGAATGCGACAGTCTGGAGCGCCGTGTAGGACATGGACGCGAACCAGTACGACACGACGAGCTGCGGGCGTTAGTTTTGGCTGACGTGACAGGAAGGGCTGGAAGGGCAGGAAGTTGGTCGGGGGACTCACCGCGGGCGTCATCATTCCGGCGGGCACGATGCAGATGGCGACCACAGACATGAAGTTGCCAAAACCCTTGGACATGCGATCACGATCGCTGAGCGCAAACTCCAGAACGCGGTTGACTTTCGAGACATTCTCAAGCTTGGGCGGGGCGCGTGGCTTACGCCGCTCGCCCTTGGGTACCGGCTTGGGAGGCTCCAACGGGCGAAAGGGCGGTGAGCCGGGCTTCAGCCTGGTTTCATCAACGATCTGCGACCTGGGCTTCTCCAGTCTGCTGGAAGCCCGGGCCCTGGCGATTCCAGGCCGCAGCTGCCCACTCTGCCCTAGATTCTCTTTGGCCGGGCCGAGTTCCAACATGTGGTCGCTCGCGGCTTCGGGAGTGGGGCCAGGTCGCGGCTTCAAGTGGTCAGGGGCATCGGGCATAGGCTCCAACTTCTCGACCTGATCAAGCTTCTCCTTCGGTGCAACATCAGCGAGTTTGTGCAGTTTTTTGCGGATTCGCTGCGAGCGCTGAATAAGCTCGATATTTCCGTACGCCAGAATGGCAGTCGCAATAGGCAGGATGGCCGTGGAGTCGGGATCGCCAAGGCTCTGCAGCCACAGAGACGAGCTGGTCGCAATCTCGGGGCTTGCGAGCAGAGCATTGCGCACGCCAAACGACGCCGCAATCAAGAGCGGAATGTTGACGGCTGCTGGCGCCAGCATCGTCACCCACGGGTGCGTCCTGTGCGTCTTGTGCATGATGAAGACAGCATCCGCCATCTGTGTGAGAGAATCAGCGTCGACGGCTCTCAAGCCTGCGATGCAGCTATACTCACTTTCTTCCTTACGGTCTCAATATACTTCTCATAAGGCCAGCCATCCCGCTTGGCCTCGACCATCGTTTCCAACGCAATTCGTTCGTTGATTCCATCAAGATGTGGGTGAACGAATCTGTGCAGACGTTCAACGCGCTTCCGCTGCCAGATCTGCATTGGGAAGGTGAGAGTAGTGCGAAGGACGTACGCGAGCACGAACACTGAGAGAACGTAGCTCGGTGTCGGAATGTTCACAAGCGCCTCAGTCACCATGTTCGTAGGGAACAGCACAATCGACTTGGCCGCCTGCCAGACCGTCTCGAAGAAGGGGCTTGTGCCAAGGTTAGACACAATGTCGGCGGTCGAAGCAGTTGCTTGGGAAGCAGCGGAGGAAGCAGAAGCAGCAGCCTCTGAAGCCGCGGACGCCGCGCCGCTACCGCCGTCCGAGATATTACGCCGTTGCGTGAGGAAGACATTCGGACATGCCGCAGAGATAGAGGAGGACAGGGAAAGCCCAGGACGCCGCGGCGTAGATAGCGTCGAGAGCAGTCGTGGGGACGAGCTGCGAATCCCAACCCCGGCAACGGAGCGCCGGGCGAGGCGCAGACTGATGCTCATGCCGAGAGGTTGATAGAGAGAGGAGTGTGGATCCAAAGTGCAAGGCATCGCGACCTCCACTATGGCGGACCTCCACTTTTCGCGCGACCCGAGTTTCTCCAATCCTGAAATTCGGCTGGAACGCAAGGCAACCTCCACCTCCTGTCCCCACATTGCAACACGTGCACATCGCTTGTTAGGTCGTTGATATGGTTCATCATACAAATACTAGTGATAGCGGACTATGTTAAAGGATAGCGAGGTGAAGCTCTGCGTGAGCTTCTACCCCTTCGTTAAACGTCTCTCCGTCTCCCGCTCCAGGCTGCGTCTTTTGGCGGTATCCTGTTGCGTTCCACCCCTCCTGACAGGGGAGCCCTATATCGGACTTCCTCCCATCCTTCCACTTCCACCTCCGCTTGCAGCTCCAGCCGTGGCTGTCGCGGCATGCTCAGCCGCAGCACGCTTAAGCTGACCGCAACAAGTACCGGCGAATTCCTATTTGGGGTTGCCTTGCCCCTCGTTGTCGACGAGAGTGGTGCTCGTCGCGCCTGTCGTGTGCGTTTGCTGGCTGGAGTTCTCTAGACTGCCACCACCAGCGGCACTGCTGGCACCAGGGATGGTCATCGCGCTCGGCAGTGCAGGCGATACGGCCGTACCGTTTGTTCGATGATGCGATCGCTCACGCTCTCCGTTCTCCGTCACGATTTTGCCCACGAACCAGGCCGGCACCCAGCCGCGCTCGCCAGTCTCCTCCTTGATGCTGTAGCTCCAGTGGCAGTACTTCTTGTATACCCGGATGCGCTCGCCCTCCCTCAACGTGAGCTCGTTCTCGTTCTTTGCCGTGTAGTCCATCAGGACATTGCCAGGGTACGACGAGCTCATGATGTTGGATGGCAGAAGCGGTGCACGGCCAGGGAGCTTGCCCGGGCTTCGCGGCGAGACCTGAGCGATCGCCTTCTCGAGCTCGAGCAAACATCCAGCCGGCACCCATGCACTCTTGCTCGGGTCCGAGACGATGTTGCCTGCTCCCTCTGGGTCCTTCTGCACAAACCACCAACCCTTTGCTTTCGACATGACGACAAAGGTGGCGCCCACCGCAACGTCGAATTCGTCCGCTCGGTCCGCAATGTAAGGGTAGATCGAGGTCGCGTAGGTGACCTTGTGGATCTTTCCGTCGACGTCGAGAATTGTACCTGGTTCGGGCCCCGCACCCTTCTCAGCCTTGTCCCGGGGACTTGGCAGGTCGGGGAAGCCGCCCTCGCCTGGTGTTCGGCCGCCTGGCCTAGAATCGGTCTGCTCGGTCGGGGAGGGCACCGTGTCGACGGTGGGGAGTAGGTTTTGCGACGTCGTTGGCGGAAGTCCAAGCTTGAGGGCCTGCTTCTGCTGTGCCACGGCGATTGGTGACTTGATGTCTCGGATATGCCTGAGCATGAACACTGGCCGTTGCCCGCCTTCCTTGAGCTTCTGGAACAGTAACAACGGCTTCTCGTCGTAGCTCAGACACCGTTCCGTGTTGCCGAAACAGATGAACAAAGCGTACTGCTTCCAATCGTCGTTGATCTTGTACTTCTTCAACGCAGCAGGCAAGACCTTCCAGCATGGATCCTCCATTGTAACTCGGAAGCTCTTCGCAGCCGAATGCGCCGCAGCAGTCGCACGCGACTTGTCACTGTGACTCGCATTGGTGGGAGCGGGTGTCGGGGGCGGTAAGTCGACTGGTGGCGTAGGTGATGACGGTAATGGCGCACTTCCTGATCGGTTGCTGCTACCCTCCGCACGCTTCCCGTTCCCTGCTCGCAGGGAGCCGCTTCCCAACCGAGCGAGCTGAGGCGGTTTCGGCGTGAGTCCTCCAGAGGAAGCTGTTAACCGACCGGATGTTGGCAGCAGCTGACTTGGGGAGTCGAATGCATAGGTCGTGGCCGTTGTGGGGGTCGCAGCGTCTTCGACAAGCTGGGGCGCGACGCCAGGCAAGGCGATCCCGTTGTCCGCCAAAGCGCGAATCAATCGTGCATGGTCGCGTTCAAGTTGCATCATCCGCTCTTGCTGGTCCAGCACGAGACCCCACATCCGGTCTATCGTTGCGGCGTGCTCCATCGCTTCGAGAGCAACCTCCTCTGCGATGTTGTCAGTGATCATGCTCAATTCTGTCTGCGCTCTCCAACGGGCCAGCCAGCGTCATGTGATGGTTGGTGCACAGAAATCAGCTGCAACTGTGTCCGTCCCGTCACAATGTGCAGTCACGCATGCACGATGAGCGCGGTATGCTCGATGGGCCAACAAAGTTTGGCACCATGCGGGACAGCCGCGCCCCGCTCTGATATGGATCTGCACTCACCTTGCGGTCGCCAATCGTCCTCGCCCATCTCTACGCCCTGCTCTTTCTTGATCTCGTACACGTTTCTCAGGACGTTGAGGCGATGGCCGAGAGATGTCATGCCGAGGTCGACGAGCGTTTCATTATCGAGCGCACACAGCACGTCGCCGGTGATGCCGTGTTCTACGTTGCGTCAGCTCGCGTATCTTAGCCCATGGCGGGCGTGAGCCCTATCTTACCATAGATGACATCCTTGTATCCATCGAGCCCAAGCCCCAAGAAATACTCGTTGACAGCTGACTCGTCCCACTCAACTATGGGCGAGCCAGGTGACGACGGTTTGGGCGAGACGGCCGTCATGCCGGGCGGAGATGATGCCGACGAGGTTGACTTCTGAGAGTTACGATTCGATGGCCGTTGTTTGGAAGAGAAGGAGAGTGAAGAAGCGAAGTGTCAGAGTCGCTCGGGGCTCGATTATCGAGACTCGTATCTGTCGAAGTGTAGAGATGTCAGGCCGGCGGACGCGAGGTGGGGACGGTGAGGTGGTAGGAGCTTGTGGTGGAAGGGCGGCGGCAGACGCGAGTGGGTGGAAGCGGCGGTGAAATGGAAAAGACTAAGGTTAAGCGATTGAGTAATGGGAGAGCGAAGACTAAATCGCAGTCTGGGTGGTGGGCGTGGTGGGGGCGAAGGGCCGGCGTAGAATGGTGACGGAGTCGGGTCGTGGAGATGAGTGTAGGAGGTGGAAAGGTCGGATGCAAGTGGTCGATGCAGGGGTGGTACGGGGTGGAATGATCAAGCGAGAACAACAAAGTGGTGTTACGGTGGTGATGCTTAGGAGCCTAGGACTCGACGAAGCTAGGCTGGTCCACTGGTTCAGTCAGACGGGCGCTGGCGGCAGGGTCGGCTGGCGGGCCTCTGGCGCCAGGCGGCCGGCGAGTGATGGTTGAGCCCTCCTAGCGGCGGGTCCGGGTGGAGGTCGTGGAGGGAATACGCCTTTGCGCCCAGCGGTAGCGGCGGCCAACGTGCCCTGCCCTTGGCTCTCTGGGTGAATGTTGGACCCTGCCCTTGGCTCAGCACTTGACCGATGCTGGACGGCCACGAGTCTGAGTCTGAGCTTCAAGTTGAGCGTTCCTCCCAGCGAGAGCGTGCATGCAGCGACGCAGCAGTTTGCATATCCAATGCTTCCACGCAGATCATATGGAACACTTTCTCGATTGGCTTCGCTCGCTGCCTCGAGTTCCTCGTTGAGGTGCACCCGGTTCGCGGGTGGCGCGCCGCGCGGCCGTCTCTGCCTCTCTCAACCTGACCTCCACTTCGCAGCCAGTACTACTCATTGCCCAGGAACCGGGGTCAAAGATGGTCATGCCGTACCACGTATACCAGCTGCTCGTAGCTTGAGATGTTCGTCTTGATCTGTCGCAATTCCGCGCCAACATCGTCGTCTTCCGCACCCCAGCTTCCTTTCCTGTCATAGTTCGCACACCGATCGCATCAATATCTGACGGAAACCCAAATCGATGCATGTGCTTGTCTCTGGTATATGCTGCCTCTATGTTAACGTACTGACACAAGATGCCGTTGACCCTTCTACGATTCGCTTCGTTCTTCCCCATAATTACCTCGGACGCTGTAACCCTCTTTCCTCTTCCCGCAGTACTCTTAATCGTCCAGTATGGACAACGTGGCCCCACTGTTCCTCAGTTATCAACGTGACTCCCAACTTTATCATCAGTCGATTGTTACGTGACGGGAGGCTGTGTAGATGGTACCTTCCTTTAACCATGTGCACCAGCTCCACTGTACGCAGCGATTCGCTTGCGTCAGCTGAGCCGTGAGATCGACGCAGCTTAATGAACGCCAGCCTGGTACAGGCGCCTGACCTCATCGCCAACCTCGATACGGCGCTCGCCCTCGAGGTACTGCATGGCCTCGATGTAGGTGTCGGGCACAACAATCTTCTTCAGATTCTCCATGTTGTCCTTGACCATGGTGAAGAAGAACGTGTTCGTCTCGTTGCGCGAGCCGGTCTTGACGTCCTCGACCTCGGCCTTGACGATGATGTGCATCTTGGCCTCGCCATAGGGTCCGCCAGTGGGCTCCTCGCAGTAAACGACCTTGGACTTGAGCCAAAGGATAGCGCCGATGGGGACGGGGAGCTTGAACTCGATCTTGTCGAGGGCAAGGAAGCGCGGAGGCTTTCCAGCGAAGACGGCGGCGTTCGTGAACGCAAGCTCGCTGGACATTGTCAGTTGAAAGGTCGGAGGGCTGACGACTCACAAGGCCTGTCGCATGAGGAAGCCACCGAAAACGTTGCCGTGCAGGTTGCGCTCCTGGGGGAACATGATCTGGACGGAAGACATCTCGGTGTCCTTCATCTTGATGAGCTTCTTTCCGTCGAGCTCGTGCTTTCCGCGAGTAGCAAGCATGAAGCTGTGGAGATCCCTAGACTCCTCGCCAGAGGGCTGCAAGTCAGCGCCTGGCACTGTGGATTAAACTTACAGCCTGCTTGTCCAACGTGAGCTTGCTCAAACGGCCGCGCTCCTCCTTGTGCGCCTGACCGATGTCCCAGAGCGCCTGCTCCTCGGGAGTCTCGACGATGAGCGGGGGGACCGGGTGAGCCTTGTAAGTGTGCGAGTCACGGCACACCATGGAGAACCTTCCGAGCATAAGGGTGTCGGTCTTGTCAGTTCCAGGCTTGCCCATGCCCTCCATCTTGACGAAGACCTCCATGGACGACCGTCCGGTCCAGGTAACGAAGCCGGAGAACTTCAAGTCACTGAGCGTCAGCTAAGGAGGACTTGAGACTAGCGCGATACGTACCGGACGTTCTCGTGGTTCAGGCATCCGAACATGTCCAGACGGTCAGCGCTGGCGGTAGCGATGAAGATACCGGCCCTGGCGGATTGGTTGTGGAAGTCCTCGCTGGCATCCCTGTCGTCGCGAGCGAGACAGTGACGATATCCGACAGCTCCGGCGAGCGAGTCAAGGTGCTCTAGGATCTTGCCCATGCCTAACGTTAGCTGGCAATACTGCTTGCATGTGAGACTCACGGAAACCGCCGGCAAAGTTGACGTACTTGTCGTACAGACGAGGGTTGGAGGCGAGGGGAAGCACAAAGCTAGTGTAGCTGGCCGACATGTGCTTGGGGGCCATAAACTGCTTCTTCTCCTCGGCAGTGAGAGGAGGGACTTCCTCCTTCTTCTTGGCAGCCTGACCAGAAAGCTCTGGAGTGATGTACTCCGGCTTCATCCAGGGGACTGGATGGGCGCGCATAACGAGGGGCGTGTCATCCTTGGCCTTCTTCGACGATTCTGCAAAGGTCAGCTACCGCGGGAACGTCTGCTCGAGAGCCAGGTATGATGGAAGGAAGAAGCCGATCGGAGGTCGGGCGAGGTAGTCACCCTCACAAGTGCCTCACGAGCAGCGAATGACGACGATCGCTTTAGGCTTTGCCACTGGTACTCACGGCTGATGTGGGTCAAGAGCCTGTCGATCTCTTGAAGAGTGACATACTGCTGCTTAGCCTCCTGCTTAGCCTCAGTCTTCACAGGGGTGGCAGCAGTAGCATTGCCTCGGGAGAAGTAAGTCGGAGTAGGGACAGTGCGGGCGGCGGCACTTCGATAGGCGGCACGAGCCCTAGAGCCCAATCCGAGCGACGAGCGCATTGAGCGCAGCATGATAGCGATTATTCTGAAGGAGTGTGTAGATTGAGAGAATGACGATCGAGGTGTCCTTGAGCTTGGCGCGAGGAGAGCGAGTGAGAGAGCGAGACGGTGTTGATTTCGAGAACGCCGTGTCTATGATACTGCTCCAATGGCAGTGACTGAATACCCGGTCTCAAAATCAGAAGCAGCTGACGAATGACGTATTCCCCATCCATTGCACCCCGAGTTCCGATCAGCTTGCCGGTTGTGTGTCCTCTCATCAGCCAGTGCGCGGACGGAAACATGCATACGTAGGAGGTGTGTGCGCCGTACCGGTTGTGATCGCGGCCAACTGCTAATCTGCTGTCGACTAACGATTGTTATACGCTCATAAGATGCCGCAATCTCCGCCGGTCCTCAGGAATAGTTGGTCCGCTCATCCGCTGGAATAGACTTCCTAATGTCTAAGGATGCTCGACCACGAAGCTCATTGGCCCCCCCGGGCGCAGCGTCACCCCATTCATAGATCTCCGACAAAGTTCATCTTGCTCTACTCATGTTCCTGCCGCATTCTCCCGGATCTCAGACAGCCGCTGCCACCGCGAGCTCTCCGACGCCGCAGCACCGGGCACGTCGCTGTGGCTAGGTCTTGCTCCTCCCTTGATGAATGTTTACGACTCACACCTTCATCTGCCGAAGCTCTACAGTTCCGATGACCGCACGAGGCTCTCTGAAAGAGAAGCCTAGACACTGCACAGACCTGGCTTCGTCTGGTTTTATTCTCCGGGCCAAACTCCAGGTTCCATGATGTCTCTAAACTCTGCTGGTCCCTGCCATATGTAAACACAGCGGTCTGTATCGCGATGTCCAGACCTTATACAGGGGTCTACTTCTAATCCGGATAAGGGTTTGTTCCCCATGAAGCTAACAGGCCTCCGACCACGGTCATCAAGTGAAATCTCGCTGTAGCGAGCTCGGCCCATGAACACAACGAGTGCTGCGTAGAAGTGACCATGCGCGATCGGATGAAAATCCTGCACCTAGCATCCAGGCTGTTGCATGTGCGCGCCTTCTCATCACCGGACAAGTCTTCGTCCGGTGGGTCGAGAAGACTACGCTCGTTGGCGACTCCTTCCTCTCGACAGAAGATTCCAAGCCCGAGCTGGGAGGAAGGCAAGCCCGAGGGCAAGAGCCAGATCGATATTTGCTGCGCGATACGCCTCGCTGTGCTGTAACCTCGGACGCAGCGGGCACCTTGGGCGAGCTGGGCTGGAATGTGTTGCGTTGTCATCATGTCGCCCCGTTGTTGTTGCCGGTGATAGGACTGGACTTACCGGTTACGTAACATTAGATGTTTTCCACGGTGGTGGCAAAAGTTGGCGGTTGACTCACCCTGACTGTGCCATATCGATCGGAGGTGGAGGTGGGGTTACAGCCCTCCCAGCTTTTACACCTTCCTCTATCGCCGCGCTCAGCTACCATGCCGCCTAGGTCGCGAAGGAGAGACGACGGCACTGTGCGAGGTCCGACCTCGGCGCTGACCAATTTCCTTGCGGTAAGCGGTTTGAGGGGCGCTGTGCTGATGTCCAGTCTCTTGGTGTAGACTCAACGCGCTTCAACCAAAACCCTTATGCGTCTGTTCCAGCAGACAATGCTGGCGGAGGGGAAAATGCGGAGGCTGGGCCCTCTGGTTCCAATGAACTGACTCCTCCGGCCGAGGAGGAGGAGGAGGAGGCCCGCCCAACAAAGCGAGCCAGAGCCGCCAGTATCGACTCTGACGATCTGGACGCGGACGGACCCGAGTCCGCTGCAGCGAACGAGGAGCCTTCGCCTGCCAAGCGTGGGCCGCAGGTTAGACCGCAGCCGCTCAAAGGCATCGGAGAGTTTATGAACTGTGGAGAGTGCGGTAAGAAGTTCACGGTCGTAAGTGCCTTGTACTGTCTGACGTGGACTGTGCGCTGATCTACAGACGGCGTACACCAAGGAGCACCCTCAGCACAAGCAGACGTGGCTGTGCTTTACTTGCTGCCCGAAACTGGGAATTGACGCATATGCGAAAGCGAAGAAGCCGAGGAAGGCACCTGCGAAGAAGGACGCGCGTCAAAAGATCGTTCACTACGAGGTCGTGAAGGGCGCGCCTGCCCTTGCTGATCTCTGCATCGGCGTGAGTCCAGCTCTCATATATCCCGCGTATCATAATTGACGACAGATTATCGGCAAGTATATCGAGGAAGTGGACGCACTTGGCGACATCGGAACAATCAACCTTGACAAGGTTTGCAAGATCATCTGCAAGTCGCGACGCTTGACGCCTGATACGGCGAAGTTGCTTTACAGCGTTGACCGCACCGAACTGGCGATGTACGATTGCACCAGTGAGTTCATCATTCCCGTTTCCAACTGACATCAGATCTCGTCCATGATAGTTACAAGGCTATGGCGCGTCTGTGTCCGCACCTCGAGAGCCTGCGACTGCTTTACTGCGGACAGATGCAGACCGACACGCTCAAGGACTGGGCGGAGAGCATGAGGGATCTGCGCGAGCTGGAGCTGTATGCGCCGTTCCTCGTGCGACAGGAGGGATGGGAGGCTTTCTTCCGCGCGCGCGGCCCGCAGCTCGAGAAGTTCCTCCTGACGCAAAGTCCGCGCTTCGACGAAGACACCCTCGACGTCCTCGTCTCGTCCGCACCGAACCTGAAAGCGCTTCGCCTCAGCGAGATCGGCAAGCTGAACAGCGAGTGGCTTCCGACGATCGCCAAGCTGAAGAACCTCGAGTACCTCGACCTCTCGAGCCCTGGCACGCCACTCAGCGACGATGCAGTGGCAGAACTCCTGTCCGCCGTGGGAGGCAAGCTGACCGAGCTCGACCTGAGCAGCAACCCGGAATTGAGCGACGAGGTTCTTGACGCCATTGCGAAGTACTGTCCGCGCCTCACCCACCTGTCTCTACACCACGTCGACCTCAGCGACGAGGGACTGGTGCGTTTCTTCCGCGCACTGAAGGCGAAGAAGCGTCCCGGTCTCATCGAGCTTGATCTCGAGAAGGGCCACGACTTGCAGTCCCTGGATGACCTGATCGCGCACAGTGGTCAGACACTAAAGACACTCTCGCTGTGTGGCTGGCGTGGCGCTGAACGCGAACAGCTTTCCCGCCTTGAAGAGTGCAAGAACCTCGAGTTCCTCGACATCTCGTGGTGCCGCAACACGAACGATTTCACCGTCAAGGACATTTTGGATGGGTGTGACGCGATCAAGGAGGTGCGCGTGTGGGGTGAGTTCGACGTGCCTTCGCAAGAAACTGACAATGAACAGGCTGCAACCTTCTCACTGACAACGTACCGCGGAAAAAGGGTGTGCGCGTCGTTGGTGTCGAGACGCACGCCATCTGATTGTACTCCTCCCGAACTGTTTGTACATCATGCATATGTGTATACAACCCAATGGAACTTAGTCTACTTCACGCCGAAGATCTCCTTCAGGTCTTCGAAACGTGCCTTCTTCTTCGTTGCGGCGTCCGCCTTGGTGCCGCTCTTCTCGAATGCCTGTTGTCAGCTGCGGATAGAGTCCAGAGCATACCTTGGCCACAAGTGCGTCCTTGCGCTTCTCTGTGATAGTTAGTTAGGTGTAAGCACAAAGAAACGCACGGATGTCCAGAACCTTGGCCTCGACCGTATCGGCCGCAATGAGTTGGAACACGCGCACAGTCTTGCGCTGCCCCATCTGTCTGTCAGCTTCGGCCTCAAACACTGTCAGCTTACGCGGTGCACGCGGTCGATGGCCTGCGCCTCGATCGCACTCTGCCACCAGGGGTCACACTGCTGTCAGCTGCAACGTGGATCATTAGAAGCTTACAAGGAACACGTTGCTCGCGGCGGTGAGGTTAAGTCCAACGGCGCCCGACTTCAGCGAGATGAGCATGACGTGAGGCGAGTCCTTGTCCTGGGTCTGAAAGTTCGCAATCACCTCACGGCGCTTCTGTCAGCTCTACAACGCGACCGTAGGAGAGCTCACCTTCGCAGCGGGCATCGAGCCGTCGAAGCGACAATAACTGATCTCCTCATCCTCGAGAACACCAGCGACGCGGTCCAGGAAGCTCGTGAACTGTGAGAATACCAGTGTCTTGTCACCGGCATCGAAGGCGCGGAGATACTTGACGAGTTCGGCGATCTTGGCTGAACGTGCAGCGGGTTTCACGGTCACATCATCCGGCACCAGGTCCAGGTCTGGCGGCAGCTCCAGCAGCGATGCCATGGAAAGCTCGTGTCGGTCCATTGGACAGAGGCCTTGTCGCTTGATGACCTCGCTGATGCACAGGAGACAGACTGAGGTCAGTTGCAGGACACTTTGTGATGAACTCACAGGGATGTCCGCAGTCCGTGATGCGCGGATCGGCGAGAATGTCAAAGCACACCTGGAGTTAGATTTCGCCACAGGGAACGACACCTACGGAACACTCTTCCTGATCAGCTACGGCTTGCCTAAGCTTATCGATGAGGCGATCCTGCTCCTCCTTTGAGAGCTTGATCGCTTTCACCGCAGAACCCTTAGGGGATGGTCGTTGCAGTTCCTCGAGGTAGTTCTCCGGAACCAGATCCGAGGAGAGGCAAAGTTGGCGCACTGCTGTTAGTTTCCAACTGTCGCAAGCTTGGCGACTCACTTCTCGTCAGCATGGAGAGAACGTTGGTACCAGGCTGGTGGGTCAGCAGCCGTCGATAATGTCAATACCCACCTCCCCTGTTCGGAGACTCTCTTCGAAGCGCTGCCGCGATATCTCCAGCACCTCATCGTACGTTTTGCGGGTTTCCGGGTCGAGCTGGACCTCGCACTGATAAAACTCGATGGGAGGGAGCTCCACAATCTTACGGCCTTCGGCATCCACCGTGTCCTTGGTGCGACGCAGAAGCACTTGGCCGACAATGCCCTGTAGCAAACGTCCAGCTTCGGCAGACCCAGAACGCAGAGGACGCAACACGAGCGACTTGAAGAACTCTGGCTTGTCCAGAGGCGTGCAGACGCGCGTGCACGCCAGCAGCGTACCCAGATCCGTTGGCGAATTTACGATCGGGGTTCCGGTCGCGATCCACCGACGCTCAGCCTGCAAGTTGGCGAAGGCCTTTGTCACTGGAGGTGAGTTAGTTCGCGATGGCCATTCGAACTTACTCTTCGCCTTGGGATTCTTAAGAATGTGTCCCTCATCGGCAACGACACGCTTCCAGTGCACCTTCATGAGCGGGCCCTTCTTCGTGCTCGACTTTGCCTGCTTGCTGCCCTTCACAGGCGTGGCAATTCCGGCCTCGGCCATCAGAGTTTGATATGTTGTGAGAACGACCTGCAGTCAGCTTGCACAGCGGTGACTGAAGCTCACATCGTACTCGACAAGATCCTTGCCCTTGACGCCCTTGGCACCAGCACCATGGTACGTGTAGTAAGTGAGTTTCCCGGGCGCGACATGGTCCTCAATCTGCTTCTGCCAGTTGCTCAGCACAGACAGAGGACATACTGTGTGTCAGCTTCGCTGAGACGTGCCTAGCTCACCGACAAGCGTAGTGTCGCTGTAGAATTCACTCGGCTCCTCATCCATCGTCGCGAGCACAAGACCAAGCGTGGAGAGCGTTTTGCCTGGTGTCAATATAGCTGCAGGTATTGCCAGTCCGTTGACTCACCAAGACCCATACCGTCAGCGATGATGCCACCGCGGCCGAGTTCCGGATCCGCTTCCTGTGGCGTCTTGGTCGCCGCGTTCAGCCAGTACCCGCTGTTCTTGCCCTTGCCCTTTTGCTTTGACCAGAACTGGACAGCAGGTTCGCCGATCTTGGGCAGTTTGGGATGCTCGTGGTCGATCATCCAGCGGATCGCCTGGCTCTGATGCGGGAGTAGATCCACGTTGAGTTCACCGCTCGCAACCCCTGGAGGACTCTCGAGCAGAGGCAGCTTGGTGACGTCCATGTCGGCGGTGAGCGCGGCCTGCGAGGTCAGAAGGCGACAACCAGAGACCTACCATAACGTCGTCCGCCGCCTTTTCGTCTGCCGAGACCTGCTTCAGACCCTTGAGCAGCTTCTCGACTTGCTTATCGTTCGAGTTGCTTGCTTGGCCGCCGCGCGTGCCATAGTCGTAGAATGCAGACTGGTTGGGATCCTGTCCCTTGCGGCGGAGCATGTCGAAGCTCTGGCCCATGGGCGTGATCCACTCAAACTCTGGCTCGAGGTGCGGCCGGTGTGCAGGTCGACAATAGACACACATGTCCCTGCTGTCAGCTGGAAGTCGCTGTCTGCAGCTCACATAGGGAGCTTGAAGCGGTGCTTGCCATCAAGGTTCTGCCCGATCATGCGCCCCTCGACGGTGATCAAACGCGCATCCATGAGAGGGGCGATCCGCGCAGCTGTGTTTCGCGGCACGTGGCCAACCTGGTCGCCCGCAGCATTCAGCACCTGTCTTCTCGACTTGCTTATCGTTCGAGTTGCTTGCTTGGCCGCCGCGCGTGCCATAGTCGTAGAATGCAGACTGGTTGGGATCCTGTCCCTTGCGGCGGAGCATGTCGAAGCTCTGGCCCATGGGCGTGATCCACTCAAACTCTGGCTCGAGGTGCGGCCGGTGTGCAGGTCGACAATAGACACACATGTCCCTGCTGTCAGCTGGAAGTCGCTGTCTGCAGCTCACATAGGGAGCTTGAAGCGGTGCTTGCCATCAAGGTTCTGCCCGATCATGCGCCCCTCGACGGTGATCAAACGCGCATCCATGAGAGGGGCGATCCGCGCAGCTGTGTTTCGCGGCACGTGGCCAACCTGGTCGCCCGCAGCATTCAGCACCTGTGGTTAGCTGGCACCGGCAAGTGGTGAGCTCACCTGCACCGCGTTGCTGTCGTAGGGGTTCTGCGGCTGGCGGCGCAGCATGACATACTCGCCAGCACCGACAAGGCCATTGTAGTGCTGGATGCCTACGACTTCGGAGCGGAAGGCGATCAGAAGCTGAGTGTTAGCTGTAGAGGAAAGAATCAAAGCTCACCTCATCGGCCGGCTCCTCGCCTTCGTCGTCCTGGGACGCCTGCGACGTGGGGGTGCCAGGTGTCGAGGGCCCAGCAACCGGGGAGGTTTCCCGCTCGCGCTCTCGCTTCTTGCCCTTGGATTTGGATCGTGGTCTGGAGGGTCCAAGGACCTCTTCGGCTTCCATGCTGACAGGCTAACGTTGTGTGAGAGAGTGGGAGGAAGGAGGGAAGGGCGCAACACAGAATTCTGTCTCTTTGGTGCAGCTTAGTGGACTTATAAGTGTGGAGCTCCACACGCATCATGAACTGTAGCGGCAAAGCGGAGGTAAATCCTACATTGCTTGCCACCACTCACAGCTGCATGACGAAAACAACTCTCGATCACCCATACACCCATACACCCACCATGCCCCGCTCGCCATCACCACGACGCGACCGCGACCGCTCCCGTTCTCCACGGAGGGACCGAGACCGCTCCCGCTCTCCCCGGCGCGACCGCGACGAGGGCGACCGCCGCTCCTCGCGCCCCTGGACCGAACGACGACCGAAGGAGCTCTCGTTCTACAAGAAGAGTAGCGCGGCGTACGGCCAGCCTTCCTCGTCGTCTCGCTCCATCGCCGAGATCGGGGAAGAGGAGACGGCAAAGGAGCGCGCTCAGCGTCGTGAGCGTGGCGAGGTCCCGCGGCGATTTGGCGGAACACGCGAGCAAGGAGTGAGGAACACGATGGGCAACGTAGGCGGCATGCTCGGACCTGCCGCTGGGGTGGGGAGCTTCAAGCGTACAAGTGATCCGCTCGACCGTATCGGTGTCAAGGGACGGGATTATGGCGACCGCGACAGGCGCGATGACCGTGATCGTGACCACCGCGACAGGAGGGACGACAGGGATCGCGACCGGAGAGACTACCGCCGGGACGATCGGGACCGCGATCGCGACCGTGACCGTGGAAGGATGCACCCCGACCGCGCGGGCCGGAGCGAGGAGAAACCCTCCGAAGACGGCAAGGTGTTCAGCACGACGGGGCCGGCGACCAAGATCCGTCCCGGGCGCATGATTGAGGTGATCGCCAACGACCGTTTGGGCCGGAAAGGTAAGCTCTCAGTGAGGTGTATAGCTGACATGACAGTCCGCGTCAAGTGTCTCCCGACGGATACGGTGGGAGACTTGAAGAAGCTTATTGCAGCGCAGACGGGCACGAATGCGCAGAAGATCATTCTGAAGAAATGGTACACGGCGTTTAAGGACCATGTGCAGCTGCAAGACTATGAGATCAACGATGGCATGGTGAGTAAAAGCGGCGGTTGCTTCGCAGCTAGTCGTCATCGCGAGCGTAGCTGACCTCCAGAGTCTCGAGATGTACTAGGTTCGACTTCTGATATGCATTACGTTTACTAGAGCTTGGACTGCTGCGCGCCAAACATCTCATCGTAAACAGGATGAATGAGCTCGAGGAGGTCATGCGTGACCATAGCCCTTCCCATCTTCTTGTACCCTGCCCGGCTGAGGTGTCTGTTAAAGTTACTCCCCCCATAGGCCGCAAGCAGGGCGACGTGCTCCTTGAGCTCCTCGTCCGGCGGCGAGCCGACCGACTCATAAGTGCCCTGGCTCCAGAGCCGGCCCCAAGCGAGCAACGTGCCCGTGCTGCCGGAGAGAATATCGCCCTGCCCGCCGACGCGCTTGAGGCCGCCCTGCGTCGAGTCGACGAGCGTGTCGCCGTCAACCTTGAAGGCAGGTGGCAGAGGACGTCCATGGGAGATCCGGTCCTCGCCGCCCTTCTGCACAATGACGACGTTGCCGAAGCGTTTCGCGAGGGCGGCACACTTCTCCTCCGGGTTGGACGAGGAGAGGTCCTGCTGGTCAGCTTGACATCCAACAACATGTTCAACTATGGACTCACGAGCGCCTCGCACAGCCGCTTGAACTCCATAATGTTCGGCGTGAGGATGACGCGGCACGCGCCCGGCCAGTCCTTGACGAGCTCGGGCTCCTTGTTGATAAGCCACAGTCCGTCGGCATCGATCACGATGCCAATGTCCATCTCCTTTGCCAGCTTCAATGCCTCGCGCGCACACCCCTGCATGAACTCGGACCGGCCGAGACCCGGGCCAATCACCAGAGTATGCATCCGCTCCATGACGGACTTGAGCTCTTCAATCGCCGGCTTGAGGCCCTTGGACTCGATCAGCGTGCCGTGCACGATGAGGTCGGGGGCGCTGCGGTTAACATCAGACTTGAGAGCCTAATAAAGAACGTACTATGTCTTGATCACGTTGCCCGCCTCCGGCTCGCAGATGACGTGCGCGAGGTCCGCACCGAAACGCATCGCGCCGAAGGCGGAGAAGAAGGGCGCACCGCTGTAGTCCCCGCTCCCGCCGAGGACGCCGACACGGCCTGGGTGTCAGCTCAAACCTCTTGACCAGCACAGCTTCTCAGCTCCAACCGGAGTCGGAGGAAGATTGAACCTGCAGCAACGGGGGACTCACCAGCCTGTCCCTTGTGCAGCGTCGGGTGCAGAGGCGGAATAATCTTCTGCACGAGCTGCAGGACGGCGTCGTTCTTGTCCTTCTTGTCTGTTCCCGTCATGCTGCTGTAGTGTCTAGGTCCTGCCTGTGTGTTCCGTAACGTTGGTGTCGAGGTGAGAGGTGATGTTCGAGGAAGCGCTGTCGGCCGAGTATGTCTTGTAGAAGTGGAGAGTAGTCTGCGAACACCAGTTCCAAGTCGCGCAGACATCAACAAGTTTGCCAAGTTATGATGCACTGGTAAAGGAAGTCGGATGAGATTCCAGCTGATGATTCCGGCAACACTTCGGAGGATGTCGTCATACCGGCTGCGAACGTAATGTCCACTTAGACGCCGAGATCCGTGGCATTGCAATCTTGAACCCTTCCGCAATTTCAGCCTGGCATCATCAGTACAAGAACAGCGCCGCATCATAGCGCATGGCCTTGCACCTGTGGGGTGCGACTGGCTGCCCAGTTGCCAGTTGGGGTTGGCGGACTACAGGCTGAGCCATGCCGCCATGAAGCCACCACTCTGCAGTGCACATTGCACCATGTCTAGCCATGGTCAGCCAGTGGTCAGCCAGCAGCCCACCAGCGTCCAGCCAGACAGGCCACGGCGCACATTAATGCGCACATTGGCGTGACATTGCGCCCGCACCTGACGCACCTGACCTCCTGGGCGCGCACATTGCACCAGGCGCATTGAGGCCCTGCAACCCCGCACCCACCGTGGCGCGCGGCCCCCGGTCCAGTGCCAAATGTTCCTTCCCTCCAAGGGTCATGCAGGTAGGGTATCAATTGCATAGGGTCATCGACTTGCGTCGCTACAAAAAGAGACTGAGACTCTGGGACGTTTAAATGACATTTTGGCGCTGCGCCTTAAAGTCAGCGAGTCGCTTTGGGTTTGTGGGTTGTGTGGGTTGTAGGTGGTAGGTGGGGTACGAGATGCTCTCTCTCTCTCTCGCTCTCTCGAATGCTGCTGAGGGGGTCGTAGTATCTTCGGTCGGTCGGTGGGGTATTGGGTCGTTCTCCTTCCTCTCTCTCTCTCTTCCTCGACTCCTCCGGGTCCCAAGTCGGTGCGGGCCAACCAAGTCACAGTATTATCCTCGTTTATTAATGTCGGTATGGGGTAGATGTTCGTTTCTATATGGCCAGATGTCGTCCTGTCGTATACCACTTTTGATCGCTCGGCCTCACAACTGTCCGTGTTCTACACAGTTGCGTGAAGCGGTCGAGGCGATCGTTCCATGCTTTGAAGCTGTGCGAGTGCACTCATCGCCCGCGGAACAGCTACATGAGCGCGTGGGCGCCCGTGAGGACGTTCTCGTCCATCTCCTGCGCACCGCGCTTCGTCTCGGGCTCGAGCTCGGTCGAGAACGAGTAAATGTTGCGGCCCTCGGGGATCGGGAGGCGAGGCTTGTTGTCCGCGGCGGACGCGCTAGGCGGCGTGGACGCCTCGGCAGCCGACGACGAGGACGTCTTGCGCGAGCCCTCGCTGCCGTTGGCAGTGCGCGGCGAGACGGGCTCGGTGGGAGTCGGCGAGCGCGTCGCACTGGGGACAGGCGAGGAAGCCTCAGCGATCGTAGCCTCGGCGCGCGATCGGTCGAATGAGTCGCGATGCTTCAATGTAGGCAGGTGAGACCATGAGCCCTGGCGCGAGAGCTTGCGCATCTTCTGAGCCTCGGCGGGCTCAGCGACACGGCTATGCTCAGGCACGGGCGGCACACCACCAGCGGTGGGGCCAGCCGACGTAGCGCGAGACGGAACTGGGTCGGTGACTGCTCGCGGAGGCTGAGGTCCGCCGTTAGCGGGCATGCCATTGTTGGCGAGGAAGCGGGCGCGAGACGAGCAGGCGAGAACATCAGAGCTGGATGCGCGTCCAAAGCTGGAACGCGGCTTGTGGCCGGCGCCGGCGGGCCTTCCCAAACCGATAGAAGGTAAGGTGGGTCGCGGCTTCGGGTTATGACGAGCGCGCTTGCGGGTAGGCGAGTCCTCGTCGACAGCAAACTCTTCATCCTCGGCGTCTTCGGGGGCCTCGACCGCGTCGGACGACAGCTCGGACGGAAGCATGTTGATTAACGCCTCGCGGTAGCGGGGGTCGTTCTTGTGCATCTGGTCGAGCTCGTACTCATCGACACGGGGGCGAGGACGGGCAAGTGGCTTGTAGCTCATGCTCTGCTCGCGGTCGGCGCAGACATCGTCGAGCGAGAAGCCTCGGCGAAGGGGCTTGATGGCGTACGGCTCCTGTCGAGGCTTGGGAGCAATGGCCATCGGGCCACCCTGGTTGTAGAGGCGGCGCTCGGCAGGGAGCATGTGGGTGGCACCCATGGGCGAAGGCGAACGCTTCGGCGTCGGCGACGAGCCGGAGGCTTGCTGCGCAAACCACATCTCGGGCAGGAGGCGATCGCTGACAATGTCCATCATGACCTGCTGCTGCTCCGGGGTGAACTTGAACGCGTCGCCGCGGTTCGCACGCTGGACGGCGGCGAGAGCACGCGAAGCGGTGTCGGGGTTGGTCTCCGCCATCTGGACGAGGGTCTCAGCCTTTTTGAGATCCTGACGACGATTCTGGAACCACACGGTCAGGTGGCGCGTTGTGCTGAACAATGTTAGCGCCTCATTATGCTCTGTGCATATTCAATCGTACGCACACGTCCCCGCGTCAACCGACTGACGCGCGAACGCATGTGTGTACCATTTTTTGCACGCTCGTGACTCACCATCCAAACCACCTGGCAAGCTTCTGACGCTGCCACTTGTGCGGGTTGTGCGAAATGCTCCACAGAATTTCGAGCATGTCGAGCTCACCGGGCGAGAAGCGGCGACGCGGCTTGTTCTTGCCGTGGTCCTCGGGTCGGTAGTCCCAGGGGTTGCACGAAACAAGCGTTCGGCGCGCGTTCGCACTGCCCTCGTCGTTGCCAGCATTGTCGTCGTTGCCGCCTCCACTGCCGTTGGAAGGCATCTCACCCTGGTTGAGGTACGCTTGGGGGAGCGGGCCTGGGAAACGAGCGGGAGCAAGTAGGTCGTGCAGCTCGATGGGTCCGGGAGGGTAGGGCGACGCGTGCATGTCGGGAGTCGAGGGCAGGTGTGTCATAGGGGACGAAGCGTATGTCATCACTGACCGAGCCGACGGCGTGGAGTGAATGTGGTGCGGGAGGGGCGAGTGGTGCGCCATCATCGGCGGAGGCATGCTGTGCGAGTGATGCGGGTGGTGGAACGGCGACCCATGGCGCGGGGATGCATGGCGATGCTGCGGCGGGGTGGGGAGCGGCAGCAGCGACGCGGCAGGACGCGCAAAGGCGAGGCCCTTGGGAAGAGGAAGTTCACGCGCGTCGGGGTCGACCTTGGTGACGACAGGGCGGACGGGAGTCGCGTCCTTGGGCGTGCCGCTCGACCTCATACGCGATGCCGGTGTGACTGGAGTTCCTTTGGACGGGGTAGAAGCGTTGTAGCGCGAATAAATGTTGTCGAAAGGAGCTAAAGGTTGGCGATGGCGAGCGGGTGTTTGTTGCGCAGCGCTAGTCGACGACAGGTGGTTAAGCTTGGAGGATGACCTCGTCGCGTCGTGGTGAAGCTTTAAGTTTGCGGGGGTTTTGTTCTCGTCGTTGAAGTGGTGGTGCTGCTTGGAGCTCGGGGTGGACATTGAGGTGAACGAGGTTGTGTGTAGACAGGAGGGATGGATGACTGGATTGACACCTATGCGCACACGCCAGGAGGAAGGGGAATGACTGGTGGAAGGGGGAAGAGCTTGGTCAGGAAAGGAGAGTAGGGGAAAAGAATGACTGAAGAGTTGAGCTGTGTGGATGATGCGGGAAGAGATGCAGGAGATGCGGGGGTGCTACAAAGTGGGAGAAGTGTGATTGCAGTGGATGAGAGTGTTGCAGCGAGGAGGAGGAAGAGGATGGGAGAAGAAGAGGAAAGGAATGGAGCGCGAGGTGGTTTGCGTTCTGTTCGATGGAGGCGAGGAAGGGAGGGGGATAGACACGGGGTGACAGATGAAAGGATAATGAAGATGAATCAAGAAGATGACTTGACTCCTGGACTACCACTACGGGCTAAGGAGCGCGAGACAGCGAGTCTGCACAGAGGTGCGCAGGTGCGTACGGTGAGCTAACGCAAAAGACAGGCGCACTGCAAATGAATGGCAGGGCAAGGGCAGAGGGGAGACTATGGCAGGGTCACCCAGGTCGGACAGGCGGCAGCCCAGAGGGGCGCGCGGGCCAAGGGCGCACAACGTCCAGCGCTCCCAACAGTCCGACCCAGGTACGCAGGGTCGCCAGGGGCAAAATGCCAGGAACGGCGGTCACAGCGCTCAGAATGCAATGTCGTGGGCCTATCCAGTGGACCCGCGCAACGCTCGACGGCTCACTGCTCAGCCCAGCTCAGCACGCTCACTGGATTAGACTTAGCCTTGTCGTGTTCCTTTCTCCGGCGCGAGGCGACACCCACTCACCCCACCGTACGGCGTTCAGAATCTCGCACAAGCACACAATACCGTCACTCCCTGCCGACACCTGCCCTCCCTGGGAATGAAATCCGAGCTGCGATTGGCGCGTCCATCCCCCCTCCTGCGTGTCATTCCCGACTTCCCGACTCGTCCATCGTCGTTCACACACCACTGACCAGCCCTCCAGTGCATGCATATTACTCTTACTGGAATAAACACTCATGTGTCGCATTATGCAATGTCTTACACAGCCAACGGTCACTTCGGCCTAACGGCAACGCAGCGTGTCATGCTTCACACTCTGGAGCCAAACGAAGTGCCGCGGAGACATTCTTTGAGAAATCTAACTTCAGGCATGCGCGCGCTCTCGCCAATCCTGCCTGCCTAAAGCTTTGCTTAAGCCTGCCTGTTGTGCCAGTCCGGGTCCTGAACCTGTCACGATACGACAATGCACAGCAGATGAGAGTCATAGGGAGACACAGGGCAATCAGGGTTCACAAAGCCCATCAGTGCCCTGAACTTGTTATGCCAATCGCCCGCCACCGCACGACCCGCTTCCACCGCTCCTCTAACCATGCTTGGCGATTGACATGGCCATCGCTGTCTCATGCTTTATCGCTTGATGCATTTGCTCTGTTGTAACATTTTGATGCAACGAAAACAGAACATTACAGCATCACAACCGATCAACGCTGTCATGTACGTGATGCAGCGGCATGGAGCGGGTGCGTGGCCCGTTGAATGGCGTTGGCGCTCTGAAGCCGCAGATGCATTTTCGGCCGTGTATTGTTCTATGATGGGTCCCGTCATCCGCCCCGACTATCTCCTGCACGTCGCCGAGTCCGAGTATCGCAAAGTCTGCAACTCGTACACCGAGTAGACACAGGGCAGGCTCAGACAAGGCGCTTGCTCTCGCCGTTGTCCTTGTCCTTCTTGGGCTTGTCGTCCTTGCCCTTGTCGTCGTCGTCGCCGTCCTCCTCCTCGACGGGCACGTAATGGTCGCCGTAGCCGATGAAGTCGACTCTTGTGCGTCCATCGTCCGTCTTCCCAAGGAACGCAGAGAATTTCGACTTCAAAAGGACCTCAGACTGTCTATGCAAACCTGAAGAGACGTCAGCATGCATGCAAAGCGTTGAAGAGAAGCAGAAGAGATGTCGTGAGGAGGAGGAGTGGTGGTTGTGGCAGTGGTGGAGGGAGGATTGGCGGACCGCGCGCAGTCGGCTCATATCCGGCAGGAATTTGGCTCATTTGGGCTGATTTGGCTCATGTCCCTCGGATCCCTCGTAATGAGACGCCACGTTTCCAGGGTCCGAAGGCTAGGGCCTGGTTGGTTGGAACGGAGCGCAATGTTGTGTCCCGTGCCTTGTTGGAGGCAAAAGGAAGGCATCAGACGAGAGAAAGTCTGAGCCAGCTTAAGCCTCGGGCGTACCGGACCCAGGGGCGCGCGCCCTGCCCCAACCGGCCCACCCTGGCCAACCCTGGTGTTCGGCTCCTCAGCCCAGGAGCCGTTCGGAGAGAAAGGGAGGGGAACAAGCCAGGGAGCCAAGACGCGTGTCCATCACGCAGAGGCGCGTCTCGATTCCACGCGCGTCGGCTCGCCCAATTCACAGAAGACGGTTATGCTCCCGGTCCCATGTCTCCATCACCTGAACATCGTCGCCTCGGTCGAGGCTTGTCAGGCTCGCACCTGCGGACCCAGTGGCCAGTGGCTCCCACACCCGCGCACGCAGCCGTTCCCAGCTTGCATGCCCGCAGGTCCCTTTGCATTCTCCGGCCCCAAACATGACCAGCAAAGGGGCGTGAAGGGGCACAGATCGCAATGGAACAGGGAAGATGACAGGGCACACACCGCACTGCGCTGCGCGCAATTCACCGCGCGACCCATCGGCGCCCATCACGAGGCGTTGAAATAAGAAAACACGATCCAAAACACATACCTTCAATCTCGTCGACGCGATCGCGCGTCTGATCCAGCATTTCATCGAAGCCTGGCTGCGACACGACCTCCTGCGCCGCACGCAGGATGATCATTGAGTCGGGGCGCACATCGTGGTGAACCTGTGAGGGTCAGCGCGTCTCGCTAGCGCGATACGAGGACAGTTCACACCGCCTGCGCTACACATCCAAGCGAGGACTTGAATGCAGCGCTACGGATGCGCTGAATGCGCTGCCTCCGCCCTAGTCGTGCGGCCATGCGGCGCGCAGACCAAGCGCAGGCAGCGCGCAAGGCAGAGCGCTCGCTCCAATGTGGAGCCGAAGAACTGAACTCTAAATCTCAGGCTTACGTCAATCGTGATGATCTGCACAGGTTCCGCGTCAGCGCGCTTTTTCCTTCTCAAAGTTTGTTCCGAGTGTTTCAACGCGGCGTGATGGTGTTGCGCTGCGGGGTGATGCGCTTACTGTGCCTGTGATGGCCATGTTGACATGACCGGTCAAGGGCACGCGTCACGGCACGCACCGCTCGCTGACCGCAGCACAACGGGCCGACGTTGCCCACTCCCACAGGTGCTACTTACATTGTCGTGGTCCAAGCCCTCGAAGAAGTCGGTGCGCGTCATGAGTCGTCGCGCATCGTCATATGTCACACGCGGCAGGTCGATGTCCGTGTTCAGCTCCTCCTCCGAGATCTCAGGTCGGTCCGAGTCATGAGCAGTGGAAGCCCTGTCGTCGGCAGGGGCTGGGGTCAGGTGGATCTCATCCAGGTCGAGGTTCTTCTCCGGGTCCTCCTCGAGCTTCTCAATCTCGCGGTTCAGGTGCTTCAAGGGAGCAGCCTCCTGCGCCATATGCCGCAGAAGCAGCCAGGAGCAACTCGACCACCTGGGAACAGGTTAGCTTAATTGTCACGCTTCACACATGAAACGACGGGTGTTTACTTTTGTTCGTCCCTGAGGAATCGTCAGCGAAGCTCTTCGTACGTCGGTGTCAACCTACATGACATCGTCGTCCATCTCTGGAATCAGACCGATCCTGGTTTCGTCAGCGTGTGCGCTTCATGACATTGTCACTCAGGACGCACTTTGACAGAAGCCAGCCCTTCTCCATCTTAACAAGCTCATCCGCCTCCTCTGGGACATTAGCTGCGGCACTTCCCTAGTAGCTCACTGATCATGTCACCGGCACGCGCGACACGGGTGATGTAGCTTGTTCGTCCACCAATGGTTTCGTAGACACGACGAAGCACGTTGTCATCCTCAATCTGGACCTGGTCGACCGACGTGTTATTCCGAAGAGAGAGGTAGAAGGCGCGCAGCTGGCGGAGAGCCTTGATCGCCTCCGTAGCCGACAAGTCGTAAACGGAGAGAATCCTCATGCGCGAACCGTTCTTCTTCAGCTTGTCGAGACACCCTGGTCGTCAGTTGTGTGACAAATCATTTGAACTTACAGAAGTCGTCGGTCGTGAACACCATTGTCATGATACCCTGTCACGTCAGTACATGCTGACCCAGCGAGCTCACAGCCTGAGCCCAGGCCTCAGCGCGCTGCTGGAGCTGGTACAGAATTGCGTGTCCCTCCTCGTTGTTGGGGAAAAGGTGAATGTCTGAGAGTTAGCGGGAGATGATCACCTGTCCTCACTGGTAAACGCCATGACGAGGGGTCGGCCGTGCTTCTTGGTGTACTTGATCGCCACCTTCTCAAGTTTAGTCATCGCACGCTCAACATCCAGCTGAGGACCTCCAGACCGGGGGTCAGCTCGCGAGAACAGAGATCCCTGCCAGTCCTCGAAGAAGTCAAAGTCGAGCGCCTTGCCGAGACGCAGACGGAAGACCTCCAGATCGGGGTGGGCTGAGTGTCAGTAACCGCACTCCACAAGTCCCACATACCCTCGCAAACCGACGCTCCCTCCGCATGCACAGAACGCATCGCGCTTCCCGTCAGCATCGCACCTCCCTTCGACTCACTCGAGGATCATCGTGCCCTTGCCCGTGCCCTTGGGACCGATCACAAGATAGTAACCTCCCTCCTTCTCGCCCCTGAAGATGGAATCGATGAGCTTCTGTTCGCGGCGAACGATGTGGCTAGACTGTGGCGACTTCGCAGAGGTGAGCTCCAGTGCAGGATCCTAGATGTCAATACCCCGGAGCAGTGCGCGCAATGCTCACATAACCTCCGGCAAATGCCCCTTCCACCTGTCCATCAGCAACTTGCACCAAGGTTTGAACCTACACGACGGAGAACATGGGCCTTGTACCACTGGAGATAGCCAATACCACCGGCAAACACGGCACCGAGACCGACAACCGTAGTGAGGGCCGCCTGGAAGCTCGGGCTGTGAGCCCATTCGTGATACCAAGAATCGTGCTTCTTCTCATCCTTGCCGCCCTTCTTGCCGTCCTTGTCATGCTTGCAGTTGGAGTCCAGATCATCAGATGGCATAACCGGAGGCTCAGGAACAATCGGCTGAGGCCACTGAGGAACATCGCCTCTGGTCGAGGACGGATGGAAGCGCCTGTTTAGCAGGAGGGTCTGTGCAGGCTGCCGGTGGAGGCGGGCTGCAAGGACCAGCCTGTGAGATGGTCAGCAGCTACCCGCAAAGCGACGAAACGCACCTGCTAGTCGGGGGTCGAATCATGCTGATCACTTTCCGGGGTCGAATACCTTGCGCCTGCGTCGGAGAGTGAAAAAAGTTGCTGTCGTTCACTGCTTTCCGGAGGTTCGTCGTAAGGTTCCCGAGGCGTGGACGTGATCGAGATCGCCCTCGCTTGCCGAGCGTGATGGGCCTTGGCCTGGAGCCCCGCTGATAATGTCCAGAAAATGAGGTGGGAAAAGGGCGGTGTTCTGGGATCTGCGGACCACGTTTCAGGTCCCTCATTCCGCCAGGGCAGGGCGGCTGGCTGGGTGACCGTGGCTGCGTTTCCTTGGTGTGTCATGAACCACAACAACAAAACAACAACGGAAGCACACCTTACACAACTCCGGTTCACACACTTCCACCAAACATCCAAACATTACTGAACTTTATCTCACATCAACACACCATCATCCCTCTGCTCCTTTCACCACTCGACATCCAGCAAGCCGAACGACAAGAATCCGCTCCTTGCAACCAACGTTGCGGAATCCGATCAAGCCCCTCGACAAACCCTGGACATTGGTCAATTTGAAGAGCCGCACAGTCTGGCCGTCCAGATGCCGTCCACTCCGCGAAGAGTCTCTTTGAAGCGTCAGAGAGACGGAGAGGCCCAAGATGCAGAGGAAGACATCAAGCCGCGAGTGAAGGGCGCCGCTAAGGTCGAGGGCCCTTCAACACCAAAGCGCAAGGTCGTCAACGCCATCGAGGGGACGACTCCGAGAACTATGAAGAAACGGGAGCCGCTCAATGCCAGATTAGCCAACGCCGCGGGCTCACCGTCCTCGACACCACCACGCAAACCTGTGGCTATCCCCGCTCCTGTAACGTCGGCTAGGAAGTCCGTCGCACCCAGAGCATCGATGGTCAACCAAGACAAGGTCGTCGTGTGTATGCGGTGCGTGACCAGCAGGGGACCAGATCTGACAATGCAGTATCAAGCCCACCAACTCTCGGTTCTCTACTAGGGCGTACGAGATCACTGACAATGCTTTGATTCTGTCTGATGCCCACCCCAACATCGTTCGTCGAGGCGGAAAGGCAGCGGGGAGGGACGCTGAGTACACCTACACCTTCGGTGAGCGTCCCGCGACTGGTGAGAGCTAACAGCAGACACCGTGCACCAGTACCCTCGTACAACGCCGGAGCTGTATGCAGACAAGGTGGCACCGATGGTTGAGAAGGCCATGGCTGGGTTCAATAGCACTGTCTTTGCGTGAGTTGCTTTGAGCCTGCCCAGTATCTGACCCAAAGCTATGGACAAACTGGAAGTGGAAAGTCCTACACCATGGTAAGTCACCAGTGACACATGTGCACGAAGTTCTGGCGCTAACAATTAGTCGGGAACGCCCTCGGAGCTCGGCATTATTCCGTGCGCGGTGGACGGCATCTTCGATGCCATCACAGCCGTGAGTATGATGGGGCCTGAAACGAGCTCGGCTGACTTTCAGGACACCGAGCGTGCTTTCCTGCTTCGTGTCTCCTACATCGAGATCTACAACGAATCGCTTCGTGACCTTCTGAATAACAGACGGGGGCCGTTCAATGGGGACGATGCTGTACAACCCCAGATTCGTACAGACAAGGTGAGGTACGGGCGATTGTAAGCGCTAACTTCGCAGGGCAAGGTTTACGTCGACCCTCTGGAGGAGGGCATCGTTTCCACCCCTCAGGACGTCGTTGACTTGCTGGAGCGGGGCAACCAGAATCGCAAGACCGGTGCCACAGACTGGAACGAGCGCTCTTCTCGATCACACGCTGTGTTCATGATCACGATCGAGTCACGCCCTCGTATAGGAGACGGGGAGGAGGACATTCGCGTCTCGCGACTGTCCCTCATTGACTTGGCCGGTTCCGAGAAGGCAGTCTCGGATGCCGAGCGTCGTGGCGAAGGCAAGCACATCAACCAAAGTCTTTTCGCTCTGCGTGAGGTTGTCCACAAACTCACTGAGAAGGGCAAGCGCGGCCACATCCCCTACCGCAACTCCAAGCTCACCCACCTCCTGGAGAACGTCCTGGGCGGAGATTCCAACATTTGCGTGATCTGCACCATGTCGGCCGACGAGGCACACTGTGCTGAGACCTTGGAAACGTTGAAGTTTGCCGGACGCTGCTCTCAGGTCGAAACCAAGGCCAGGAAGAACATTGTGAGTTCTCACAGCCGTGGAATCGGGACTAACGTGCCTAGCTGCAGTCTTCGGAGGGCGCCGTCATCAGGGCGAAGGACATGGAGATCGCGTCGCTCAAGCGCCAGCTCGAGAACCTCGGTCAGCAGCGCGCGGTCGAAAAGGATTCCTCCACCTCCTCAACCGAGCTTAGTGAGCTCGCTGAGTCGGTCGCGGAGCTTGAAGCACGCAAGGCCAAGCTGGCCCAGCAAATCTCGAAGCTCAATGGCGAGATTCTCACCAGCGAGCTGCCCCGCAGCAGCACTGGACTTCCCGCCTCCCCGCCCAAGAAGAAGCGACCTCGTATCTCTGACTTCACATCCACGTCTCAGGCTGCGAACCTAGGCATTGGTCTGGGAACCCCGAGCAAGCACATGGACCGCCGTGCCGTCTCGACCATGATCAGGGTTCCCGAGGAACGCTTCCAGGAGTTCCAGGATGAGCCTTCTCCCAAGGACGTTCAGCATTCGGTCATGATTGAGAAACTCGACCCTGAGAGAAACTTCGACCACGACGTCACCATCGCCTCGCTGAGACGCACTATCGCCACGAAGGAGGAAGCGATCTCGAAGCATGCCAATAGCCTTGCCGAGTTGCAGCCTCTTGCTGAGAAGCTGCCGGAGGTCGAATCTGAGTTGGAGGAGACGAAGGCGAGCCTGAACCGCATGGAGGCCGAGCATGCGAAGCAGCTGAAGGAGGCCATGGACCAGCTCGACGAGCTGCAGAAGACTCGGACGGAGCTCACGGAGAGCGTGGCTGAGAAGTCGAAGCAGGTCGAAGCCCTCGAGACTAGCGTCGCCGACCTCAAGAAGTCGCACTCTGATCTCTCCGCCGCAAACGCTGCTCAGCTCGCCAAGCTCTCTGCCGAGCTTGAAGCTGTCAAGGGCGAACGTGACGCCAAAGCTACTGAGCTGGAAAAGCTTGTCGCTGGACATGATAAGCAACTCGCCGACGCCAAGGCCGATGTTGATTCCCACCGCTCTCAGGTCGAGAAGCACGTTGAGCGCATTACAGCTCTGGAGCAAGCAGAGACGAAGCTCAAGGAGACTCTCGTCAAGGCTCAGAAGGACCACGAAGCGTCTATCGCGCAGTACTCTGCTGCTAAGGAGTCGGCCGACAAGACTGCGACCGAACTGGCCGAGCTGAAGGCTGAGAACGAGAAGAAGGAAGCCGACCACGCCGCCCAGCTTGGTGCAGCTTCTGAGGCTCATGAGAAGGTCTCGAGCGAGCTCTTGAACGCCAAGGAGATGCTTGGGAGCACATTCGAGCAGCTTGCCACGACCAAGGGCGAGTACGATCAACTGAAGAAGGAGCTCGATGAAGCCGCGGACTCGCATAAGAAAACATCGACCGAGCTTGGAAAGATCAAAGCGGCCCATGAGAAGCTTACCGCTGAGCTCGAGGAGGCGAAGAAGACAGCAACAGCTGATCTCGAAGCTGCCAACGCCTCTCTCGCAAAGGTCAAGGAGGAGCTGGCTTCCAAGACGGCTCAGCACGAGGGCTCGACAAAGGAGCTCGCTGAGAAGACGACGCAATTCGACAAGGCTTCCGAGGAGATTGCTGCCCTCCGAGACGGGGCCAGTGTGGCTGAGTCCATCAAAGCAGAGCTCGAAGAGCACAAGAGCTTGCTTGAGAAGGAAAAGGCAGAACGCGCAAAGCTTTCTGAGGAGCATGCTGTCGTCGTTACTCGAGCTGGGACCCTCACTTCCGACCTTGCAGCCTCGAAGAAGGCTCACGAGACGGAGGCTACAGCTCATGTGGAGACCAAGGCTGAACTTGAGAAGCAGAGAGAGCGTCTGGCCGAGCTCGAGAAGGAGCTTGCCACTGCCAGGGCCGAGGTCGCAGCTGAGAAGACCAAGTTTGCTGAGCAGACCGCAACGCTTGAGGCGCAGAGAAAGTCAGCCGAGGAGGCTGAGGCGCAGGTCAAGTCTCTGAAGGATGCGGCCAGCTCGAATGCGGACGAAATGTCGAGCAAGCTGGCCGAAGTCTCATCTAAGCTCGACGCCAGCACCAAGGCCGCTGAGGAGGCTGCCGCCGCGCTCAAGAGCAGCCAGGACGAGCACGCCGCCGCAACAGCAGCTCTGGAGGCGGAAAAGAAGGCGCGTGACACTGCCGACAAGGAGCTTGTGGAGGTCAAGGCGCAGCACATGTCGGCTGCCGGAGACCTCGTCGCCAACCTCACTGCCCTTAAGAAGGAGCTCGAGGAGGCCCGCGGACAACTCTCGAGCAAGACCGAGGAGCTTGATGGCGTCGCGACACAGCTCACGGCCGCCAAGGCCGCTCTCTCCAAGATCGAGAAGGAGGGTGCTGCTCAGCTCCGTGCTTTACAGGGCGAGCTCGACGCTGCCAAGGGCGACGTCAACGCCCAACGCTCGCGCGCTGACAAGCTCGCTCAGCAGCTCCTGGAGAAGGCTTGCACCTCGCCCTCGAAGGTGGCTGCCAACTCCAGCCGTGGCCTGCGCCGCGTCTCATCGGTTCCCTCCGGCCTGAGTGCGTCCGCACTGGGTGCTCTCCGCGGGACCGGAGACATGTCGACGCCGGACGTGGAGGGCTGGAAACGTAGCCACGCCACCGAAGAACTGCAACGCTTGGACAAGGTGGTGGTGCAGCAGAAGGCTATCATCGAGGAGCAGCGCGACAAGATCCGTCTGTGGACGGACGAGCTCCAGAAGCAGCGGGACGTTGTGCGTTTGCTCTCCGAGACGAACGCCAGCTCGTCCTTACCTCCGATTCCTGGCACGCCCTCGAAGGATGGGTTCGAGGAGCCGACGACGCCGTCAAAGTACGGCCAGTTGTCCACACCACGCAAGAGCCAGCTTCCGAGCACATTCACTGCGCGCAACCTGGCTCTCCCTTCCACACCCAGCCTGAACGCACCGAGCCCACTGCCCATGCACACGGGTCAAGTGTCCAACGCACTGCGTAAGGCGCGTCGCGTCACACTCGAGCGCGACATGGGCCGCCTCCAAGAGCGCGCCAAGGTCGCCAACATGAAGAACATGTTCGATTCGCCGTCGGCCGCTGGCGGACACGGCGACGATGAAAACAACAGCCCCCGTACGCCGGTCAAGACTCCCAGCACGAAGCGCAGAAGCTCAAGGCGCTAGTATCGCCATCTAACTGCGCGAACGGCGGACTCTGCTCCAAGCGCTAAGAACGCCTCCGGTGCGATCGCCACGCAAAGCTCGTCGAGCGCCACATCGCTTTCGACGAACGCATCGATCTCAGCAAGCTCGACCTCGACAAGCACGAGCACTGATGCGCGAACCGGCCTCTGAACATTGTATCTAGACACACGACCTGCATGCCATCTCCCTCTCGTACGCCACGCGCCAACTGTAGAAATGTCCTTGTTTATGCCTCGATCGGCCAATGTACATGCACCACATGATCCTGAACTCAATCATTGTTGCGGAGGGTTTCCCGAAGTAATGTGGAGAACCAAACATTGGACGATTCCCACTCCACCGACTGCATTGAGTAGCAGCTCAGAAGAATCATGTCAACACGCGGTGCCTCTACGAGAGAGAAGCTCAGCATTCCCTCGGCATGCGAAAGGCACGCCTCGCTGTGGAGTGGGACGGCATGTATCATGCATAGAGCAGGAGCGAGGAACAACATGCCCCGCTCTCAAGAGCGATCTCGTAGTGCTACCGACACGGTCCAGATCCTCTCCATCGGGCGCTAGCGTAACTGGCGCTAATGAAGTCTCGTGCATGCATCGCTTCCCACGCCGCCTTGAGGCTTTGGATACCTTTTGGATATATTTGGATGCCGGTCTTCGGCCCGGAGTCCCGGAAAACCGGGTTTCTGGATCTAGATGCCAGACGAGCTTGACGATCTGAACCGATGTGGACCGATGAGGAAGGTGCTGAGTGCGATGGTACATGTGTGGAGCATTCGCCGCCCGCGCCGCCCACGCCGCCCGACTCGACGCCACCGATCAATGATCAGTTGCAGCGTGTTTCCAGAATTCAAGCCCGGGGGTGGCTTGACTGCGCATCGCTTGGCGATGCCAGATCTTCAGCGGCCAGCTTGCTGGTACTGGTAGTGAGAAACGCATGCGTAGCCGCGCAATCGCGGGCAACACTACTCTGCGATCTGAATGATTGGGAACTACGGCTCGCGCGATCTGGCGTTGACTTGCATTACAAGACGGTTTACGCTACTTGTACATGTTTTGAAGTGCTTCGGACATCTCGGCGCTCTCGGCTCAGCATCGCCTGGACGAGGGTTGGTCTCAGTGCCGAGAGCGTGACGCCTCTTCTTCCCAGAGTACCTCTCCTGTTCGGTATGCGTTCACCCAGCTCTGCTTATCGCCTTGCCGCGTGATCATCGCCTCTGCTATCTGAACGGCATTCATATTGCTCCGTCTCGTCATCATGTTAAGCGCCATGCCACATCGTGACGATGACGCACGGCAAAATAGCTCACTTCTCGCCGGCCATGGCCCAAGTGAAGAACGTGCCGACCGAGCGGTATGGGCGCCAGTTCGCCGTCAGCGCCTCCATCTCCTCGGGCAGGAGGTACACGCCGCCCCTGCTGTTAGCATCGTTCCACTCGTCATCGAGCGATTGCGGCGGATAGATGGAGTGAACCACGGCATGTGAAGGCAGTGTCATGTTCCAACCGCCGATCGCGTCACACGTCACCTTCAGCGGCGGACAGGCTAGTCCGCCGACCCACTCGCGTCCGTGCACTGGAGCAAACGCACAGCTCGGCCTGCAGCACAACGCGGTGCATATTACCGCTCACGTGTACTCACTTGGCTTTCTTGCCCGCGAGGCGGGATCGCAACGTGCTGATGTCGAGTCCTGGTGGCAGTGGCGCTGCCTTCAGCGCATGCTCGGAACTCCAGTCAGGCGTAACGGCGATCAGGCTGTCGTCCTCAGCAGGCGGCAGGGAGGGATTTGTACTCGCGCTGGGAGTGACGGGAGGCGGTGCTGGCGTAGCAGGTAAGATACTGCTACCTGCGGGGCCATTCGCCGGTGTGGGCGTTGCAGGCTCGTTCAGCAACGTCGCGCTCGAACTGGCTGCTTCCAGGCTCCGTTTGTTCGGGGTGACCGGTGTGGCTGGGGGCTCCATGGCTCCCACTGAGGTTGTGTGTGTCAAGGCTGTTGGTGACTGGGGTTCAGCGGGCTCGCCAGGCGTCTTGCTAGGCGTAGCGGGGAGCGACTTGCGTGGCGTCGAGGAGAGCTTCGGAGGCGGCAGTGCGCCGTGAGCCGCGAGTACCCAGCGCAGAAGACCTTTTTGAACTCCCAAGTCGCCGACTGGCAGCACATCGCCGCGTCGCAGAGTGAAGATTAGGAACATGTCTACGGTCCACTTCCCAATACCCCTGACCGCCGTCAGGGCAGCGAGAACGTCCTCGTCCGGTGCGGTGAGGAGGGCCTCCGTCGAGAGGCGGCCGGCGGCGAAGTGTCCGGCCAGCTCGATCACTGGGAGTCAGCTATCCATCAAGGTGGCGCGAGCTGTGACACTAACCGTACTCGGACTTGCGTGTGCTGAAGCCGACGCCCTTCAGGTCAAGAATGTTTGACGCTGCAACCTGTTCTGGTGTCGGGAATGGCCAGTCTCCCCTCTCCTCTCCATCGACCGGACCGCAGAAGAACTCGATGAACCTCTTCGTGATGCTCCGCGCCGCCATCCACGACACCTGCTGCCCAATAATGCTCGTGACGAGTGAGCGGAACGGATCGTCCTTGTGTCCATTGCGTCCGTCGGGCCCCAGGAAGGGCTTGCACGGCACGCGCTCCGAGAGCTTGGCGAAGCGCGGGTCTGCGGCGGAGAGATGCGCGAGCGCCGTGGGCAAGTGAACAGCCGGCGGTGGTGTGTGCCGCGTCAGGGGCGGGATCGTGCCATCCTTCTTTCCCGCCTTCGGCTTCTTTGGGGTTGAGCCGGCTTCTTCTTTGGCAGAAGCATCTGATGCGGACACCTTGCGACGCTTCGCCGGCTTCGTCGGCGTTGTAGGGGTGCTATCCTCAACTTTGACAGAAGTGGGCAACGGCGCTCCGGATGCGCCGAACCCGTTAGCGGTCGCTGCCGCCACTCGTGCGGATCGTCGAGTTGTTCGGACTGAGGCCATTGCTGTGGTCAGAGGTCGTGCTCGCTGGAGGAGCATGCGGAGGTCGTCGAGGAAGGCACCCGCAACATCGTGATGAGTTGCCCAAGGGCCGGATGACGATGGTTGACTAACCCGCGCGGGGCACCACCTCCACCCCGTCTCCGAAGCCAGGGCAGAGGCTGGGGGATCGACAAGGCGGGCAACTTGGGTGGTCAAATACATCTATTCTGCGTTTGGCAGCAGGTTGCGAAACCCATTGCATTAGGACACATGGAAGACTTAGCTCTTCACCGCGAGCTGTGAGAGCGACAGCGGTCGTCGACTTATGCTCTTGCAGAATTACATTGCTTGCACACTATTAACCGTTGACTCTCGGACATCGGACGCCGCAACGCCGCGACCAGCATCACACCTCAATTGCTTGGCGGCAAGCTGCAGCCGCCCGAAATACAGCGTTACGAACCCAGCGCACCGGCGGTTACCACTGTCCGTAGAAATGCTGACGGCTTTCGTCGAGGCGTCGCAGGCTGTGAAGCGAAGATGGAAGCCCAGAAGCGAGGCTTGAAATCGACAGGCACGCAGGCACAGACAGGTACCCATCAACGAGTACGCATCCGGTGGATCCTGAGCTTCTCTGCTTGAATTGCCTGCGTCGCTCTTTCTCTGCTTCGCACGACATTGCCTGTTCCGCCCATGCTTACCACACAATTAGCTCATGCTCGGCTACGTACGTGTCCGTTGTGTGTCAGGTGTGCAGGAGCCCGGGGTGAGCCGCTGCTGTCCCAGTTGTTCGTGGCACACTCATACTTCACAAGCTCTGCTTTGCTTCTCTGACGGCGAGTATGAATGCTATCTGTGGCCGAGGCATGGGTGCAACCGCTCATCTCTGCATAATCTTGGCGTATGGCCAGGCCATATAGAGGGCAATTATAATTCAACTTCAAGGGAAAGTAGTGTCCATTCAAGCTGATTGTTCTATAGGACTTAGAGCTCGAACTTGGGCATGGGCTTGGCGCCAGGGGCGTCACACTTGCAGATGCACACGGTGCTGCTGGGGGCAGGGCCGGTGACGGTGGCAGTCTGGGTGACGGTGTTGGTAACGGTCTGAGCCGAGGGGGCAGGGGGGCACTCCGAAGCCGACGGGGAGGGACCGAAGTCGAGGGAGGGTTGGGGGGAGGAGTCGAAGGGGTGGCAGACGAGGTCGGGGGAGGAACCGAGGTCGAAGGGGGGTTGGGGGGAGGAGTCGAGGGAGTGGCAGTCGACGAAGAGTACCTCTCCTGTTCGGTATGCGTTCACCCAGCTCTGCTTATCGCCTTGCCGCGTGATCATCGCCTCTGCTATCTGAACGGCATTCATATTGCTCCGTCTCGTCATCATGTTAAGCGCCATGCCACATCGTGACGATGACGCACGGCAAAATAGCTCACTTCTCGCCGGCCATGGCCCAAGTGAAGAACGTGCCGACCGAGCGGTATGGGCGCCAGTTCGCCGTCAGCGCCTCCATCTCCTGGCAGTCGACGAAGGGATGGGGATGGGCTCGCCACCAGGCTTGGCCGAGAGGGTAACAGAGTACTGGCACGCGTTGGAGTCGGCGTTCGAGGTGTTGATGACAACCTCGACCTGCTCACCGGGGTTGGCCTCACCCTGGAGAGCACCGGAGGCCTGGCCCTTGTTGACAGTGACGGTGGACGTCTGGCCGGTAGCCTTGTTGGTGTAGGTGGCCTGGATGTTGACGGGGCTGTTCTGGGAGACAAGGTTGATGGCGAAGGTGAGCTGCTCGTGCTGGCTCTTGGGCGAGTAGGTGAAGGTGGCCTGGGCGTTCTTCGAGCAGAGGCCGAGGGTGGTGACGTCGTTGATGAGGGGACCACCCGACTCGCCAATGTCGTTACCGCCGCACTTGCCGTCGTTGTTGGTGAGACCGTTCTTGATAACCTGCTGGACAAACTCGCGCTGGGACTGCGAGTTCGAGATGATGGAAGCAGTACCGCCAGAGGCGAGGACGGCCTCGGAGATGCGCTGGTCGAGCTTGCCGCTCTCGCCCGACATGGCGTTGAGGCCGCCAGTGATAAGGTTGGTGATGCCGCCGAGGATGCCACCGATCAGGCCGCTGCCACCGCCCTTGTAGGGAGAGTTGGTGTGGCCCCAAGAAACACGGATACCCGCCTCCTTGGCCTTGTTGATCTGCTTGACAATACCGTCGGTGTTGCTGTCCAGGCCGTCGGTGAAAATGATGACGCCACCGCGGTTGCCGGGGTTGGCGGCGGCGACCTGCTCAATACCAGCAGTCAGGCCCTTGGCAATGTTGGTACCACCGCTGCTGTCAACGCCGTCGAGAGCCTTCTTGGCCTGCTCGTTGGCGTCGCCCTGGGGGTACTCGACCTTGGGCGTGGAGTCGAAGGAGACGACGGAGACAGTGTCGGCCTTGTTCTTGTCGGTCGCCTCGGACGCGGAGGTCAGGTAGTCGACGTGGTCCTTGCCACCGGCGATGCGGAGCTTCTCGTGGTCGGAGGTGGCAGTCGATCCAGACGAGTCGAGGATGATGCTGATCACGCGGCCAGGGTTGTCGCAGTTCTCGGGCTGGGAGTTGCCACGAGCCTCGAGCTGGGCCGGGGCCGCAAGCGCCACAGAGGCAAGAAGGGAGAGACCGAGGAACTTCATCGTCTCAACTAAAGAGCGTCGGTAAAGAACGTCGAGGTGTAAGAAACGAAGAGGGGGCTACAGCTGTTCCAGAATCGTGCAAGTGCCCTTCTTATATACTGCAACAAGAGTTTTCGGACCGCAGCGCGCGACGCGACGTGCTCCCAAACTCTGGGGTCATCGGTGACAAGCCCTCCGAGATCGGTACCGCGGGTTGATCGCGGGAGCTTGATTTCCCTCTTTCTCGTTGTTGCTATCTCCTCTCGTCTCAGTATCATCTCTGCTGATCTTTCGCCTCTCGTTTACATAGTTGATGCAACAAGTGGGTCAGATTGCAAAGGGTCATCGATATCTCTGACACTTGTGCCGGTTCATCGGCGAAAGAGTGCACGGCGTCGCGAAGTAAGGTATGGGTCGCAACTCTAATGGGCTACCCGTTGATGTCAAACCAAGTTAATGTGTCCGTGGCCCTGTAAGAACTGACACAGACATCGAAAACATACGCTCCGAACCGTGTTAGAGAGGGGCATGTTGTTCATCGCCAGCGGTGTCTGCGGCCACTCGCCTGTTGCTGCTCTCAGGGACCATGCTCAGAGTGGTCAGTCGTGGTATCTGGTACCTCCAGCCTAAAAGGTTGTGCTGAAACGGCACCCGACGGTCACCTAAGGGTACTCCGTGTCCAGACGTTTGGAACGGCGTCTAAGTGCCAACTCTCAAACGAAGCGGGTTGAGCGGGAAGAACATGACCCTCAGTCCGAGGGTCCGACACATTCTCGGGGCTCACCTCCATGCCGACGACCGCTGCCGAGCCACTTGCACGTTCGCCCCTCACGCAACAGTGATGGGCCCTCGTGTCAGATTTGAACGTTAAGCCATTAGACACAAGGTTCGGAGGGGTATACGTAGTGAAACCACATGGGCCAACGGGGCATCAAGCTTCGAGAAAGGCAGTAAGGAGCATGCATGATTGTCATTCAACATGCACGAAGGCGCGGCCTGCCGAGATACCCTTGCTGCTCCGTTTAGATTATGCTCACTGTCGCCGGCATTATGGCGGGAGTCGTATGCGCAGCAGATTAGGAAACCGTCCTTGGCCCCTTGTAGAAGAACCGCCAATCGCTAGCCAGATCTTCGAGTCTGAGCTCTCGAGAGCTGGCTACTAGGACCGATCTGCGTATAAGATCCCACTGGCGGGATCGGAGTACGGGCCGCTTCGCCGACTACTGCTCGGTCGGAGCGGTCAGCCTACCTGACTGTACGCGATGTACGAGATGCGGGACCACTTTGTGGGCTCGCAGGAGATCGGGAGCTCCGGGAGATATGTTGGTGTAGGATGAACCGGGGGAAATGCAGCAGCCATGGCATGAGACTAACGGTCGCGGCGGGCAGATCAGCGCCCTCTGCACCAGTCGGAGACACACCAAGGCACATAGCAGTCGGAGACACACCAAGGCACATAGGTACCTACATAGGCACAGCACCGAGACATCAACTCGTGAGACTGGGGCTCTGAGACACACACTCCCAGACCTTACTCATCGGGATCTGCAGTTGGCGCGCGCAAGGACACAAGGACGCAAGGACGGAGTGGCGGGGCCGTGAGTGCCGCCGATGCGCGCCGATGGGGTGGCGCTGTATCAGTGGGTGAGACAGGTGGTTGCGCCAAAACCCTCTCGGCGCCTCACTGCAGTGCACTATCGCTTGGGTGGTGGGTTTGGCCAGGTGAGATGGTCATGCGGGCGGCTGTGCACCACCAACACCACTGGCGCACTGGCGCATACCGCACTTGATCGCTGTAGCCTGTGAACCGCTGTACTGGTACATTGCTTGCGTCAATGGGAAGAGTGGTGTCACTCATACCTCCGTGCGCTCTGGCGTTGTCTCAAGTGGTGCACGCTCGGTACCACCGTAAGCCTCTCGTTAATATCGCCAATTCAGCCTGCGCCGGTCGAGCATCTCGTTAATGAAGCGCCGCAAGCAGGAGACTACATCATCAACTGACCGCTATAGCCAGATCGAGCGAAGCGCGTGGCATGTATGACATGCATCACGCGCTCACGTCGGCTGAATGTCATGCGCATCACAAGATATGCGAGGCGAGCAGGCGAATCGCCCGGATCGGACTAACGGCGTCCGCTATGCTCACCGCGCGGCGGCGTCATGAATGGTGATCTGGTGAAGGCTATCGCTACTCTAATGGGACGCGAAGAGGCTGTGATTCCCTCATTTCGATATAATGTGTTTTGGAACCGCGTGTAGCACGAGCTATACAAAGCGCATTAGGTCGGGATAAGAGCCGCCAGGCGTCGCGGTTTCGTATGACAACAATGACGAGCGAGGTTAGACCGATGCAGGATCGCAGGAGGGAAGGCGAACTGCACTAGGGCACACGGCCTGAGGTGTGCGGTATGCTGTAATGGGCCGTTAGGCAACGGTGCGACGGGTGAATGGGTGACGCATGATCACAGCAGGTTGCCGGTCAGAGTAGTGTGTCTCAGCATCCAACGCGGTGCAAACGACTGCGGGCGGAGCACTCCGCCAGAGGATGCAAGTCCAGTCAACCAGCCTAGCATCGATAGCCTGATCTCGCCTGTCGCGACGCTGACGACGGATCGAATCGACCCGGGCCGGGCCTTGCGTCCATTAGCCAGTTTGGGTCAACTGTCGCCACCCGGCACACAGCCAGATCAGCCAGATGCAGCCAGGCTCCAGCTTCCAGCTCAGGGCCCGCAAGGATCCTCATTGACCGCTCAGGACGGTTCAGGACTTTGTCAGGGTGGCGCGAACTCTGGAGCTCTGGGCCTTGCTCGTTTCTGTATGCTCCGCATAGCCGGCGGTAGCCTCGCCGGCCAACCCAGCCCTGGTTCGCAGTCGCAGTCGGTGCACGCGCGCATCCAGCACACGCTATGTACTGCACTAGCATCCACTTCGCTGCTCATCCGCTCACAGCGCTTACAACGCACTCCCGCGTTAAAGCAAGTCGCTCGCCGACATTGCTTTGTTCTTTCTCTCATCACCACCCCGTCGTGTCGAGTGCGCACGCACACGACACTCTCCAGACTTGTGTCGCCTCACACCCCTCACCACTCTTGTCCTTTATTACCACCACCGCAGCTGGCCTTCCCTCCGCCGCTGATCTTCCTCCTCGACCCACCGATCTACGTCTGCTTCAGCCGACACCTCCTCCCATTCTCAACGCTCACGACGATCAACAGTCCGAGACTCGAGTGCGTCAGTCAGCGATCAGATCGACCTCGACTTTCAGGATACACGATTCGAAGTCACTTCTTCGCCCCTCTCACGCGACCGCCTGATCAGCACCCTTACCATCAGTTCATCTGCTGCCGCTGTACCAAGTGCCTGGGCGACATGACTGCGACATTGACGACCCTGTCAACGTCTTTCAGCAAGCTGACGAGATGGTTGACCCCCACACCCCCGACCTCCCCGCCCCTACTCCATCACAAGCTGGCGGCGGATGATGCCTACGGTCCCGACGGATCTGTCCGGAATTACTGCCCGAATTGCGGCGTGTACTGGCCCACTGATGAGGTGAGTTCCCCACCGTCTTCCCTGCCGCGGCTTCGACCCAGTCCCCAGGTTGGGCAAGTGCATGGGCGTGGCAAACGTTGTGGCAGCCTTGTGTGCATGGACTGGACGGCACAACCAGTGTGACATAACCAAACACGAGGCAGACTGCCAACTGGCATGCACGCGGTGTGGTGATGGGTTATTGTTCAGCCGCGAACCGGCCACAACATGACCGACCAAGGGTGTTGGCATGACGCGCAACGCAGGGTGACAAACCCTAAACATCCCAAGAAACACTACTGACATTAAGGTGGCGATGTATTCGCTCGAGACGGTTTACGAACTCGAGAAGCTGCAGGCCCTCGGCAACAGAGCCTTCAACCGGTATAAGGTGAGTTGATCTCCATTGTTGTGCTGGCGCGCCCCTTGTCTGTGCTCGTGCCCTTGTCCCTCTGCCCTCAATGTGGCGGTGTGCGTGTGTGCATCCCGTGTTCGGCGCTGGTGTGTGCCGATTCCAGGCTCTATCACCTGCAAGCGGGCTAGCTGCCTGTGGCCATGCATGGCAGGCGTGTCGGCGCATCGGCGTATCCAGCGTCAGCGGCAACGCCCGCATGTAAGCAAGACAATGGAATGACTTGGGCATGGACCGATGGCCGTCGATCGTGACAGTCCATGGCAAACTAAGGGGATGGGACTAGGACAATAGCGCGACACAGTCACCCGCGACTCATTACTGACTCGCAGGCTGAGCGTCTCATTCTGCTCCGGGATCTGTACGACGGTACAGGAAGCGCTCCGAAGGCATGCTCGCGAAGCATGTCAAACGTCATTGCGCCGGTTCGACAATGGTCTCGCGATCGCATCCTGAAGGTGCGCTCTCGCGTCCACCGCACTCTTGACGTGCAACAAGAGCAAGTCAACAGTGATATTGAAGCTCTCAAGGTGAGTTGGTTCTTCGCTTCCCTGGCTTCTGGTGGCCTTGCCGCACAATCCGCCCTCTATCCCCCGCATACCTTCCGACGAGTCTGTCTCCATTTGTCATCGATCCACCTGCATATGGCCTATGCTGCTCGCCTTCGCTGCTGGCCCATGCAGGCCAACTGCCGGTTACGATATTGCGCGGCTCGCGTGATGCAACCTGGTGCGCTAGTGCGACATAGCGTGTGTCTAGCGTGGGCCGCGTTTCGGAAGCACGGCTATCGGTTCTTCACTGTGCCAGAGCTATGAAACCGGCGACGCTGCCGTCTGTATTTGCGGTGGCGGGCATCTCATCGTCGCCGACTGCAAGTGGGCTAGCTCGCGGTACATTCCCCATGCTTCGTTATCTCGAAACAGTTGGGGGGAGGATACCGCCGAGTTGCGCCGCATCATGCTCGGGTGGCAAAGTGGCGTCGTGGCTAATGAACGCCCCCTCTTTGCGTCCTCATTCCCCATAATCACGAACTTAAGCTGACACCCCCCAGCGCAAGATCATCTGTGATATCCACGGACACGGCTTCAGCGCTCTGACGGCGTGGGACGACTACCTGTCCTCCCGCAAGCACTGGTCCGGATCCGAGCTGCGCGACCTCGAGCACTCGACCGACGACCTGCAGCGCGGCTGGGTCATGTTCGTTTCGATCCTGGACGACGCCGAGGCCAAGCAGGCCGCGGCAGCCAAGCCCGTCGAGCTCTCCGAGGACCTGACGGACGAGCCCGAATCGCTGCCTTCGTCGTCCCAGTCCTCTCCATCAGACGAGCTCTCCTCGTATCCCGTTCCTTCGCTTCCTTCGCGATATGCTCGGAGTCCACAATCAAGTGGCGAGCAGGGAATGTTCCAGTCCGCCCAGTCGACCTCGCGGAATCACAAGCACAGCAAGGGCCGCCACAGCACCAGCTCGGCACGTAGTCCGAGTCCCCCCGTCCAGGGCGAGAATGAGGACGACCGTGTCGTCGCCTGCCTTCTCGCCCGGAATACAAGGAGCTGGATGCCGCGCACGCCGCGCCGTCGCTCCAGTCGCGAGAGCGACTATAGCTACTGAGCTTGGGCTGCCGGACGGAATCGGAGGAGGAGCAGGGGAGGCAGGAGAGGAGCGAGAGAGAAGAGAGGAGGAGAGGAGAGAAGAAGGGGAGGAGAGCGCCGGGGCTACCCATCGACCCAACCTGTTGCTGGTCACCCTTTTACCCAGTATTCCAATACCGCGACATCCACAATACCCCCGATATACTACGCCTGGGCCCGTTGCCAAGCAGACACTATAATGCCCCTTCGAACAGCAGTAAGGCCTCGTCGCAAGCGACTATGCAGGCTGCTACTGTTCGACTGTTCGACTTTTGTTTTCAATTTGTTCATCAACCAACCTCACTTAACGTCGATCTCTTACTGGACCGACGAACAATGCCATATACTCTATGCTCTCTCAAGTTATTCTAGTTGTAGTAGTTCTTTGTTGTATTACAATGCAAGATACATTTCGACAGTATACTATCGACAACTTGACTGGCTCGGGACTTGGTTGCACTTCAGACTAAAACTCGGACGCGGGCGTGGTACGCGGTACTCATTCCGTCCGGGTGTTGTTGCAGCTCGGGATCGGTATCGCGGCTTCGTGTTGGAGACCGCCACTCGCTGCTGTATCGCCACACATCACGACTAAGGGAGACTCGGAAGACATTGACTATGACAACGGACATGCGGCATGCTGGGACATGTGGATGCTGGTGAGGGGGCAGTTGTGGGGTAAGAGTTGTAGTTGACAAGGGTGAGGTGGCTCGTTGGCGCGCCTGGTGGTCATGGGTTCACGGGGTGAGGAAGGGGCGTCTTGGCTCAGGCGAGTACAGCGTGCGGACGCTTACGCACCGGGCAGAGCGTACGGAGCGGGCAGGACTGACGCCGCACACCACGTCGAAATCATTTTCAGCGGCTGAGAAGACCTGGATCCCGGGCTCGCTCGAGGCTTGCTATGCTCCCTAAGCGCCCAAGCCTGGCAGATTGGATAACTGCTCCCTCTCCTTGTTCCGGACACTCGGCGACTCACTCGCCTTGCGGATCGGGACGAGGGGACTGCCCGGCCCGCCGGGAAGGCCTGCGCCGAGACTCTCCGGCGTCGTGTGGCTCAGCGGGGCACTAACCCGCCTGGGCGTCTCGGGACTGGGCGCGCCCAGCCCCAGCTCGGAGCTGAAGAGGGGTAAGGAGGCGCGGGGCCGACTCGGGGTGCGGATGTCGCGCCCGGAGATGCCTGAGATCGAGGACGAGACGGTCGAGCGCGCCGAGGAGAAGGTGCGGTATCGCCTTGCTGCGGAGAGGGAGGAGGACGTGAGCGCGATGGGCGACGTGCTCAGGTCCGTGACGCGGCTGGGAGTTTGAGGTTCCTCTACTTCTGGTAGTTCGGGCACGTCGCCGAGCTGATCCGCACATCGGTCAATGAGGTAGCGCCCGAGCTCGACCCATCCACCACCGACACGGACCATGACCGTGCGCGATCGAAGGATACGGCAGAAACATAGCCGCGCTTTCGGTCCCGTGCCGATCCAGTATCGGCCCGATTCGTCGTGCCACTTGTCCGAGTCCTTATCGCCCGCAGCGACGACAGAGATGTTGACATCGAGGGTGTCGAGGACCTGCCGCACGGCAGCGTCTAGCTTGTTGATGTTTCGAGGAGCGGGCTTTGGCCGGGGCCCAGGAGCCAGAGACTTGCGTGGTCGGCGTGGTGGCCGCTCATAGACCTTGTCCTGGCCCTGTTCAACAGCTGCTAACGAGGAGCCGCTGTTAGAGCGAGACAGACGGAAGGGCTGAGGCACAGTCGTAGTGATCCTGGACCGGGCAGGACTAGGCGAGGGAATTGGCGGTGCGCTCTTGCGTGCCCGGCGGGGTGCCGGTGACTCTTGAGGACGGGGCGACGGAGCTCCACCAGACGCAAATCTACTGCGGATGGAGTGCGCCCTTGACGACGGACCGGGACCGGTGCTGGCGAAGGAGTACGTGCTGCGCGATGCGGAGGAGACACGCCTTCGGGCCAACCCTGGCTCCGGAGTCCGCGCAGTGCTGTCAGAGTCAACGACGGAAGAGGACACCACAGACGACGATATCGCACCCGGTGGCGCTGCCTCGCCATCGGCCATTCCGCGCAGATCGGCCCATGCGCGGGCAATGCGCTGCCTCTCCGTCTTGACTCGGATGTCACTGGCGTGAGGCTCAGACACAGCGTGCAGCGCCTTGACCGCGGAAGCGGCTTCGTCTCTCAGCTTCTTGCACGTCGAGGCGTTTCCCGAATCCAGGCCATCGAGAAGTTTGCTAAACGCCTTGTCACAGGCAGCGACGGCGTCTCCGACGGACGCTAGGCCCCCGAGGTCGGGGACTAGCGCTCCTTGGCGGTTGACCTCGTCCAGCAGACGGGCCATGTCCGGACTCTGATTCGGATCCTTCTTCGCCAGCGCTCGAGCATTGTTCGAGATCGAGGCAAACGTTGCCGTCAGAGACTTTGCAACATGGGTGCTGGGAAGGCGGCGATGCTTTGGAGTCTTCTTCAGCGACTCAGGCGTGGGATGGACGATAGCCTCCAGCTCTAGAGCACCGAGCTTGTCGGACAAAGCCTTGATGTTACGGGTCTGGCTCGTGTTGAGCTTGGGGGTCGAAGGAGCCTCCGGAGCGGGTGCAGCGGCGGCATTCGCGCGGGTCTCAGCTGCCAACTCGCTCTCAAGGACAAACTGATCGACCTCCGTGCGCAGCTCCTCAGCGGCAGCAATGGCATTGAGACCCTCTTCGCGGGCATCGTCGGCAGAGGAGAAGACATCGGCAGCCCGCTGAATGTTGACACTGCTATGAGCGTCTGCACTCAAGGCCTCATTGAGATCGCCAATCGCCTCCTGGACGTCCTTTGTAGGATCCGTCAGCTTGCCGAGGGCAGAGCTTTGAATCTCCTTGGCAAGATCCAAAACGGCATCTTCGTCGGCGTTGCGAGCTCCGGCAACCTCTCCTCGGAGCGAGTCGATTACGCCCCGCAGAGTAGCCGAGTGGGTTGATAGGGTTGCGGTAGCATCCTTCACGGGTCCCGTCCAGCACTTGAACGCGATCTCCTCAGAAGCTGCGAGCAGATGAGTCAAGGCAGCTGTGACGCGTGACGATTGTCGGTTGATCTCGGATCGGACACTGTCATCGAGCATTTCGAGATCGATCATTGTTGTCTCGTCCACATCAAAGTCGCGTTCTGTTCCGACAGGTGTTAATGGAGGCGTCAACGGGCCCGACGAGGGCCGGCGAGGAGTGGCAAAGCCAGATGAGTTGCCAGAGACGAGTGGAACGCGCCTGGCGATCCCATCACTCCATTCAGTGACGATGATCTTGATGTTTGCGATGTTGTCGAGGGCGTCGTTGATACTGTCGTTTGATGCTGAAATCGCATCCCGAGCTGAATCGAGCGTCACGAGGTGCTCAGCCGCCTCACTGCTGACGGAAGCCACAGCTTTCGCCTGGCGCGTGACCCTTGAAAGAATGCCCAGATCGCGTCGCGCAGCATCGATGCCCTCCAGGTTCGCCGTCGATGCCTCTTTCAGCGGCATGGTGACAGGTAGACGGTTGCCGATGATTGCCTCGAGCCTTGAGAGTTCTTCTCCAGCACCTTCAGCTTGTCGAACTATCGTCTGAAGTTCGTCATCCAGATCCTCATATTTGGCAGACACAGAAGTGCGGGACGACCACGCTGCCCGATTGACAGCTCCGATAAGCTTCTTCCTCAGCTCCTCCACGTCGCTTGAAACGTCAGAGTTGTCTCTTCGGACGCCGAGAATGATAGGGAGCGCTTCGTGGTCGGTCTTGACGCTGCTCGCGAGGTTGGCACACCGTCGAGCGACGTCTATGAGGTCGGACGCGTCATCATTCACGATGGTTCCAAGATCATCCGGAACACCAGTGTCAGGTGCGAGCTTCTTGACGGCCATCGGAGGCTGCAAGGCCTTGCGGTACTGCATCAGAGCCAACGTCGTAGCCTCTTGGGTATCGGACGCTGCTCGCACCAGCAAGTCCCCGCTGTCGATCCAGTCTGGCACTGCCGCCAGCCAGCCGGCATGAGTTTCACCGTTCCTGGCGACGTCCTCCAGAGATGGCCGAGGCGCATCGGCAACCCCCTGCTCGAACCTGAGAAGCGTCTGATGCAGTTGGTGACGAAGAGTCTTGACTCTATTTTGCTGCGCTTGTAGTGATTCCCGCGCTTTCAAAAGCGAGCTGTAAAATGTAAGGGCCTTCCTGGCGATGTCCAGCTCATCCTGCGCTTCTTTTCGGACTGCCCGTAACACGCTCTCAATGTCCTTGTTATGCTGGTCTTTGGTAGGGAAGGAAGCATGGGTCGGTCGAGGGAATGTGTCGTCGATTTCTGCCGGAAGAATGTCTGAGGCTTCCTTAAACAGTTGGTTCAGTTCGGCATGCGTGAAACTCGAGGCAGGTTCCGCCAGGGCGAGCTCGATCTTGGTCAAGAACTGGCCGGCGAGATGGCGAGAATGGTTACAGGCGACGTAGTACTCGTGAGCCTTCTTCGACTGCCCTTCAAACAGAGAGCACCAAGTCACACGCTCTCCGATGTCCTTCGCATCTTCCTCCAGTGATTCCTGGATTTCGATAAACGCTTCTGGCACTGCACCTTTCCGCCGGTTGGCCTCGTCCTCCATCGGCCCCTCGATTCCTCCGAGCTCCTTCATTCGACCAGCCGCATCGATCATTCTGTCAAGAACGGTGCTTGCCCGCTTGACGAGGTTGAAAGCATAGTTGCGATGTCGTGTTTGAAGACCCACGAGCTGAGACCGCAGGATCGAGATGTGGAGAGCCGACTTTGAGGCGCTGCGCACAGGCGATGGGGTCAGCTGCCTCATGGGGCTCACGCCCACAGCGGCATTCGATCCAGCAGGGGTCTGGAGCAGGGCGTCGGTTAATGATGATCCCTGCGATGATGATGATGCTTTCGATGGGACGGGGGCCTTGAGGTTCGAACGGCTGTCGAGCGCCGGAGCGCCCGGCATCCACGCTTGGGCCACTTCCACCACATGATCGATGTCGAACTTGACACTGGCTGACTCGCGGGTCGCTTCAAATCGCAAGTCGTCCCACTGCAGTCTCAACGCGGTGAGCTCGAGAAGCGCTTCTCTGTCACGCAGCAGAGTGTGGAGGTGGTCGATGATAACGATGAGCTCCAGGGTAACCTCGACGAGATCTGTCGATGGCTGAGTGAGAGGCATACGCGTCAGAACTGCTGTGTCAGTTCCCGGCGATCTGTGAGGCTGTTGATGCGACGTACCTCGTGTCTTCTGCTTCATGCGCTCCATGTCGCCGTCGTCGAACCGGTTGACCTCATCCTCGAGCGCGTTTCTCTCGTTCTGCCATGCTGCGAGTTGCGCACGATCGGGTAGCCGCCATTCGGATTTGTCGGCGCCTGCACGCACGTAGCCAGAGGTGCTCTTGGAGTCGGCGACGAGGTATGGATGCACAAAGGGATAGACGCGAGGCAATGCCTTGAGTGACTGAGCATCAGTGAGCCAGACGGTTCTCCCTGACGGATGCTTGGTGGTGCTTGGCGTGTGAACGTACCTCGAGCTTCCCTTCAAACCAGTTGCGCTTGTCGATGAATGCCAGTAGCTCCTGCTGGTCCGCGAAGGAGAGGTCTTGCGTTGGGCCCGTCGAGCGGTTCAGAGACATGGTGTTCACAGGTGGGTTCTAATACGACATCGGACGGCGGGTGGTGTGTGAGGTCGGTGGAGAAGTGGGTTAAGCTCGAGGAGGGTCGTCTCGAAAGGAAGGTGTCGTGTTGGGAATGGGGAAGGATGGGAAGGACCGCCGTGGTGGATGCTCTTAAGAGGAGGGGAGACGTGAAATGGATGGATGAGAAGAAGAAGGAAAAGGGGGGAGAGGGAGAAGGGGAGGCGGAGAAGGAGACGGAGGTGTCAAAGATGTCTTGAGAGTGCGAGACGAGCCGAACGCAAGACAAGGCAACGCGGTGCGCGGTGCAATGACAAGAAATGACGAAGTTGCTATGGCCCTCAGGAGCGGGTCCGCGGTCTGGCGGTCAGATGCGGCCACCGCTGCCAGATGTGCGACCCGGTGCCAAATGAGGTTACCGTGCCTGACGCACTGTAGGCCAGATTTCTATAGTCGGTCCAAGATCTCCATTACAGCGTGCCTGGGGAGATTAGAGTGTGCCCAAGTCTAACGTAAATGAGACCCTTAGCGACCGTGTTTCCCCTGCAGTCTCAGTATCGCAGCGCATACCCCCAGCCATACCCAGCCACGGTGAGCACCGGCCCTCCATCCACATCGCAGACGCGCGCGCTCCTGGCTCTCATGCCTTCCCTCCCTTGGCCCTCAAGCCCCTGGGCCAGAATCATCACCTCAGCAAGCAGCATGGCCACCGGAGAGTAATCGTCATGCCGACTGCTCACTGGACCTCCACCTCCATCCTGCCGATTTCAGTCCAGCAGTTCGGCATGCATCACCCATCGCCCCGGCATCTTGTTTGTCTTCCTCCCCTATCCTCTCATCCATCCCCCATCGGCGACTCACCATGCTTTGAGTCCTCCGGTAGCACACCATGTCCTTCGTCCCCTCCGCTCTCAGATCGACATGCGTCCCGCATCTTCTCTTGTCCGCTCGCACCCTGCACACTCGACGTTGTGTCACTACAGTGTGCCGAAACGCTCACGCGTCTTCCTCGCCAGCTGACACCCGACTGCAGGCGGCTCAACGCAGCTTCTCAACAACGCCTACGGTTACCAGGAGCTTGCTACTGAACGCTAGCAAGGGGAAGCAGCGATGGGATAGCCCGTTGCGCTCGCATGCATGCGCTTCGCGGTCACTGGGTCAGGGACTCAACGTCTCGCGAATAGCCAAAACGTCCCCGCTCGATGCCGCACGAATACACCGGCAGCCGAGCAGCGCAAGAGGCTTTCACGCAACGGCGCGACGTGAGGCGCTTCCGCTACTTCCTGCACTAGGCGTCTTCTTCAAAGTGAGTCGTGCTGGTTCGGAAAGGAGATATCATTGCTGACAGTCGCGATCAGGGCACAACAATCCTCGGTCTTGCGACTGGCCTGTCACGGGTCCTTATCTCGTTCTTTCCAATCGGCACCTTGGCAACGCTCCGCATGGCACGCGGTGTGACATGGCTCGAGAAGGACAAGCGAGTCCCGGACGCGACGCACGATGCAGAGGAGTTCTGGAAGATGTGGTGCGAGGATGAGCGTCCGATCCGCGTAAAACCGCAGGAGGTGCCTTTCCTCGTCAACTCACCGCAGGATGAGCACGGGGGTTATGTTCTACCGAACGGCCGTGTTGCCTATAGTGCACCCATGCCTCGGAGTTGGAAACGCAAGATTGGAGACGGCAAGAGCGAGCCTCAAGCGCAGAAGCGAGCAGAAGAGTACAAACTCAAATGGGTTGGCTTCTTCCTCCCTCCTCTACCGCCTGCGTCGAAACGGTCGTACAGTGATCTGAAGCCAGAGGAGCAACAGCAGGTCGAAGCTCTTCGTCGATACTACTGCTCTCTTCGACTGTTCAAAGACCAGCTGCGAAATTCGCGACTTGTCGTCGCAACGCTGATCGGCATTCCGATTCTGCTATTGTGCCTCGTGTGGCTGACTGGCCTGGAGCGCGTGCCGCTCACCGGGCGGTGGCGGCTGATCCTCCTGACGCCCGAGGACGAGGAGGCGGTCTCGACGTCGCTCGAGGGTGCGAACTGGTTCAAGAGCGTGATCGCCCTCTTGACCACGCCGGAGGCGCCGGCACCGCCGATCCTCCCGTTGAACGACTGGCGATGGGGCTGGGCTCAGCGCACGCTCCGCCACCTAGAGAACGAGTGCGTTGCCGAGGTCTTCCGCGTCACGCAGGGCGACACGTCGGCTCCGAAGGGAAAGGAGGCAACGTGGCCACCGCCACCAGAGTATCCCCTCCTTCCACGCGCACGCGCCAGTGCACGGCTGCACGCGGCTCTGCCGGGAGGCGACAAGTCGGGCCAGGAGCACTTCGAGCTCGGCCCGCCTTACAGCTTGATGCTGATGGAGAGCCCCGAGAAGAACGCATTCTCGTACGGCTTTGGCGCGAACGGCGCAGGCGGCATCGTACTCTACACTGGCCTGCTGGACGATATCATGGCGCACAATGGCAGCCCGCCTCCACCGCCGCCAAAACGCAGCTGGCTCGCGAGCCTCTTCCTCCCTCCGCCGCAGCAGCCGACACACCCGACGCCGAGCCAGAAGCAGGACCTGCATCTTGCCACCGTGCTAGCACACGAGATGGCCCATCTCCTCCTCAGCCACCACCTCGAAACCCTCTCGCACCAACAGGTACTCTGGCCCTCCGTCCTTGGTCTCAGCATGGACATGATCCGCGCCTTCATCTGGCCCTTCACGTGAGTTCGCGGAAGCGGAGCTGACTGGTTTTGTCTCCCAGCTGACAAGCAGTATCTTCCTCGGGCCGACCGTAAACGACGCGCTCGCCAGTGTCGGCCGCACGACAACCGAAGAAATGAGCAAGTCGCAATTCGTCGGTTTCGACAAGGAACACGAGTACGAGGCCGACCTCTTAGCACTCCGGTACGTCACTTTCCTCTTTCAGAGATTCGGAGCTTTCGGGCGGGCGGATAGCTGACAGCAGACTCCTCGCTATCGCCGGGTACGACCCGAAAGAGGCCGTGGAGGACTTTGCGGGCTCGATCGCGCAGCTCGACGAGATGCAGTCCGAGACGGAGCGTAGGCGGTCGTGGTGGAGCTTGTTCAAGCTGTGGAACAACTCGCACCCCAGCGTCAGCGAGCGCGTTGGCAAGATGCGCGATGAGCTCAGGAAGTGGGACAAGTATCGCCTCGAGCACCCCTTCGGGGACGGTGCGGAACAGATCCAGCTCACCGCGGACAGACAGAAGCAATAGATAGACAGCGGCATCTTCACATAGGACACTCCATTTCCCCCATTTCTTGCAATTTTTCTGTATCACTACTACAACTCCATAGACCCTGTTGTTCATGCACTACTCCAAACCTCCGGCTGCGTACGTGGTCCAGACTGCAATATACATCGAAATGCCGAACCTATGGACATATTATCTAAACTAAATGTGTTGTGTGGTGATTACAAGCTTCTCTTCCCCTCTTCCCGCTCAGTGCCCATTCTGTACACCGTCTGCCTTCTTGTTCTCGTGCTTCGGCTCGGCCCAGCCCAGGGCGCGCGCCAGCTTGTTGGCGTACTCTTCGCGTGTGCGCGCCTCCAAGCCTTGCGTCGCGTCGCGCACAATCACGTACAAGTCCTCTGTTCTGTCAGCTTGATCGCTGGAGCTGTTCGGCTCACCCTTCCATGCGCAGTCGGCCGGGGGCGTAACGCTCTCAGTGCGCAGGCCGGCGAGCGCCTTTGTGTTCTCGCCCGCCGTCGCCTTGCCCGGCTGCGGGTACTCGGAGAACCACCCCGAGGTCATCAGGTCTGGGTAGCAGCGGCCTGCGAGGTCGAACACGTCCACTGTCACCTCGAAACCCTCGGGGTTCAGGCGGCGGTACTTGAACCCGGGAGGCGCCTTGATGTCCTTCAGCGAGTCGGGCGCAGGCGACGTGCTCGGATCTGTGTCGACAAAGTCCTTCGGCGCGAGCTCGTACAGGTCACCGTACAGAAGACAGCGCCAGGCGTCGACCTCCATGCCCTCCTCCGCGAACGCCTCGAGCGCAATCAGACTGAGTGTTAGCTCAAGAAGGGTCCAACGAGTAACACTTACCGAATTTGAAGGAAAACAGCCCGTCCCTCAGCACCAGGAGACGCTGTTCCACGCAGCTGCGCAGGAAGGTCCGCTCGCCGCTTGCGCAAACGCACCACGTCCTCGAGCCAGATACGCTCGCCCTGGAACCACAGACCCTGGAAGAGGTTCTTCCTCCGATTCTCGAGCGCCTCGACCTCGTCCGGCGTCAATGTCGACCCGGCGGGCAGTACCTCGATCTTGTCGGTCTGGGACCACGAGTTTGCTATGCTCTGGATGTTAGCTGATGTCGTTCATGTTAAGCTCACCTCGGCCGTCTTGATCGCGACAGTGAGACGCAGCGCCGCCATGTCCCAGTTCTGGCCCAGGTCGGCGAACCGCTTCCGTTCGCCCCAGCGCTTCTTCCAGCGTTCCTCGAGTAACGCCCCCGTAAGCTCATCGGCATTCTTTGGCGGATCCGTCTTAGCCTCCTTGGCGGCAGCCTCCTGCAGAACACGGTCGCCTTCCTCGAACAGCTTGCGCCAGCCGTCTGGGCCACCGAGAAGCTCGACGCCAGCAGACCACGGCAGAACGTCGTTCACGCCACGCTTCACTTCGTGGCTGTTGCTGAACATGCCCAGAGGACGAATCGAGTGCTCCCAGGTGCGGCGACGACGAAGATGAGCGGGGGCGACGCCGCCAGCCGCAGACCAGGCGAGCGCAAGCGAGTTGTTGGCCGATGAGCCGTCTTCGTCCGACTTTTCCGTGAGGGAGGCGATGAGTCCTGGCCAGTGCGTGATCTCGGGAAGCGAGCTTCCCTTCGGCGTCTTGATCGGGTCGATCTTGAACCAAACAAGTTCTCCTTTCCCTGCGTGTTAGCTGTGTGCGAATGTCAAGCAACTCACGGAATCGCCGTTGGCTCCGAGCATCCGTCGCTCGCTCGGCCACAATCGTGTCCAGCGGGTCGTCATACTTTGGCCGCTTCGGATTCGGTCCGTCTCCCTTCGGGCGCTTAGCGTTGTTGGCCGCCTGGGCGCTCTTCCTCTCCTGTGCGAGCTTGCTGCTGCTGTTGTACTTGCATCCACACTGATGTCAGCTCTCATCCTGAAAACCGTAGCGTACTTGTGAGTGGTCGCTCAACGGCTTCGACGTGTCGAAGAGCCACTCGGCGTGAGGGATGAACTCCTGCGGAGAGCGGAAGCGGTTCGAACCGATGTTGGTGGAGCCCTGCAGTGTTAGTACCACCGCTAGTGGAAACAATCTGCAGCGATACGCACAAACATGTAGGTGTCCTCTCGCACATTGCCATCCTTCTCCTGGGGCTTCTTGTGAATGAAGATGCCGTAGCCCTCGGGCATGTCGATCCAGTGGTCTGCCGTCAGACTTCCTTCCATACTGTCGCAAACTCACCTTTACCCGGGATGCCGAGGTGCTGAGCAAGATGCTGACCCACTTTCTTCCGGTACAGTATCAACTTTGGGTGGTCGCGACTGTCATCAGCCTCGTGCGCTCTATCTTCGTCAGTGTCGTGAGGAAGGCGGAGTGTAGTGTGAAGGATGCAAGGTAGGCTACCTGCAGAACTGTCCCCGCCGGTATTCTGACCATCTCGTCATGCCTCCGACCTCTTTAGAAACTCACGGCTTCGCCTTCTCGTGCCATGACTTGCCTCCGGGCACAAGATCCGTCGGCCACCGCGACTCGTCGCCGTCCGACCTCGGCCACTGCAGCCGGCTGTCACTGGCGGCTGTCGGCATCGTGTCCAGTGCTCGCGTGTGGGCTCGCTCCCCTACAATCTGCCGATTAGGTGTCGCTGATGCGGGAAGGGTGCCGCTTTTGTTGGGATGGTTGTTGTTCGAAACGTTCGAGACGCGTTCGGAATCAAGATGACAGGCGCAGATGCCCTGGTAAATGGCGAGGTCGCGTACGGTGGGAGAGTCGCGACCAGCCAGCCTGGGGAACTGGGTGATGAGGATTGCCGCGTGTGAAATTTGGTTCCGTCCGTTCCTCCGATCGTCCATCGAAAAGTCGAGCCGCCAAGATGGTCTAGTGAGCGTTCCGGAGTTCGTCACAACACATATCCACCACCATGATCGGCCTCAAGGGACGAATGAACGTGAGTAGCTGGTTGCGTGATGAGAAGCTGACGGAAATACAGGTCATCGACAACTCGGGCGCCGTTATCGCCGAGTGCATCAACGTCCTCAAGGTCAAGACGAGACAACATGCCGACGGAAAGGCGACTGTCGGTGAGTGCACCTATGCATGGCTTCCCGAGTGCTCGAGGGCTTTCGAATCCGAATATATGGGTCTCAAGAGACGGTGTCCATCGGAAGGAAGCGTCAAGCTGGTTCGCGGTTATCTGGGACCGGCACCAGGCGGACTCAACGTCGAAAGGAGTAAGGAAGGTCACCTGGTTCACGACGCCGCCTTCACGCACGAAGGGTTGGGTCTAGAGTCGATGTCTGCTGTTGGAGCCTTTGGGAAGCTATGCCGTGGAGAGCTTTGATGACGACCGCATAAGCTGACGTTCAGGTGACGAGATCGTCTGTGTCGTGAACAAAGCCAAGCCCATCTCGAACATCTCTGCCGCCTCGAACGTTCAGAAGGTGCGCCGCGGAGACGTCCGCCGCGCCGTCGTTGTCCGCACGAGGAAGGAGCTTCAGCGTCCCGACGGACGAATTGTCCGGTAAGTCGTAGACACTTTGACAGCTTTCCTGCTCCCGCACGTAGCTGACTTGCAGCTTCGACGACAACGCCTGCGTTCTCCTGAACAACAAGGGCGAGATGCTCGGCACACGTGTCACTGGTGTCGTTGCCGCCGAGCTCGCGAAGGCGACTGGCGCGGACGGAAACGGACGCTGGAGCAAGATCCTCTCCCTGGCCCCTAAGGTTAGTTAAGCAGTCCGAACTTTTGCGTAGCTAACGTCGCAGGTCGTGTAAATTCATCATCAGCATAGTAACTCAATGTATGGCATACCCCTCAGCCTTGGACACGGTGATTACTACTGACTAAATACTGACATCTGCGGAAAGAGTGATACGCGGCATAATGGTCGGTCACACTGGAAGGGTGACATTCAACCCGCACTCGACGGTGGACTTCACGTCAAATGCAAGCGCCTGCACTAGTTTACATGTATGCAATAATGGACCAGAACCCAATGTAGCAATCTAACCTTCTTCTACATATCCCCTATGCCGTTGCCTCATCCCCGGTCACCGGGGAATGGATGAGAGGGCAGGGAAGGCGTTCGTCTTGGCGAGGACGATCGTCTGCCTCTCATGCGAGATGTAACCCCTGATGAATCCACGGAAGATCATATTGGCGACCATGCACTCGACCTCGTCATTGTCGACCTCTACGCGCTGCAGCTCGAGCGCCTTGCGGAACGTGCTAATCGGAATGCGCGAGTTACGATCGCTTGCCGCCCACGCTCTCCGGAATAGGGTGCGGAGGCAGATCTCCCTCGCACGCTCGACGGCGAGGTATGTGTTCATGCTCACGAGGCGGGGCTGGGCGCGCTCCAGCGCCTCGTCGTATGCCTGGACTGAGCCTGTCCGGATGGCGTCGACGAAGGGGCCATATGTCTCCTGCAGGCGCGGGAAGCGGGCCAGCAGTTTCGCACTCGGCAGACTGCCGCGCAGCAGGTGAAGCGGGATGAGGAAGGTGAGGATCAGCTCCTGGTTCCGCTTACTCGAGGCGGGGCAGTGGAGGAAGGCCCACTCCAGCTCGGTTGCGGCGCGCGCGTCCTCGCCAGCCAGGAACGCCAGCATGCCGATGTAGAAGCGCCAGGTGACCTGGTCTCCGATCGGGGCCTGCTCGACAGGCGGCGTCTTCGGGTCGCTCGTGACGGCGCGCACGACGTTCTTGCACAGGTTCGGCTTGCCGACGCGGAAGTAGCACTTCATACTAAGACATGCCGTGTGGTATGCTCCGTTCCTGCGCGATTCTCGCCCCTTGTTCACCCGGTCTGTTGCGCACAATGAGAACGCCTTGCTCACCAGTCGAGAGCACTCCTCCAGCGATGGCAGTCCGCCTCCCGCCGCGTACCCCGGCTCATCCGCGAGAGAGGCGAACCTCCGCAAGTCGTTCAATAGTAGATACAGGATCGGCAGCGCCCATGCACTCGCGTCCTGGAACCATCGGAAGAAGAGCTGGCACACCTGCTTCTGATGATTGTACGCCGCCTGGTAGTCGCCCGAGTACAGGCCGTGCACTGCCGCGCAATGCTGGACCGCGATCCCATCCCAAGGTTCCGGCAGCGTGTGTCCCGGGTTTGCCAACCGCCGTTCCTGTCATTAGCTCGCGACCTCTATTACAGCTGGTGCAAGGGGGGAGGAAGGACTCACATCGATCGCGCCGACGGTGTTGTACAACCCCTTCGAGATGCGGTGCTTCGTGTCCAGCAGCGTAAGCAGCGTCGCGACGTCCTCATGCCTCAGCGGCTCGGCGAAGGCGTGGATGTACTGCGGCAGCTTCATGGTGCGGTGTGCTGTGGCAAAAGTCGCTGCTGGGCCAAGCAACGAGGAACATTACCGCTCCCCTTTGTAAGTCAGTCGCTATCTGGCGTGGTGGAGGCAGGTTCTGCCGCATGCCGCAATTGCTTCCGTTCGGCCGCGTTCCGCAGAAATCTGAGCTGCGGGCCGCCTGCCCGTGGTCCTTTGGATCACCGCCAAGCTACCTTTCCTCTGCACCGGCTGCCGTCACACGATTGAGGCATAAAATGGCGCAGAGGAACTCTGATCAGCGATTGAGGAACACAGGCGGTATGCGGATTCGACGCTTGCGCAAATTCACACGATTTGAGGTAGACGCTGATGTTGCTTCTCCCGGGCACACTTGGTTGTGAGACAATTAGGAGGTGATACATCCTCTAACCTGAGATCATGATGCTACGAAAGGACCCTGCCATGCGGGCGGGTGTCCTTGTTTTGGCTTTTTTGTATGTGATAGGGTCGTGAAAGAGATAAGGAAAAAGAGACAAGATGATGTGATGATGCTGCTGTCCTCTGCTACGCTTCCATTTAAGCGGCCTGCTTGCCACCAAGGGCCTTCTTCCAGAGGGGGACCTTGTTCTGCTTGGCCTCGACGGCGCGGCGAACCTCCTCCTCGAGCTCCTCCTCGTTGAGCTCACCAGCACCGTACCAGATGATGGTAGCGAGACCAATGAGGACGGTGATGACACACGCGGCCATAACACCCTTGGCCTTGGGCGTCCAGCCCATGACGAGGGGCTGGGGTCCGGTGGCCTGGCCCTTGAAGTCGGAGGTCGAGTTGAGACCGACGACGTTGCCGGTCGTGGGGATGTCCTTGATCTGGCAGTGCTCGTACATCTGCTGAGGGATCTTCAAGTTCTTCTGCATGACGTCCGGAGCCTCGACGAAGACCATCGCGAGACCGGACGACAGGTGCCAGTCGATGTGGCAGTGGAAGAACCAGACACCGGGGTTGTCGGCGCGCCAGCGAAGAACGACCTTGCCCTCAGGAGGGATAGTGATGGTGTCACGACGGGCAGGGTTGGCCTGGTCCTCCAGGATAGGGGGGTTCTCGATGGCGTCGTCAGACGAGACGTTGAACGACTTCTCAATGACCATGAACTCGTGACCGTGGAGGTGGAAGGGGTGGAAACCCGCGTCCCAGTTGTGGACAGTGAGCTGGATCATGTCCATGTGCTTGTAGGTGATGACACCAGTCTGCTGGCCGTAGACCTCGGGCTTGAAGGCATCGTCGCCCATGGACATGGCGGTGAAGATCGAAGGAACCTTGGGGGAGCGGTAAGTGACGTTCTGGAAGCCGCCGTCCTGAGTGAACGAGGCACGGTTGGTGCCGTCGTTGAAGGTGTCAAAGTAGGCGTGGATGGTGAACTCCACGTCGGGCTTGGCAGAGGCGATCTTCTCAACAGGGCGGAACTCAGTGTCGTTGATGAGGGGGTACTCCTCAATAACGAACTCCTGGCCGCGCTCCTGGTCGGCGAAGTACTCGAGAGTGACGGTGTTGTTCAGGATAAGGTCGTCGGGAACAACGTCGTACATGTCCTCGGACTGGTAGACGGCGATGCCGTAGTTCTGGGTAGGCTTCTCCTTGGCCTTGACGAGGATGGAGTAACGCTGGGCGACGGAGACGGTGACGACGTCGATCGGGTAGGGCTCGACCTCAACACCGTCGGTCTCGATAACGTACATGTCGTGGTCCTGGAACTTGATCATGAACATGGAAAGCGCAGCCATGTTCACAATACGGATACGGTAGGTCTTGCCGGCCTCGAAGGGGATCTTCGCGTTGTCGTTGGTGACGGAGCCGTCGGTGACCTTGTCGGCACCGCCGACGTAGTTGCCGTCCTTGTCGATAACGTACATGAGCGCCGACTCGGGGACGGGCTCGGCGCCGGTGGGGTTGGTCCAGTGGAGGAAGTCGTTGTCAAGCATGTCCTGGTGCTGGCGGTGGTACCAGTCAGAGACGGCGAGGGTGTACTCATCATCCCAAGTGAGGTTGTCGGCACGGGGGTTGCGGATGATGGAAACAGTGCGGAGACCGTCGACGTACTGGCCGTTGTAGTGGCCGTGGACCCAGTAAGTACCCTGGTTGCGGGAGAGGTCGATCTCGTAGTCGAGAGTCTGGCCGTTGGGAATACCGCACTGGGTCACGCCGGTAGCACCGTCCCAGTAGGCGGAGTTGTTGAAGAACATTCCGTGGGCGTGAAGGGCGGTCGGGATGTTGTCATCTCCGAGGGCGTTCGTGGCGTGGATAATGTGCTTGTCGCCCTTGTCGGCGATGAGGACGGGCGGGGGCCAGGTGCCGTTGATACCGATGACACGGCGCTCAAACATCTGCGGAGGGTCAGTGACATGCTTCGGCGGGGCGTTCCGCATTCGCTGCTAGCTCTTGCGACGGCCGCAACTCACTCCGTCGGGGTTGGCCTGGGCGTACGAGATGTTCCACCAGTGCTCAATGACCTTGGCCTGCGCGGCCACAGCGGCCATGGAGGCCGCGAGAATGGCCTTGGCGACCATTGCAGAGATTCCGGGGAAGGGCGTCGGGGAGTGCGAGGGTCAAGTGGTGCGGGGCGACTCCAGTCCTGATAGTGTCCCGAGAAGGTGTGGTCGACAACACACGAATACGGTGGGTTACGGGAAGAAAAGGAGGAATGGAGATGGGCGGGCGACAAGAAGTCGAATTGAGGGAAGCGAGGCTACTTTTAAGGCCGCACTGACTTCGGGATTATCTGATAACGCTGTGTGGACGCTCTGTGCGCTATGTGCGACTTTTTCACGGCCGCTCCTTACGCCTCCGACTGGTCCTACCCCTGGCGGTTTCCCTTGGCCTGTCGGGGAGTTGCAGAGTAGCTCACAGCGAATCGAGATGAGCGCTAGGCGAGCTAGCAGCTGTCGGTCGCGGGCTGGGGTCTCGTGCCGTGACCGCGGGGTGCAGCTGGCCTGTCGCTGAGCAGCCTGGGCAATTGGGGTTGGATTCTATTTCGGAAAGACGGACGACCAAACTTTGTTGCACGGCTGGTGACTGGTCTGAGGCAACCGGGGCGCACCTGGGGGCGCGCAGAGTCGGCGGGCAGGACTAAAGCGGAGTCTTGGCGAGAATGCAAGCAGCCCTTTGCAGGCGCACGACGAGATGTGAGTGGTCTGTCGTCGGGTGTGGTGACCCGAAGCCTGCCCTGGGCCCACGCGAGGTACGGCCCAGGGCCGGCCTGGCCCTGATGGGAAGGAAGTACGACTTGTGACCTCTGACATTGCGGCGGGTCCTGTTCCTCTCTGATTCCTGGCCTGTGGCTCACTTCTGCAGAACAGGTATTTGGAAAAATTATCTGATAAACGCGACCCCTTCCCCGCTATTGGTCAATCGGGCAGCCTGACCCGATCCTCGCGCATCAAGAGACAACATGTGGGCTTGGCTTCCGCATACTTAGAACACAACAGAGTGCACGGCGCCGCCTTGTCTTGGACACTGTCCATAATAGCTGCCCGCTTTTCTTGGTATCCATATCTTCTGCGTATCCATCATTGCGGGGTGCGAAGGGCTGAATTCACATGTATAGCCTACCGTACGTCATGTGCAGACGACTCCCTAATTCTGGTTAGAGCTGCCGAGCGCTCGAAATACACAGCACCACTGCGCTCGTGACCCGAGGGCCACATGGACGAACAAGCTCGAGCTCATGCTGGAGCAGCTCGAATTCAGATGTCGCTTAGGCTCCGCTGCTCCGCGCTGTATCCCCTCAGTGGTCATGCGGAAGGGTACGATCTGACAACACCGAACAGACCGATCCGCCAATTGGAGCTGGTGGACCCTTGAGCGAGTTCGGCAGACTCGAGCAAAAAGGCAAAGTACGAGCTTGCCCTTGGACATGCCCCAGCGCCTGTGCCTCCGTGCCTCTACTGGGGCTGAAAGCAGCAGGGAGCGGCCGATTCAGAGAACAGCGGGGCAGAGTAAAGCAACCCGGCCAAGACATTGGCTCACCAGATTTAGAAGCCCGTCCTGCGCCGTCGTGCCTTGCAGTCCTCACATGAGGTCTGGCGATGGCACCGGCCGATAACTCAAACTCGGCATTCTGATTGGTGCAAAGTCGGCACACTTCCCTCGTCTGATACGGGTAGCTCGGTTCCCACGTCATAAAAGTGCTCGAACGATGAACAAGTACGCTGCAGCAAGCATGCATAGGAACGTACACCCTGCTCTAGGTTGCTGAAATCGCGGGGTCACAAGTCGCCGAGCAGCAAGCCAGATGAAACGAGTGCAAACCGGACCGTAGTTATACGTCTGCCACCGCCGAAATCCCCGACTTGGACTTCCTAATCACGGCCGAAATGGGCACAGGATCGGGTCCTATCGCTGCGCCCTCAGTGCCAAATGCCTCACTGACCGAGTGCCTCGAGCTTCTAGCCGGCGCTGATCAGTCATTACTTAGTATGCTGCTTCTGTCCGCGGATCTGGTGGCTTTCCGGGCACCGGGCGAGATGCCGAAAGACCCATTCAAGATTGCGATGCCTGCCGAGGTTGTCGATATTGACTCATAAACCAGCAACAGTCCGCAGATATCTGGTATCCGATCTAGACGACTGTGCCCTCATGGCTGGTGCTTCTCTCGCTGAGGATATCTGCTCCCGGTACCCCTGCCTTCCCCAGGCAGAGAGCCAGTCTCAATCTCAGTGACTGAGTTCAGAGCAATTCGCTCGAAGCAAGCGCATATTGTCGTGGGCGGACGAGAGCTGGAGACTCGAGGCCGAGACGAGCTTGTCGTGGTGTATCCTTAGAGGGATGGACTTAGACAATACATTCGATAGAGAGATATCTAGAGAGAGAGTGCGTCGTATATAGGTATCTGTCTATCGGATGAAGCGGAGCGTCGAGCCACACGGACTCGGGGGTGAGTGCGCTCTTGTCGGGGGAGGCCATGTGGGTCCCACGTGGTATCCGTACGACACATATTATACTCATAAGAGTGGGGTGTAGCAGGCCGTCTTCTCTTCTGAGCTCCGTTGGCTCTTGGCCAAATCGTAGGATTCCCATTACACAGTGAGCGATAGTAGTCCCACCACGGGGCCCAGGCCGCACATATCTGTGGAGCCAGGATTACGCCAGGTGCTCGTATCGCGGTTCCGGTGTCGCTTTCCGCAGGATTCTGGGTCACTTGTCCCAGCAGCAAGTCAGAGGGGAAGCGGGGAACTGGTCGTCTGACCAGATCCACTCCAGGCGAGTGCGTTCGGGCAGCTGTCGTTCTCACAGCTGAATCCTGTGAAGCGACTTGCGGCCTGTGGCGCATTCACGAGGGCAACTCTAACCCCCGGCCTGAGGCGTCCAGCATAGTGGTCCCGTTTGCTCCCATCTGCTTCCACTGATCCTCCTCCACTTGAACCCGTCTTGGTGCCTCAACACTGCTCCACCGGGATCCTGATGGGAAGCGAGCTGCGAAACTGTGAGCGCGCGCCCTTGATGAAGAGTTCCGCATCACTTGTCCAAGACAGCCTTCGCACTCAAGCAATGTGGCCTAACGCACAGCGAGGTTAGAGAGACGGGACCGGGCCACGCGAGGACATCGGATTCCATGCTAACTGACAGACAACAGTCGCGTAAGATCACCAACTCTTTGAACACGCACTGATGCCAGACTGTGCAGCACGCTTCTACAACTGACTGTCACAGGTGGCAGATATCGCGACTAAGAGCCATCACGGACCCGGTGGCCGTCAGCCGTAGGATTGGCCGCGAGACACTTACTCCTCCCCTCTCACCTGGCTAGACGCAAGCGACCATGAGCTTGCCACTGCCGATTCTGGATTTGCCGTGTCGATCCCAGAGCTAAGCTTGCCGAGAACGCCACTCGATACGGATTCCTCGCCGTCGCCCTCACAGTGCAGACGCCACCGGCTTTCCCGCGGTGGGACGGAGAGGAACGCCCCGCGGTCCAGTGTCGACGACGGGCGGCGGGCTGAAGACACCCCGTTGCCCGATCGTGAGAGCTGGAGTGTCATTACTTCATTTCAGAGGGGGTCGACTGTGCCCCCTTCCACCAGAGAAGATATATCGATCCGTTGTAGTTCCTCACACATTGTTGAGGGCAGATTGCACATCTCCGGGGAAACCAAGAGCGGACCAGCTGACTTTCCAATGTGCAAGCGTCGAGCGCGACCGAGAACTTGGCGCCGGCGTTGCAAACGATAGCGGTGGAGGGAGTGGAGGTAGTGTCGGCGACCGAAGCAGTGGAAGGTGATAGTGGAGGCAACAACAATGAAACCGGCGGTGTGCCGGCCGGTACGGCCGATCGGCCGGCGCTCACCGGGTGAGACTGATTCCAGCATTCCTCCCCCATTCCTATACCGATGCACGTTGTATCTCGTGAACGACTCTTTGTGTGTCTTGTTGTGCTTCTGTCGGAGTATTATGCATGCGCCTTTGTCTCCGAGTAGTGTTAATGCGTAAGGAATACGAGTTAGTAGTGAGTCGTCTAGTCGAAGAAGGCAAGGCTGGTCCGCCGGACTGGCCCACCCCCGCATTTTTGGCTGACGCTCTCGGCGGGGCCGGTTGGCCGCGGCCAGTGCCCCGCCACCTGAGCGCCAGCATGCCGCCGTTGCCGCCCAGGCTTTGTCGGCTTCCTCCGGTGGAGCTATCTTGAGTAAGCCGCCTTTAGCCAGACCAGCCAGACGCACCGAGAGCTTCGCTTGGCACGTACAAGCGGGCAGTTTCTTTGCAATTTCGCATCGCGTAAACCTGCACTACTCAGGATCATCCCACCGGCGGCATCTGGCTGGGGAACTCGGCTTGTTGCAATTGCAATCTGCAACATCGACTCTTCTCTACTCACCTGACCCACAACTTGAGCGCCTTCTTGTATAAAACCACACGCCGCGACACGTTCCACACACACGATCCCCCGCACAACGCAGTCGACTCTTGAAGAATACACAACAACTATCACGATCAAGAAAGCGGCCATCACCGACATTTGCAGTTAACCGACGCACCGATTGTTTTCGAGTTCGCACAGACCCCCACGGGACGACGATAGGCGATGTCGATGCTCGAGCCCGCGTCCGCGCCGCGGCGGACAGTGTGCTATGTATCAGAGGATCCAGAGCCGGCGCTCGTGCGCGAGGACGCCGACGGCGCCGTCGCCATCGAGCCGTTACCGCAAGAGGAGAAGTTCTCGCCGTCGTCACCGACAGTGACGGGGTCCTTTAGCGACCGCAAGCCGTCGCTGTCGACACTGGCGTCCGCCGTGGGGCCGTTACCAGAAGGCTGCTCCTATGGATACATGCCAAAGGACGAGGAGGGGAAGGAGGAGCGTGTGATCTGGGTCGACTTCCCGGCGGGCTCGAAGGAGAATCCGTTCTACTTCCCCCTCCCGCGCAAACTGGGTATCACATTTGTGGCCGTGTTCTACACCCTGATTTCGGCGTACACGACTTCGGCGTTCTCGATCTCGGCGGGCACGATGTGCGACGACCTCGGGTGCTCGCAGCTCGAAGTTGAGGCTGGTATCGCGCTCTACTGCTGGGGCTTCGCCTTTGCCCCGCTGTTCCTCGCGCCGCTGTCCGAGGAGCTCGGACGCAAGTGGACGTACATCAGTGCTGTTATTGTGTTCTGGATCTTCCACCTGATGATGACACTGGGGCAGAACACGGCCACAATTCTCATCTCCCGCTTCATCCTCGGCCTCAGCGGAAGCCTGGGAGCGACGCTTGTTGGCGGCACGATTTCCGACATCTTCGTCCCGAGCCAGCGCGGTGTGCCTATGGCTGCGTTCGGTTTCGCGGCCATCTTCGGAACGGGACTTGGTGGATCGACAATGGTGTTTGTCGAGGTTGACCAGCGCCTGCGCTGGCGCTGGGTGTGGTGGATCCAGTTCATCATTGTCGGCGTGTTCATCCCCGTCGTCGCGTTCGTCATGGTCGAGACCCGCGATACGGTCATTCTCCGCCGCAAGGCCAAGCAGCTGCGCAAGACGCGCGGCACGTCCGACGGAGCCCGATACCTCGCCCGCAGCGAGGTGACCAAGGTCAAGTTCAGCGTCGCGATGCGCGAGTCGCTCCTCCGCCCCCTGCTGTTCCTCGCCACGGAGCCTGTTGTCATGTTCTTCTCGGCCTGGATCGGACTTGGTTGGGGTGTCTTCTACACCCAAATTGCAGGTCTGCCGTATATGTTCCGACACACTTTCGGCTTTTCGACCCTCGCGGTCGGCCAGACATACTGGGCCATTTGCGTCGGCGGCATCCTCGGCCTCGGCATCAACTGGATCCAGGAGAAGGTGTACCGCCGCCAAGCGCCGAAGCACGGCGTCGAGGCGCGCCTCTACGCCCCCATGGTCGCCGGCATCCTCTTCTTCGTCGGCTGCTTCATCACTGGCTTCACGAGCATTCCGACCGTGCACTGGATCGCGCCGCTCATCGGCGTTGCCATCCTCCTCGCCGCCATTATGAGCATCTACATCACATCCTTCACGCACCTGTCCGAGGCGTACGGCACCTGGGCGTCGAGTGCGATTGCGGCGCAGAGCTCCTGTCGCAATGTTGTCGCCGGTATCTTCACCTTCTGCACGACGCTCATGTTCGAGCGCCTCACGGTGCGATGGGCGCTCGTCATGATGGGAGGTATCGCTGCCGTGCTTGCCCTTGTTCCCTTCGCTGCCTTTTTCTGGGGACCCCAGATTCGAGCCAAGTCGAAGTACTCCCGCCTCTGTATGGAGCAGGAGCGCGCAAAGCTCGAGCACGAGAAGGTCGAGCGCGAGGTGCTCGGTATCGACACGAGCGAGGTTGAGGATCTCGAGGGCGACGCCAATGAGCGGACGCCAGAGCACCCCTTCCACCACCATGAACACCATGATCCGGAGCGGGGAAGCATCAGGAGCCATCACAGCGAGCACAGCCGACACAGTCGAGCGGACTGCGCTTCTCTTCACGACGTCCGGATAGGAAGCGAAAAGGCTTAGGTAGTAGTTGGGATATTGAGAAGGCCCTGGGAACGGCGATCAGTGTCTAATAGTTAGATTACAGTTAGAAACCAACAAACCCATGTAATTCTTTGCCATCTTGTGTATACTCTAGCGCTATGTGTGATGCATTGGAATCCTAATCTGAGCCTGCAGTCTATACCTGAGCGTTCATTCTTACTGTTGGTGGGTGGTGAGTCGTGTGTGCGGCGCGCACGTGATGCTTGACGCGGTGATTTTGTACACGGAAGGGAAGGAGGGAAGGTGAGGAGATGTCAATCGATCGAGAAGAGCCGGAAGAGAGTAGTGCCAAGGAGGGTGACCGTCTATGCCGTCTTGCCCTGCGCGCGCTTCTTGCGCGCCTCGGCCATCGAGACCTTGCCGAAGAAGGCACCGATGCCCGCGAGACCAACGAGGAGAAGAAAGGCGGGGCCGCGGACTGCCCACTCGCGAGGCGGGAAGAGGTCGTGGAGTGACGAAGCGTCCGAGACGAAGGGCTGCTGTCAGTTTCCTACTCCTAGCGTCAACTTACGAGGAGCAGAGCCCAGATCGTGTAGTAAGTGAAGACGAAGGCGGCGACGAAGAGCATCGCTCCGCCGAGGGCTTTATCGGATGTCGCCTGGAGGTCAGATCGGTCACTTCTAGCGCCGCGGAGGCTGTGCGGGTGCAGGCATGGTCGGGACGCGAGCAGCATGGTGAGGTCGCGATGAGGGAAGGTGCATGAGGCAATGGCGACGAGGGAAGAATGGATGCTTCGTCGTCGGCTCCACCAGCATCGACGCCCACCGCCCACTCTTGCCACTGCGAGGCGTGCGGTGCACTCACCATTTCGTATGTCTGGATCCTGTCGTTGTTATTGCGAACGGAGCTCGAGGTGTCGCGCGTTCACCCAGAGTTCGCGACGCCACACGTCATCAGCCACGTGGCGGGACATTTGCTTATACGCGCCTCCCACTCATGTCGAACGCCCGGTGGAGGTCGGTAGGTCAGGTGACTCGGGTCAGACAGAACGTCGATCACGAATCGTGGGCGCGTGCATGGATTGACTGGTGGCTGCGGCGAGAGCGGCGTGCGGCGCTGTCTCCGGCATCCTTGCACAAGCGAAGGCTGCCTCTCGAGTGGGTCAGAAATACAAATCGCAATGGGCGCCCATGTGCAGAGAGAAGGTGGAGCATGCACCTGAGTGCTCTCGAACGACACGTCCACACGGTTCATCGATTGAGTGCGGCTGTTTGGAGGCAGGGATGCCACTTGATCGGGTGCGCAGTAACTAGTCTTGTCTTAGCACCCAGGGCGCTACACCTTTTTGTGTCTTCCCTGCCACAGAGCTGCGGCCGCCACGGAGCACTAGTCCGGAAAGATGTGGCGAATGCAGGCTCCGGCGCAAAAGCGATTTCCGCTAGTGCACGCGCTGGGCATCGTGTCATTTCCAGCCCGCAAACCGAGCCTCGGTCCTCGGCATGCGGCTTTCTCACCACGATCGCATCCGCAGATCTCTCGTGACGGCAGATGTGGGCGAACTCTCCCACGGTGCATTTTCCGATGTCAACTGTAATTGAGAAACGGAACCTGAGCGTCTCTTGAGTGCTCGAGCGTACAAGCACCGCCGGATGGCGAGAACGCTCAAGCTGTTTCAGCAGAGGCGGCGATCCCCGAGCATTGTGCATATTAATACAAATGCTCGTCGGCCCCGCACCCCGCGGACGACGGACGAAGTGCACGATCAGTCGCGGGCCCCGGTGAGGCTCGGCATGCGGCTTTGTGCGAAGAAATGTGCTCCTGGATGCATCTGGCAATCCTGGAAACAAACGGACAACACTCTGATCGAGCGACATGGAGAGTGAGCGTCAGACCGCGTTGCGCACACATGTGTCTCCTGGTGGCCTGATGGGCGTCATCGACGATCAAGATGGCTGTGGAATGGGTGCGTATGGGCCGGCGGAAGTGGATCGAGCGATGTGGGGGATTACATAACAGAAGCTGGGGTGGGTGCAACTGGTGGCCGGGAAGAGCCCGGGGGAGGGCCGGGGAGCGCGGGGTATCGAGGGTAACCGGGTGGATCGATACCCGGTGGACGGTGGGTGGGGAAGTTGCGGATTGCTGTGTGCGTATTGCGCTGAATGTGGTTGGCCGGACAAGGTGACGGCGGCCCACGTCAAGAGGCGGCGGACGTGCCGGGTGCAGGCAGTAGGCGGGTCTCGGAATCATGTGAGAGCCAAAGGCAGGGAGCGCTGCAGGGCCAAGGATTCCAAGACGCGTCCGGCGTGAGAGCTGCGAGACCTGCGCCGCCCCCCGCGCTGATGATGATGCTGCTACAGCAGATTGATTACGGTTTGGCCTGGCACACGCTGGCACACGGGGGCCAGGCGGCATCCTCCCCCCTTCAGGCTCTCACCGCGCACCGCACCGTGACTGCACGGCTGCAAGGGCCAAAGGGGCCGGGCACACACGGCCTGTCGGCTATTGACTTCCCATCGTCCACTCCCAGACACTCTCGTGGTCAGCCCGTACCGCCCAGACCGGCCCATACCGTTCCACACCCCGGACACACACCGCCCAGCCTTAACTCTACATCCTCTATATCATCCACGCCCCTTTTCCTTTCTCCATATCTCCCACTCTACATCACCACTTCCCATCCGTGAGTACTAGCGAAACAGCGTCAACTGGCCCGCTGTCAGAGCAGCGATCCGCAGCAGGTAGCAGCCCACCACAATCGGTGACCCGAGCCGGTTCCCACACTCTGCATCCAGGTGCCACGACATCGCAGATCCACTGACCATTCCAGATCATGTCTGCCAAGGTTATCGTTGTTGGCGGTGGTCTCTCCGGTCTCTCGGCCGCCCACACCGTTCTTGAGCGTGGTGGTAACGTCGTAAGTACATACGCCGGCGCACAGCGCTGTCCCGTCGACTCGTCGCTTACAGTGCGCAGCTCCTCCTCGACAAGAACTCGTTCATGGGTGTAAGTGCCCGCTTCGGCGGCGATCAACCAGATGCATGCAGGATCTGACCCCACCAGGGAAACTCGACCAAGGCCACCTCTGGAATCAACGGATCTGGCACTGCTGTGAGTACTATTGAAACCGGTCTAGAATACGAGCTGACACAATGACAGGCCCAGCAGGTACGTTAAACCGCCGGCGAGCAGATCTGTGATGGCGACAGCCACGCATTCTGCTACGCCCACCTCTATCGAGGCCCGAGTACTGACTAGCCCCACAGGAGAACAACATCCCCGACTCTTCGGCCAAGTTGTGAGTATAGGCGTCATCCAGTCGGCGATCGCCGCTAACCAATCACAGCTTCGCCGACACTAAGAAGTCTGCTCGTGACCTCGCCCGCGACGACCTCATCAAGGTCCTCACCTACAAGTCGGGCGATGCCGTCCAGTGGCTCATTGAGGCCTTCGGCCTCGACCTTTCCAAGGTCTCGCGTCTCGGTGGCCACTCTGAGCCCCGTACCCACCGTGGTGGTGCCCAGTTCCCTGGTATGACCATCACCTATGCCCTGATGGAGAAGCTCGAGGACATTGCTGCCGCCGAGCCCGACCGTGCCAAGATCATCAAGAAGGCCAAGGTCACCTCGCTCATCAAGGAGGGTGACGAGGTTGTTGGTGTCAAGTACGAGGTTGACGGCAAGACCCTCGAGGAGCGTGGTGTTGTTGTCCTGGCTACTGGTGGTTACGCCGCCGACTTCTCCTCGGACTCGCTCCTCAAGAAGTACCGCCCCGAGTTCTTCGACCTCCCCACCACCAACGGTGACCACTGCACTGGTGACGGCCACAAGATGGCCATGGGTGTCGGTGCCAAGGGTATCGACCTCGAGAAGGTCCAGGTCCACCCCACTGGTCTCGTCGACCCCAAGGACCCCCAGGCCAAGGTCAAGTTCCTTGCTGCCGAGGCTCTCCGTGGATGCGGTGGTCTCCTCATCGACTCGACCGGCCACCGTTTCGTCGACGAGCTCCAGCACCGTGACTTTGTCACCAACAAGATGTGGGAGAACAACAAGTTCCCCGTCCGCCTTGTCCTCAACTCTGCTGCCCAGAAGGAGATCGAGTGGCACATTAAGCACTACGCCGGCCGTGGTCTCATGAAGCACTACAAGAACGGCTACGACCTCGCCAAGGACATGGGTGTCGACCCCAAGGTTCTCCAGAAGACCTTTGAGGACCACACCTACTACTCGGAGCACCCCGGCACTGACCCCTTCAACAAGAAGTTCTTCAACAACGCCAAGTACTCCATGGACGACAACTTTGCCGTCGCCCTCATGACCCCCGTCCTCCACTACACCATGGGTGGTCTCGAGATCGGCACCGACGCTGCCGTCCACGACGCCAACGAGAAGCCTATCCCCGGTCTCTTCGCCTGTGGTGAGCTCGCCGGTGGTGTCCACGGCGCCAACCGTCTCGGTGGCTCTTCGCTCCTCGGATGCGTCGTCTTCGGCCGTGTCGCCGGTGGCTCCGCCTCCTCCTACCTCCTCCACGGTCTCTCGAACCAGTCCGCCGCCGGCCGTCTCGGTGCCATCGGTGACCACCTCCTCGAGACCCGTGTCCGTGTCGACCCCGCCACCAAGTCGGTCAACCTCGAGTTCTCGTTCGGCGGCTCGTCTGGCTCCTCTGCCCCCGCCGTCCAGGCCGCCCCCGCCGCTGCCCCTGCTCCGGCCGCCGCCGCTCCCGCTGAGGAGAAGACCGCCCCCGCCGAGAAGAAGGAGTACACCGCCGAGGAGGTCGCTCAGCACAACAAGGAGAACGACCTCTGGGTCATCATCGACGGCCAGGTCCTCGACGTCACCGAGTTCCTCCCCGACCACCCCGGAGGTGTCAAGGCCATCATGCTCTACGCTGGCAAGGATGCCACCGAGGTAAGTACCATACGGTGAGGAGGTGGATTTGCTCCCGCTCAGGGTCCGGTGGAGGTGGAGGTACCTCCACCGACCTCCACCTGAGTGTGGCACTTCCACCTCCATCCACCCTCACGAGGTTTTACTCCCCCTCCGACTTCTTCTTTCTCTTCCAAGCCTCGGAGGGTTTGCGAATGCTTTGCTAACGTCAATTAGGAGTTCGAGATGGTCCATCCAGAAGGGGTCCTGAAGAAGTACCTCCCCGAGTCCGCGTACAAGGGCACCGTCAAGGCTTAAGCGGAGAAAAACAGAAGATTAACGGAAGTTTCGCATAGGTGGCGACGACGTTCTGTAGGTTGTAACCGACTTGTGTATGCACCTGAAGTGATAAGACCTGGGACGGAAGGAGTCAACAACGGTGTCGCGGGGCAGAAGATGCCCTTGCGGAGGAAGCAGTCGGCCTCATGGCTCATAGCCTCGGCGGTGTGCGCCCAGACTACTGGGGTGCGAATCCTACTCAATCACCGTGCTTAGGTGATCTACAGGCCGCCGCGGGGCGCTTGTTGTATCTTGCGAGCAACGAGGAACGGGCAGTGAAAGGGGCAGGCACCCCACCTCCTCGTGGCTGGGTGTTCGATTAAATCTTGGCCGCGACCGACCTCACTCTGAACGAGGACGACTGGACTACTACGAATTCTCTTGCCTGCGTCCTTGAATCTTTTATCAGTCTCACTTTCGCCAAATCCGGTGCATGTACGAGGGTCCATGGGACAACTTCCTACCTCATTCGACCAAAATATCTCGGATGCACCGTACATGCTCCCTTCGCTCAGAACTCGATGATTCCGAACACTGCCAGTAAAATCCACATAATCAATCCTCGAGTTTGTGCAGGCTACAGAATATAGGAACAACAAGTACGCATACAAATTTCAGATAATGTTCGAGATAGTGTTGAAGTCTCGCGGAGAAACGAGCTTGACGTGCCAGCCGTCCAGTGTGAACTGGGCCAGAAGGCGCTGAAGAGGCACGTCCCCGTCGGCGCCGTCGTCCTCCGTATCGTCGTCCCCGCTAGGGCTTTCTTCTCGAGGCGCGGGGAGAGGAGTCCGTCGAACAATCTCTCTCTCGAAAGACGGGTCAACGAGAGTTGGGATCAGAATGGCGGAAGCCCCAACCGGCGCCGGCGGCAGACTCTGGATATGAGCTCGGGCGCGCTGGAAATGCTTCCACAACAATTCGAATTGTGCAACATCGATGCCGATGTCGTCCACCTTCGTGGCCTCGGGCTGCTGCGACGGCGCGAAGTCATGAGGCATGGAATTTGCCAGCTCGCTGGATTTCTCCAGAAGCTCCTGGACTGTACATGTCGTGCCAGCTTGACGTCCCTCGGCGACCTCGACATTCAGCGTACGATCAGAGGCGAACAACCGGCAGAATGTTGTCTCAAGGACGAATGTTCCGTCTGTGGTCTGTTGAGCCTCGTGTGCTTGAGACATGTTCAAGATAGCTTGAGCAACACCCGCTCGCCACTGTCTCGCTCTGTCGCCGTCGTCCATCTGGCGTCAGAGGATGGCTGAGCGTCAAGCGTACCTTGATCTCCACGACATGAGCGACAACAATCTGCCCCGTCGCCACGTTCTTGACGTAAACAGTGATGTCCGGGATGTGGACGCCGGACTTGGTGCTGGTAGTCTGTCGTGTAGATGTCTGACGTGTCAGCGCATTCGCTTCCATTGCGACTGACTGAGCGCACTCCGAGCGAGCGGGGTTCGTCCTTCCAAGTCATGAGGTGCGCCGGGATCCGTTGATGCTTCAGGGGCCCCAGCAGTCTCTCCAGATCAATGTTTGAGTCGACGCAGAGAATTGCCTCTTTCTCGCTTCGGCTGTCCAGTGTTCCGATTGCGTCGGTAACGACTTCGGTGATCGCGCCCTGCAGGATAGACTCCGGGAGCGTCTCGGCGATCCTGCGCCTAATGTACGCGCGGAATCTCGGGAATCTCCTCCTATCCACCTCAGTGACTGGGGACACCTGCGGGGGGTCAAACTTGAGGCCAGACATTCGGCCTGATGTCGAGTGTGGGGTGGAAGCGTGAACAACGATCTGTGCGACGTGCATTGTTTACGAGCGAGAAAGGCAGACTGTTGACGACTCATGCTTCACGTGATTCAGGTAGGAGAAATATCATTATCTTTCTTAGATTACCGCGGTAATCTTTCGTTTTTCACTGGATGATGATGCACAGTCCATCACAGACTCGATTTTACCTGGAAATGCGGACTATCGACACATGAGGGCACAAGGCTGGGAGGTTTAATGATGTTTGCCGCGCCTAATTCTGCATGCATAGCTCCCAAAGTCAGTCAACTGCGAAGCTACGTGTCCAGTGTACCTACAGGTTGTCATAATGTCGAAGCACTTGAGGAGTACAGGGAGTTTGGAAATGCAACTTCAGGAGGGGGCCTACTCACCACCGTCCTTGACGTTCAGCTGGCAAAGGGTCCGACGTTGGACTTCGATTGTGACGCCATGCATTTCGCCCCTCGGACATCGAATGTCCCTCATTACAGCATTTCCAGTAGTCCGACGACATCATGCACATGTGTGCGTAGACACTGCCTGCCTTGAGATGTAATTATAATCTCGAATGGCAGGGTGCTGCACTATAACCGCGAGAGGCTAGCTACCTCTGCAACAGTGCCAGGTGCACTGCTCTCAATATCGTTAGGCTCTCACGTCCAGCTCACGTACTATACAACTACCCCATCGCCATTCGCTGCGTTCACCCGAAATCTTTTTTCGTATTACTAAAACATACGGATAGTCTGGATCTCGATCGGTGTGGGGTGTATTAGCGGTAATGGAAACAACCTTACGCACCCCCGAACTTTCTGAAAGTATTACACCTACTGACTGTGGGCCTATCTGAGTCTTCACCTGTACGATCTGTTGAATTTCCAAGAAATCCAATTAGGTAGAGCAAGGGTGTAGCAGCTGAACCCGACCAGAGTGCCACCGAGTGCTTGGCGAATGTCGGTTCTGCCTTCCCCCGATTTCGGCAGGGATTAGCGCTTTCGACTGGGATCAACAGAAAAAGCTAGTACCATGCACGTATTGAATTTCTTTGAGACCCTCGACAATCCTCACAGATGCTACGAGAGCGCCAAGGCGTTAAACGACGGTCTATCACCAAAACGCCTGTATTCATCCGCTAGCTACGACAAAGGCTCGACTATTGTCGATCCTGCCACCAGTGCCACTTCCCCCAACGCCGCGGCGTTGGCACCCAGGCGCACGCCACGTGGTCGCACAAAGTCCATTTTGACAAAGAACGAGTGAGGACGAAGCAGTGTCGCTCGAGCTCGAGGTATCCTGCGTTGAGCAACCATACTCTACACCCAAAAGCCGACCCCTTTCCCCGGCACCTAGACGACACCATGGCGGACCCGACGGCATTCTACGAGCCCGAAGAGGACGAGCTTCTCAGCTCTCTCGCCGTGCCCCAGTACGGCACCGAGGGCTATGACGAGGAGTCCTACCGCCGCCTCCAGGAGCTCGAGCAGCACGCCTACGCCCAGCAGATGGCTGCCGCCGAGCAGGAGCAGGCCGCTGCCCTCGAGCAGGTCCCCGAGGACGTCAAGCGCGTGCGTACATGGCGGAGTTGACGCGTCTCAAGGGCGCGCATGAGACGGATCGCTAACTATTGTTCAGTTCATTGTCCTGTTCCACCAGGCTATCCTCGAGAACGACCTCCCCACGATCACGAACATGTACGAGAGCGGCTGGAACAAGCTCACTCAGGTGAGTTATCCCTATCTGGCGCAACTGACGTGCAGGCCCACTACCAGCAGTCCGAGTGGCCCGAGGCTGAGCTCATCGCTCCCCTTGTTCAGAACGACCAGGTCTTCCTGACTCTTTACCGCGAGCTCTACTTCCGTCACGTCTACGCTCGTCTCCAACCCACCATTGACGACCGTTTCCAGTCGTACGAGAACATTTGCGAGCTGTTCAACTACCTGCTGAACTCGGACGGCCCCGTTCCCCTTGACCTCCCTATCCAGTGGCTCTGGGACATGCTCGACGAGTTCGTCTACCAGTTCCAGTCGTTTGCTCAGTGGCGCGCCAGCCCCAAGAACAAGACTGAGGAGGAGCTCGACATGCTCGCTGAGGCCAGCCAGATCTGGTCGTGCTACTCTGTCCTGAACGTCCTCTATTCGCTCATGCAGAAGTCGCAGATCAACGAGCAGCTCCGTGCCGAGAAGGCCGGCAAGAGCTCCGAGGAGGTCGCTGAGATCGCTGGCGAGTACGGCTCCAAGCCCCTTTACCGCAACCTCGGTTACTTCTCCCTCATCTGTCTCCTCCGCGTCCACGTTCTCCTCGGCGACCCCACTCTCGCCCTCCAGATCATGGAGAACGTCGAGCTGACCGGTGACGCTTTCCTCACCCGCATCACCGCCTGTCACGTCACCACCTACTACCACGTTGGTTGCGCTTACATGGCCCTCGGCCGCTGGCCCGACGCGATCAAGACCTTCATCTCGGTCCTGATCTTCTTCATCCGCATGAAGCAGTACCACACGAGGAGTTACCAGTACCACACCATCACCAAGCAGTGCGAGCGCATGTACGCCCTCCTCGCCATCTGCACCACCCTCTCCCCCGGCCCCACCGACGACTCGATCATGACCATCGTCAAGGAGCACTACGGAGACCAGCTCGCCACCCTCCAGCGGGGAGGCGACGACGCCCTCGAGGTCTTCAAGGAGCTCTTCCTCCAGGCTTGCCCGAAGTACCTCTCGGTCAACCCCCCTCCCTACGAGGACCCCGACGCGCTCCAGGCCTGGATGGCCAACCCTCCCCCCGACGCCGTCCAGCGCTACCTCGACCTCTTCCTCTCCGACGTTGTCGCCGTCCGCGGTGTCTCCAACGTCCGCAACCTCCTCAAGCTCTACACCTCGATCGACGCTGCCAAGCTCGCCGCCTTCCTTTCTGAGGGTGCTGACGCTGACGCCGAGGAGGACGTCCTCCAGCAGCTCATGGTCCTCAAGGCCGCCAGCCGATCATACCGCTACGAGAAGGGTGAGGGCTCGACCTCGCTCCTTGACGGACACCGCTTCGTCACCAACGCCCTTGACTTCACCATTGACAACACCATGGTCCACGTCGAGGAGACGACGACCCACCGCCGCTTCGCCGGCTTCTTCATCCGCAACGCTGAGCACGCCCAGCGCGCGTTCAACACCATCCGTGCCGCTCCCCTCCCCACGCAGCGTAAGAAGCAGGAGAAGAAGGAGCAGCAGGAGGGCAAGCCCGAGCAGCCCCAGAGGAAAGCCGCTTGGGTCCCCAAGAGCCGGCAAGTTCGTGCCGCGGCCTAGAGCGGCCTAGACGATAGTAGGGACGGCGCTTAGACGAGGATGTAGCTGCCCTAGGGGGCAGGTGTAGTTATGCATACATTTCCGAAATCTACTCGTTATCAGTGCGGATCGTATACCCGGGTCCTGTTTCCAACGCCGATATCAGGTGACGGGGTCTTTACAGATGGCCAGGGTGAGATAACAAATGCCTCGTGCGACGGCGGAGAAGGAGCGCAACGCGGATTGTGCGCCCCACGGAGGCGAGATCCCGGGGAACGCAAGCTGAGAGGTTTGTTGACGTCGGCGAGTGAGGAGACTTGCTCGCGTAGGACTGCCTGATTCGTCGGGAACAATGGAGACGCAGGCGGGCAATCTGGATTCCAGCGAAATCGGTGCCGAAGCATGCCGAAGGATCCCGAGCAAAAGACACTTCCTGCCAGAAAAAGTGTCATGTCGGGCATGAAATGACACTTTCTGCGAGACTGATTTCCATGCACGTCGGGTACCATGACGACAGGATGCATACCTAGCCGCGCTGGCAGAGAGATAGAGAGCATAGACAACGTAAGAGCTGGCTGGAGCCTTGCAGCACACGCCCACCCTTGGACCGCAGCGACCGAGGATCTCAGGAACGAGGCCGGCCCAGCCCGGGTTTTGGCCAATCTTTGGCTGTAATCAGCCAAGACACCGCGCACTCGAGTCGAGAGTATATAACGACGATTGTCCCCGAAGCTTCCTTGCCCTCTTCCCATCGTTCTCTGCACACCACCACCCACCACTGACCTTTCCAAAATGGCCAAGCAGAACGTCGTCATCATCGGATCAGGTGAGTAGGCGCCCACAACGCTCCAAGTGCCGTTACTCGGCGGTGCCGAGCTTCCCCGAGTTCCCAGGAAGCGAGTGGTTGTGAGACCAGGCAGCCGCTGGGCTACATGCCAGCTGGAAGTGGTAACGGGGTCTGACTAAGGTCGCCATGTTACTCGATGCCTGCCCACCGCTTCCCATGTCCCCCGTGAGTTGCCTCGCTGATGTTCAGGCGTCTTCGGCATGTCCACTGCTCTGTGGATGCTGAAGGAGTCCCCGGAGAAGTACAACGTTACCATTCTCGAGAAGTGCACGACCGTCCCCGCCCCGGACGCGGCGTCGACGGACATCAACAAGATTATCCGCGCGGGCGACTACGCCGACCCCCACCTCGCCAAGCTGTCGGTCGACGCTGTCGAGCACTGGAAGCAGCCCGAATGGCAGGGATGCTACCACGAGTCTGGCGTCGTCTGCCTGTCTGGTGACGACCCGGCTGGACGTGCGTTTGTCGACGCCTCATACGCAAACTGCAAGGCCATGGGCCTGGAGCCCAACTACGTGCGCACGCCGGCCGAGATCAAGGGCTGCTGGCCCAAGGGACTCCAGACTGGCGCCTTTGCCCGAAGGGCCGGATACCACAACACCGTCGGCGGATGGGGCGAGGCTGCGCGCTCGATTGAGATCGGCCTCCAGCGTGTCAAGGACATGGGAGGCAAGGTCCGCGGCGGCGCCGAGGTTGTCGCCATCAACCGCTCGGGACGCAAGGTGACGGGCGTCACGCTGAAGAGCGGTGAGGTGATCCCGGCCGACCTCGTCGTTGTCGCCGCGGGAGCCTGGACTCCGTCCCTCATGCGGAGCCCTGGCATCGACATCCGCATGCCCGAGTCCGAGGTCATCGCTACTGGCCAGTGCGTCGCCATGGTCAAGGTTGAGGGCGAGGAGCTCGCGCTGCACAACAAGGCGCCGGTCGTCTTCAACCTCGACAACGGCTACTACATCTTCCCGCCGACCAAGGACGGTATCATCAAGATGGCGATCCACGGCGCGGGCTACACGTCCTGCACGGGCGAGACGTGCGACGACAGCAAGGTCTCCCTCCCCCGCACCAAGCTCACGCCGGGAGCCGAGAACGGCGCCCTCCCTGTCGAGGCAGTCAAGGCGATGCGCAAGCACCTCGAGGACCACTACCCGTACCTGGCGCGCAAGCCCTTTGTCGAGACGCGCATGTGCTGGTACTGCGACACGAAGACGGGCGACTGGCTCGTCGACTACCACCCCGACTATGACAACCTCGTTCTCGCGACGGGTGGATCGGGCCACGCCTTCAAGTTTGTGCCCATCATCGGCCGCGAGGTCAAGTCCATCATTGAGGGCACCGCGACCGACGAGTTCAAGAACCGCTTCGCGTTCACCCCCGGCACGGACAAGGGCGCCGATGTGCGTAACGGTGTCCGCAAGGAGATCTGCATCGGCGAGCTCTGCGTGCCGGCAGACCTCCTCCCCACCGACGCGCGCAACGCGAGGCTCTAGGCTGTAGTTTGTTTTGTAGATCATGCATTTGGGTTCTGGTTACGATGTCAGCTTATCAGTCGTCTGCCGTCGGGCAGAAGGATGCCAGTGTCGGGTGTAAAGGTCTCAGGGCTGCAGCTGCTGATCAAGCGCGACGATCAGTTTGCCATTCAAGGAAACCAGGACTCCAAGCGAGCGATTGCAAGCGAGGCATGGATGAGGTCCTCCCTCCACTCTGCCGCCAGCGTCGGGGGCCAAACGTACGATAACGAAACGTTTCGCCCGCCGGCATCGGGTGTGTCGGGATGCTGAGACCGCGGGCTTGGGAGAGTTGCCTGAAAGGGTGACGTCAAAAGGTGGTAGCCGTGATACCCGACGGGCATCCAGTCGCGTCGCATAAATAGTCCGGGAACCGGCTGTCGATCATCTGTGTCACATAGCTCCCGACTTTCTCAACCAGGCAGGAGCTCCACATACTCTCTCTCCACACAGAGTTGGCATCACGCACTCTCTTATCTTTTAGACCGACAGACGATTGACAAACACACAATCCGACAGGTGAAGGAGACTATCATGTCAGCGACAACAGCGACGGCAAAGGAGGAGCCGCACGGGTTCTGGACCTGGGTCAAGTTCTGGTGCTCGACGTGGTTCTACTTTGGGTTCCCGTTCATGTTCTGGATCCGGCCCAAGTGGACTACGAAGGAGATGCCCTCGCAGGCGGGCAAGGTGGGCTCGTCTTTCTGACGCAAGCTAACTTCCAGGTCGTGGTGATCACGGGCGGAAACTCGGGCACGGGCTATGCGACGGCCAAGGCGTTCTACGAAGCCGGCGCAAAGGTGTACATCGGGTGTCGCTCCGAGGAGCGTGCGAACACGGCGATCGAGAACATCCAGCGCGGCGGCCTGCCCAACCTCTGGGGCAAGTGGGTGTACAAGCCGACAGCGCGCCCCGAGGCAGTCGGCACACTGACGTACCTGCCTCTGGACCTCTCGGACTTTGACAGCATCGACAACTTTGTGGCGGCATTCAAGCAGCGCGAGTCGCAGCTCGACATCCTCTACGCCAACGCGGGCATCATGGCCACCGACGAGGGGCAGTACACGAAGCAAGGGCACAGCTTGCAGTTTGGCACGAATGTGCTCGGCCACCAGCGCCTCATCAAGCAGCTCATCCCCACGCTCCAGGCCACGGCGCGCGCGAAGGGCACGCCGTCGCGCCTCATCGTGCTGTCTTCGCAGGGCCACATCGCCGCCCCGCCCGGCGGCGTGCACTGGGACAGCCTCCACAAGGGCGGCAAAGTACTGGACAAGTGGGCCGACTACGGGCAGAGCAAGTGGGGCGACCTGGCTCTGTCCCGCTACGTGGCCAAGACGTACGGCCCCGGCACGCGTGGTGGTCAGGACGGCGCGATCATCTCGACCGGCATCCACCCCGGCCTCGTCGCGACCAACCTCGGCACGCACCTCAATGGATACAAGGTCATGCGGTACACGCCCGGGTTCCAGCACGGCATGCAGGTCGACACGTACACGGGCGCGCTGAACCAGATCTGGGTCGGACAGCTCGCCGAGCACGACGCGCAGAATGTCAATGGCAAGTACGTCTCTTGCTACCAGGTCGTCGCGCCCCAGCGCCCCGATCTCTATGAGGACGTCAAGGTCGACCGCGTTTGGGACTGGTGCAATGCCCAGGACAGGAAGAACCTGTAAGCGAGCCCGAGCGCTGCAAATGGTGAGCGGCGGGCCTGCGAGCGAAGCGAGCAGGGTCCGCGAGAGGCGACTGGTGTAGACGGGTGTAGAGCACCCCGTCCCTCGCAACGCGACCTCGCGCAAAAGCGACACTGATATCGTAAGCTAGCACTATAGTTTGGTTTATACATAGAATGCACTACTTTCTCCTTCTACAAGCAGAACTTTTACTCATGTAGCGCTCTTATCTCCCGGATCCGGCCGGCAATGACATCAAATGCTGCATCCGCAGCCTCCAACTCCTCCCTCGTCGTCTTGTCAGGCACATGGCTCGGCTCGACCTCGAGCGTGAACCCGGGCGCGAAGGCGTCGACCTGCTCAAAAGCATCGGGGATGTCTGTCTCTGGCCCCATCTCTCTGCCGAGGAGGACAGAGGTGGCTGTCGCCCACGCCCTTGCGGCGTTGGCGTGGTGATACCCCCCTCCGCCCAACACGGCCACCGGGACACGCCACGCCAGAACTTGCTCTACGATCCAGGCTATGCCGCCCTCGCCGGCCGTATTCCACCCCCCGACCTGGCCTATGGGATCCCGCGGAAGCCCATCAACGCCAAGCTGGAGCACGACGTAGTCCGGCCCCCAGGCTTGATACACTTTCTCGACATTAGCCCACAGACGCGCATACGTCGCCGCGCCGGCGTGTTCCGCAAGCCCCAAGCTGAGGTTGAACGGGTGCGGCGTATCCCCCTCGCTCGTGCCGGGGGCACCGGGGGGGAAGAACAGCGGCGAGACGTGGTGCATGCTGAGTGTGAGGACTTGGGGAGGGCGAGGCTTGCGACGCAGGGGGTGGCTGAAGTGCGTCGGACACGCGAAGGCGCGCGCGACGCCGTCGCCGTAGTGCAGGTCCAGGTCGAGGTAGAGTATCCGTGCCCGACGGGTTGGTGTCGGTGCTGATGAGGACCGGGGAGAGGGGAATGGGGTGGGCCGCGGCACACCTTCCCGACAAAGCAGGAGGATGCCCAACACGGCATCAGCGACGTAGCAGAAGCCACTCGCTTTGGCGCGGCCGGCGTGGTGTCGCCCTCCGTCCCAGACCACAGCAATGTCTGCCTCCCCGCGGGCGAGCATGCGGCAGGCGGTCAGCGTCGCTCCAGCAACGAGGGCGGCGTATCGTGGAAGTTCCAGGAAGGGCGGGCAGTCCTGGTGTGAGCTGGTCCGCGCTCTGCACAGCTGCTGGAGTGCTTCAATCTCTCGTGAATCTTCAACGAGAGGTTCGAGCTTCACTCACATACTCCAAACCCAACTTGTGGGACCTGTCCTTCCGCCGTCGTTTGCGGGGCGCAAATTCCTCCTCTTCGTCGGTGTCCGTCCCTCGGCCGTACAGGAGGTATTCTGATGTCAGTTGAGGAAGCCAAACAAGCAACTCACCAACATAGCTTGCATCATGGTATCGCCGGAGCTCGGACGCTTCGCACAGTATCGGATCTGGGGCGATGACCTTCACATCGACCGTTTTTGATGTTGCTTGGTGGTCTATTCGTCCGTTGACTTCAGTGCGGCCGTCTTCCTCAGTCCCGTTTGTATTCGACATGGTCTGGTGTTCGTCCGTCGCGATGTCACCAGCCTCAGCCTGTAGTCGGTCCGTGTCATTATGCGTGGGGATTGGTCCTGGTGAGTCGTCGCCGTCGATGTCCTCCCCGTTGACGGTCTCGCTATCGTCGGCCGATGGATCTGGCAGGGAAGGCGCAGAGGTGTACTCCCGCACGTTGTCGAGATCGACGAGCCCCAGCGCACCAATGAGGCCATGCACGAGCCGCGACCGGCCCTGGTTTGCGGGCAGGGAGTCCGCGACGCGCATCAACTCCTCAGACCAGAGGTAGGCTATGCGCCGCATATTATCTGCTGGGGGTGAGTGTGTTGACGCGAAACTCGGTGCTGGTGGACATTGGGAGTGGAGGCCTCCACTTGTTTGTGTCCCTCCGTTCCTCGCCACTAGGCTGGGCCGACCGCATGTCCCGCCACTCCGTCATCGCGTTTCGCGCGATCTCCGTCCAGTCACGCCTTCGAACACTTGAACGACGCAAGAGTGCACAAAATCGTCCTAAGGAAACAGTCTACATCGACAAACGTACAATATGGGTGAAGAATGGGTCTTCGGGTATGATAAGCCTGCTTGTGGACGGGCATGATGGAAAAAGATTGCTATGAAGGGAGAAGAAGAGAACGCGATTGCGCAAGTGTTCAGTGGAACGAGATTGAGACACAGGGCGGCCCATGCGGATAGCGGGAGATTGCTGTAGCTTGTTTCTAGAGTTGACAACGATGGGGGTGCAGGATGCAGAGACGTCACGCCGGGGCGTTCGGGAAAGTTTACTCCTCGATACCCATGAGCTTGACGAGGCCAAAGGCAGCGCCGGCGGCGATACCACCGACAATGACCATGCTGATGGCACCCCAGAGGTAGCCGCCGTAACCGCCAGTCGCGCCCGTGAAGTAGGTCTTGGCTCCTCCGAAGAAGAAGAGGACAATGCCGGTGACGATGACGGACCAGATGAGACCGGTCTCGGCGTTGTCAGTGAGCATGTAGGGGATGAGGGGGATGAGACCACCGAAGAAGTAGGAGAGACCGATGGTGAGGGCAGAAACCCAGAGACGCGAGACGGGAACCTCCTCCATGCCCTCGCCAAACTTGAGGAGGAAGGCGGTCAGACCGACGTTGGGGTCCTCGGCCTTGGAGCCATTGGCCTCGGCAGACTCGATAGCGAGACACGCGTCGTCCTCGACCTCACGGAGGTCCTCGGCGACAAGACGCGAAAGGGTCTCCTTGACACCGAGAGGGCCAAGGATGGCGTGAACCTCACGCTCCATCTCGCCGTCACACGAACGGAGAACACGGGCGTGAGTCTGCTTGCGGAGGTAGTGGAAGTGGTCGAGCTCGGCCTGCGAGGCGAGGAATCCTCCGAGACCCATGGAGATGGCGCCGGCGCAAAGCTCGGCGAAGCCACCAGTGACGACGAGAGACGAGTTTCCGAGCGAAGACAGACCAGCCGTCAGAGCGAAGGGAACGGTGAGACCGTCGGACAGACCGATAATACTGTTCTTGTCAGCTCGAACTGTCACAAAAGGCAGCTGTACTCACATGTCACGAACGATCTCGGGAGAGATAAGGTGACGCTCATCCTCGCCCTTGAGGTCCTTGCCTGATTATGTCAGCCCCTGCAGACGCGAAACAATGTGTCTAGCTTGTCACGCTAGAGGGGTAGGCGAATTCTCGAGACACGCTGCCTCGGTAGTCACCTCGCACCTCTATCGCGCGACAAACAATGGGATACTTACAGCACTGGCCACCATCAGCACCACACTTCGAAACGAGGGGCTCCTCGTCGTTGAGGAGGGCGTCGACACGGTTTCGGCGCTCCTCACGACCAGCAGAGCGCATAGACGAGTGCGAGCTGACGCGCTCAATGCCCCAGACGGGCTCGCCACCGTTCGAGTTGCCGGTCCTGTTGTTGCGGTTCAGAGGGACGGCGGCGGGGGCGAGAGCGGAGGAGCCGCCGCAGCACTTTCCGTTCTTGGAGCCACCACAGCAGCCGCCCTTCTTGTCGAGGAGGGGGGTACGCTCGTTACCGCCGGGCATGATGAAGTTGAAGATGAAAAAGGAAGAGTAAGATTGGAGAAAGGGTGCAAGAGATAAAGAGTGAAGTGATGATGAAAGAAAGGAGTGATGACGATTGAGAAAAATGCCAGAGTAAGCGTGCTAAGAACTGGGATGGAGCCGGATGATGGGAGTAGACAGGGTGTGTACCTGGCTGGGTCTCTGAGGCTGGGCGGGGGCCGTTGGCTGGCGTGCTGGCGTCGAGCGTTCCTTGCGCTGTGCCCTGACGAGTTAAGCTCTACGGCAGAGAGAGAGCTAGACGCTGCGGCATGCGGGCCCGAGGCTGCAAGAGTTGCCCAACGGGGGTCGGGCCAAGCGGGTCAGCTGCTCGACATTCGGGCGTCGGGCGCAGGGGAGGCGACGCTTGATTGGGCTGCAGTCGTCAAGGCCTGGCACGGAAAACGTTCAAGATCGTTGGAAAAGCTCCCGCCTGGCCCGCCAGGCTCGGCACGGTTTGTCATACGGGCGCGCAAACAAGTCACGGACCGGGCAATTCTGACCATCCCCCGTGATCTGATTGGCTCGAGTCACCCTCCCTGACGCTTTCATCGTCTGCATCTATGTTTAATCGCAATCATCTCACACATCCCCTGGACCGTGCTTGGCTCTGCGCATGGACTTCCTGTCCAGATATCGTGACCTGGCCAATCCCACAGCGTCCATTTCTAATCAGACCATCCAGGCGTGGTATGTGGGGTAGGAGCGCGACAGGAGTCGGCGTACTCGGCCTCCTCCGTGACTGGCACAGACGAGTGTAACCTGAACCTTGGCTTGGCTTTGAGTTGTCCTTGGTCTCAGATCGTGTGTGCCTCGACAGGACAATGAACCGCCATTCAAGCTCCTCGCCCCCTTCCATATCTCCAAGCGCGGACCCGATCACGGCTTGTTGGATCCTGCCGTAACGAGAGAGTGGCACGCGACCTTGATAAAGACTCCAGAAATCCTCAGATGGACGCGTCTCTTCCGGCATCATTTGCTCCGCTCCAACTCTCCCATCGCCACCGTAACCTGCGCACGGACGCCCCTTGATGAGACACAAGATCGACGCCCCCCTTTTCAAATCACGTGATCGGACTCGGAGACCCCGCACAGCGGACATTGCATGTCGTCATAGAGGGGCCTGGGTGATAGCAGAACCCAGGGCTGGACCCAGGTCTGAGCAGCAGTGGTGACAAGGCGGGCAGTACCGCTGTGCCGCTGTGCCGTGCTGTGCCGGCAGCCTTGCGGAAAGCGGCACTGCGCACCGCGCGATATCGCCATATTATGGCCATCCTTTAGGTCCTCCCTTGATTTTTACCCTCCCCTTGTCCGCTTGTCCGGAAGACCCGGCAGGTTCAAATTCAGCAGAGGGCGCGCCTCCACTGCGCGTGTATGCAGCCACTGCAGATCCCCAACGCGGAACCTCGCCGCGTCATTCTCACGCAACTTTCTGCCTCTGTGTCTTGGCCTGCCTTCCCTCGCTCCTTATCGTCCTCGGTCTTGTCCTTTCTTGCTCTTTCACACTCACTCTCTTCTTCACTGATCACAACCCTTCCCCCCCAGCTGACCGGCTTCGACATCCAAAATGCGTGTCGCTATCGTCGGCTCTGGCTTTTCTGGTCTCTCGGCTTTATGGGTGAGCTACAAAACGGGTGGAGAATAGCTGATAAGCCAGCTTCTAAAGCAGTACTCGCCGCACGAGGTCAACATCTACGAGCGTGACTGGAGGCCGGGAGGGCAGTTCCAGTGCGCCGAGCTGAGGCGTGAGTCTCTCTCCCCCTGACTGTGCTCGGCATTGCCCGCCGGCTATCCGAACTCGCAACTCGCAGCTAACCTTCAGCCGATGGGAAAGCGCCGTGCTGGGTGGACGTGTGAGTGACGCAGCGTGATGCCTTAGACTGACAATCAGCGGATTCGTGAGTGCACATTGCAAATGCCCCTGACACAGATCTCAGCTCGGATACGACCCCAAGACAGCGCCGAACTTTGACTTCTTCCTCCGCCTGCTCGGCCTCGCGACGCAGACCTCGACCGTCAAGCTGGACGATGCGCTGCGGCGTGCCGGAAGCTTGTGAGTGGCCCCAAGGCAGCTTCGATCGAGTTTTGTAGCTGACTCCAGATCGCATCTCAGCTCGTGGGACTTGGCGTTCGAGGTCGCCCGCTTCACACTGCTTGCGCCGACTGCGCCCGATGTGACGCTGGAGACGTACCTGAAGCAGCAAGGGTACTCCGCGGCCTTCTTCGAGGAGTACCTTCTGGTGAGCTACCGTTGGACTCATACCAGCTAATTCCAGCCGCGCATTGCGCAGAAGTGGATGGTGCCCGACGACCTGACGGCGCTGTCGCTTCCGGTGTCGCAGGTCATCGAGCTGCATGCGCCCACTGAGACGATCGAGGGAGGAGCGTACGTACAGCTAGTTTTCGCAGTGGCCAAGCTGACATTCAGCAAAGCCGTGGTCGACACGATCTGCTCGATCGTCCCGCCGGAGAACCTGCACCTTAACACGGAGATCTCCGCGGTCGAGGCGCTCCCGAATGGCGTCGCGCTCACCGAGTCGGGCGGCAGGAGGCACATCTACGACCATGTCATCCTTGCGTAAGCTGACCGAACACGATTCGAAGCTGACACCAGCGTGCCAGGAGACGTAGCGCTGGCGATGCTCAAGCGCGGTGGACGCGTGACGCCGTACGAGGAGCGGGTGCTGTCGCAGATGGACCACAAGCCGATCAGCGTGGCGCTGCTGCAGGTGAGCTTTGGGAAGATATCTCTGAAGCTGACGCCGCAGTCCACAACTCCTCCTGAGACCGAGCGGAATGGTGAGATTGCCATCCCCCGATTGTATCTGACAACAGGCACTGTCGAATATTCGACGACGTCGGCGCCGCCGTCGTACAACGGCACAGGCCAGTCGCACCAGCAAGTCACCCTGTAAGCTAATTGGTCTTCTTCCGAGCTGACATCAGGAACTACGACATGACCGCCATCGAGCATCTGGACGAGGACGTCGGCCAGGTCAACGTGGTGTACAGTGGCACCGAGCCGGGCGTATACAAGTTCGACTACCGCGTCCCCGTGCCTCGGGTGCAGACACCCGACACGGTCCCGCCTACGGAGGAAGATGAAGACGCAGACCAGAGCGCGCGACACATCTCCCTCCTCCCGAACCGGGGCCAGGTCGAACCCAACCTCGTCGCGTCGTACAATCTCGTCACCTCCCCGCCCTTCGGGGCCAACCAGCCCTGGCCCCTGATCTCTAACCCGCCCAAACCGCCCTCGACGGCGCTCCGCACCACTCGCGCCGCTATGCGCCTCACAGCCTGGGTCAAGGGGTGGATCGCGTACTGGCTCCGATTCCATGTCCGCGGGTGGAATGGCGTGTTTGGGGGGATGTGGCGCGCCGTCGCGCGTGTGTTTGGGCGTACCCAGGCGGCGTAAGAGGTTGTTATGAGTGTCGGAAGCTACGTTTGGAGGGTAAGGGGAGCGTCAGTGTCAGGATGGTTCCTTTACGAGTGAGCTTGGGGAGGACTGTCTGGCGAGTGTGAGGTGGGTATCGTTTCGTTGTTTCGTTGTTTATAGATGCGCATTGACTCTTTCTCGGCATGCAACTTACATTGACTGTGCTGTTGAGCGGAATGGGGCTGAGACGGCCGAAGTCGAGATTCACGTTCGGTTCCCTTCCCAAGGTCCGAACGTCTCATGGTCTGACTAATGTCATTCTCTGACGCCCGCAGGGAGGAACCTCCCAGACAAACGTCGAAACCCTGTCGAAGAAGAGTCTGGCTTGGCGGGGAAAATCGATTGCCTCAACGGTGGCGGAATGCCGCAAATTCATCATTTCCACTTGGTACTTGAACTCGTGTTCAGCAGCGTTCTTGCCAAGATGCTTCCACGCAGACAATATGGACACCATTTGTAGCCCCACAGTGCATGAATGTCTATCGCGCCTGGATAGGGGAGGACGGATCGCAGTTTGTCAGGTATTAGCCTAGCTGCCATGCCAGCCACTAGCTCATGACACACGCAGGCTTCACATGGCTGTAGGCAAACAATGATCTCAACCGTCCCCCTTCAGTGTCGTACAGCACAGTTTCAATTCCATACACCTCCACACTCCCTCCCAAGTCCGATTGTAACATTTCCCCAGTCCTCGGCCACCCCGTCCCCGCCCTCTTAGACAACAACGCTACCCCTCCAGTCAGCACAGACAACGTGTGCGTCTGCTCAACTCGGCCAGAACAACAAGTCGAGGCGAGTATGCTTAGCGACAGACCCAGGACGCCAACTTGGGGCCACCCCCATCCCGTTCCGAACCAGGGATGTCCTGGCTCAGCTGCACCGTCTACTGAATCGCCTCGGCAGCCGGTCGGCGGCGGCTGTGCCGCGGACAGCACCACACCTTCGTCAATCAGTTCTGCTCCCTCTCTGACGCTTACTAACCCCCAGACCGTGCAGCGGTTCAGCGCTACTTTTCCAATCAACCTGCAGGCGTTCACGCAGTCTGTTGCGCAAGTCGCCGCAGCGAACATACTTCTCGTCGACGAGGACGCCGCCGAAAAGCAGTGGCAGGAAGAGTGGGCCGCCCTCCTCCGGCTGCCCGAGACAATCGATCAGGCTGGTGGAGTGGTAAAGTCGCTTGAAGGATGCCTTTGTCGTGTTGTTCGCGAGGGGAACCTGGCCCAAGTGCATGTTTCCAGGAAGCCTGGTCTTCACGCTCTGCAACTGCATCAGACCCTCATCAATGCCACGACCGAGTCCTCGTCTTCGGCGACTTCACGCCGCACTCCCCGTACACAGGGTCAAGCGCGAGCGGACATGGGCCGTCGGGGAGTGCGCAAGCCCGACATGGCCTGGATGGCCAAGGGCCGCGTCACTGGAGGCGCTGGCATAGCCCGACCAGTCTCAGTCTCCGAGACTGGAGAGATCAAGTCTGAGGTAGAGAAGGCCAAAGCGGGCTTCGCCCAGGGTCTGCTCTATGCGGTACTCAGCCACGAGCTGTCGGGAGCGCAGCTCGGCTTCTCGGTGTTCCGGGAGCGTTTTGCTCGGTTTTTCGTTCTGTCCGACCGCCTCGTGGCATGCGACAGGCTACTGAGTCCCGCCTCGAATAGGGCCGCCCCCCACCTGACTTCCTGCGACGCTCTCCTGGACTTCCTCGACGGCCTGACTAACGCCGAATTTGTACGAGCGCTTCCGCTCTCATTGAGACGCGAGCCCGACAGCGACGAGGTCGACCCCGACAGTCTGCAGTATATCGCGCGCTGGGCGGTCGCGGGATACCGGTGCATCCTACGTCTCCCGCAAGAAGGCCCATTCCTTCCTTTCCCACCCAGTCGTTCCGTTGTTGCGATGGAGGCTCAAGCTCGCCTTCAGCTCGACAGCGAAGAGCAGTGCGTCCGCGGACTGAAAGTCGCACGATCAAACATCCGTACCGCCTCCGGCCGGCGCGGGTTTCCTCCCGCTAAGGGCGGCGACCTCCCCAACCCCAGCTCAGACTCTGAAGCGAGCCGTGTCTGTTGCAGGCACTCGAGGTCACAAACGCCACAGGAGCGTCGCCGCAAGTTCTGCAGCCGGCCAGGACCGAGAGGAACCGGGGTCTTCGGGAAAGGTCTCGAACCACGACGACGACTCGGGCTCGCGACAGGCGGCCACAGACAGCTCAGAACCAGGACATGATACCGCCGAGATTGCAGCTCTCGAAGTCCGAATGAGGGAGCTTCCTGCGGTCGAGGAGGAGGACGGCAACGTAGACGGAGACGACGAGAGGGAAGGAGAAGAAGGACCGATGCCGGAGGACGACGACGTCTTCTGGGGCGACGGCGGCAGGAAGAACATCGATGTACCCGACAGGATCCCGATGCCGACGGTTCTGGAAAGTCGTGCGAGCGTGGCCTCTCCCGAATCAGAAGACGACACTCTGTCAGAGAGCGCCGCCCTCGACATGCTCCGCCGCTCGGGTATCCGCGTCATCTTCCTGCATCCTGATGTAATGGATCGCCTCATCGAAGAGGAGAAGGAGGAGGCTACGGCCAAACCGGTGACGGAAGCCACAGTCTCGGCCGTCAGTCACCAGATCACGGTGTAGACCAGTTCGGTCCGTCCTTGGTCGGCGAGGCCGCTCTCCTTTCACGATCGACCCGCTCGGCATCCGGTGGCCAGCTTCGACAGCTGCATCAGCCCATTCCCCATAGACGATAGATCCAAGCCGCGTTACGCCCGTGTAGACCGTCATTGCTAGCTTTGAGATTGCTCGCGCAAATGTTTTGTCCGTTTCGCTCAGAGATGGTCAGTTTCAACACGCAGCAAGCTGGTAATCAACATCACTGGCAGACTGACGGATTCTTGCTCGATGGCCACTGCGGCCGACATGGTGGCTTGACAGGGAGCCTCGTCTTCAGTGAATGAGTAGAGCGTCGAGGTGGTGACAGCGTCAGTACCGTAGGCGCGGAATAAACGTGCCGCCAGTGGTAGTGGAAGTGTCTCTTGCTCATGGATGAAGAACGGATGTCAAGAGCACATCTGCGCGACTGTGATCGAACGCTGCTGTTAGGCAGCCCTTTGCCGACCATCCACGCATCGGGTACGGTCATGTTTCGTTGGACAACAGGTGTTCCCGCATCCCAGCGGCACAGGTAGGAGCGAGTGGAAATGGCAAGCAAGCGAGAGACCACCGAGTGTCCACGACCTGCACTCCAGAGCGAGGGGAAGCCGCCACCAACACCCTTCTCTCCACTTGGCAACGAAGCCCGTCCTCCGTGGCTCCGCACACCATCCCCGCATGCAGTAAGGCTGCACTAGAGTTAAGCAGGACTTGCCCAAAACGACCACCACCTAACCTAACTTTGGACTCCCAGGCCCCGTCATTAACCACAGCCAGGTCAGGTCCCTAGGTCCGAGGCACGAGTCCCTCGCTGACTGTCGATCACTGCGTGCAAGCCGTGGCCGGGCGGTGCACTGGGGAGGAGCGGGGGTGGGTTAGCGCCGTCGGCGTTCGGCGTTGTCACTTCACCACCCCGTGCAACGCTGATCCCCGCTCACCGTTCGCCGCGGGAAGTATCGAGAACGCCTCTCGGCGTTCCTGTCGACCGCCTTCAGGCTACAGATCACACTGTGCCTCTCTAGGACACTGCTCGCCTTCATATCCGCCAAGTTCTACTCCGCATAGGGAAGCTGCTGGATCTAGCAATGTAAATGAAGCAGTGTGCCGAGACAGCGGTCGCATCGAACGATGTGGAAGTGTCAATACCAGAATAAGCAGGAGAGCTTCGATGTGCCATGTGTGCCTCATGACGACGGCACGACGGACATGACGGAGATGCCGGTTTGGGCGACGTGCCTTCATCCTTGCCCGATACTGCTGCTTCCAGCTACTTCTCGGGTGACTCACATTTGCACGACGACGCCTGGCGGCGTGCTGCGCCAGCTTGCCTCTTCTCGCTACGCCCCAATCTCCCAATCTCCCAATCTCCGTCATCTCGTAGCTACATGGCACATATGCACACCGGCGCAGCTGCGCAGCGACCTGGACTTTTCTGCAGCCAGATGGGGAGTCAGCGAGCCAGCATGAACCACGAATGTCCCGAGCCAAGCACTTGCGTGGCATGCGTGGCGCGTGAGATACTAACCACCCTTGCCCCTTGCATCCAATATCCCGGTTCCCACTCCACATTTTTTCGATGCAGTGGCCCATTGATACGGCAGATTATTGCTTGGCACCTTTGTCATGTGGCCCAGCCAAGATTAGATTGCACTTGTCAGCCTGATAAGCCCGTGATGAGCCCCGTGATGTCATCTTGCCGTTCCTCTGGCGCCGTGGTCTGTGGTCTGATCACAGTATGCACCCACTGCAAGTGCGTACTTTTCGGCGTCACAGAGTCCTATGATATTGTCTGCGCAGTCCCCGAGTATTAGATATGACACTGGTGCTTCGGATGGGATCCATTGGTGGAGCGGAAGGTAATGGTGGGTCGTGGACTGCGACACCACGGCGGGTACAGCGGATGCAACTCCTGCATTGCTTGCCTGCAGCATGCAGGTAGTATTCACTAGTGCAACAGCTCGGCGTGGCACTTCTGGCGCTCCCGGCGCTCCTGCTACTGCTGGCACCCCCGAGACTGACGGACATGGCGATCCCAGGGCCTCTGGCGCTTGTGTCGTCCCTATGCACGACCCGCGGCGATGTCAGACACACCCTGCCCTGCCCCGCTGACGGTTGCGCCAGCTACCCCGGTACCCCGGACTGCGACTCCGATACGCTAGGCTATTCTGGGCCAGATCTCGTCGCCGCGCTCGCCGCAAGCTGGCTCCGTCGCTCTACTCCGACACAAGGGCGCCGGTGCCCCTCTTGTGCCCGAATGCGCCGTGCGCACTCGCTCGATCGCATACTAGGTCATTGGTCATTGTCCGTACCCATGGGAAAGCCCTACGAAAATAGAAAAACAGAAAGCAAGATACTAAATGTCCTGAGATGTGATGCTGAGACCTACGTGAGCCTCACTGCTCGCTGAGCCTTGCGTAATGACCGTGTTTGACAGCCGGTTATTGGGATTCTGCATGCGCTTTTTGCTCTTCTTTACGCTTCAAGTTCTTGGAGATGGAGGGGGAATTGCTAGAGCCATGGGGGGTGTCCTGTGGATCCTTTTCCAGTTGTGAGATTCAATTTCAGAGGTATATAGCGTGGTATACAAGGGAGCCCGAGGGGAAGTGTGTGGAACGTTGTGGTGTAGGGGGGAAAGTAGGTGTGTCTGGTACTTGTACTGATACTATAGCTTTAAGTAATGATTGTCCATGCGGGGTGCGTTGCGTGTTGCGGTGCGGTGTAGGTTGCGGGTTGCGGGTGGATGAGTTTGCGGGGAATCGAGGCAGATGAAAAAAAGGGGTGGATGTCACACAGTTCGGTCCGAGATGTACAATTGTCCGTTGGATGCTCTCTTCGTTTAGTACTTGGCAGCAGGGGTGGGGCCCGGAGCAGGGGCGTTGCGGCGCGCAGGAGCGCTGACGGCGCCAGCTCCGCACATGTTGTTTCCGGGCTCCTGCTTGTCGCTCTCGTACGGGCCGGGGTAGACGCAGTTGGCGACCTTGGTGTACGCCTTGCGGTTCTGCTGCTTGTTGAACCAGCCGTCGCCGGCGGCGAACGTCTCGGTGCTCGACGGTTTGGTGACGGAGATACCAGCGAGCGTGACGGGGTCCGCGGTCTGCGTGTACTGCGCGAGGTCGCTCATCTTGTTCTCGGGCACGTTGCTGAGCTTGGCAGGCGGGAAGGCGACCTGGTTGGCAATCTCACCGGCACCGGCACCACCAGTCATCCACGGCTGGAAGCCGGTCGTCGACGTCGAGTAGTCAACACCGCCCAGGTTGGCACAGTTGCCCATGGCCTCGTGCGGGTCGGACGGGATCCAGCCATTCTTGAGACCAAGCTGGTAGTTCCAAAAGGGGTTCGGGGCAGGGTTGGACTTTGTAGGGCCAATCTTCCAGGTCCAGAAGAACCAGTGCTGCAGAGCGTCCATCGACGACATGACGTAAGAGCGGAGGAGCTTCTTCTCCTCGTCAGACCAGGTCGTGTAATCGTTCCAGTGGGCACAGTCGCCAGTCTTGTCGTTCTCGAAGCCGGCATACGTGCCATCGTAACGAGTGCCGAGGTCGACGCCGTTGACCCACTGGCCACAGTCGTTAATGGCGGCGGACCACTCGCCGGCGGTGACGAGACCAACCTTGTTCAGCGTGTCGTTCGTGTCCCTGGCCCAGTTGCAGGGGGTGTACTGCATCGAGGCGAGGTCGCCCTTCATCTGAGGCTGGAAGACGAGGTAAGGGTGCTGGTCCATGGCGAAACGGTCGGCACCGGGCATGAAGTTGTGCCACTCGGGAAGACCGAGGAAAGCGTCGTGGGCCGAAAGGATGGGGCCCTTGCCGGAACCAGTACCGGTGATCGCGCGGATCTCACGGTAGGCCTCAGCGTAGAAGGCGGCGATCGACTCCTTGCCGACAACGGAGCCAATGGGCTCGTTGATGAAGCCAAACATCTGGACGACGGGGGCGTACTCGGGCTGCGAAATGAACTGGGCGAGCGAGCGGATGATGTCAAGGGCGCGCTGGGCGTTGGCGAGACCCATGGCACCGTTCATCCAGCCGACGGGACCAAGACGACCAGAGTGGTTCCATCCGTTCTGCGAGCCGGGAACAGTGTGAAGGTCGAGCTGGATACGGAGTCCGTACTTGCGCGCCCACTGAATGGCCTTAAGGACATAGTTCCAAGCAACGTTGGCGAGGAACGGCTCGTCGTTGTTGTCCCACTTGGAGACGGCCCAGTGGCCGATGGGAAGACGGATCCAGTTGAGACCGGCGGAAGCGATCTCGGCAAAGTCACGCTCAGTGATGAAAGTCTCGTAGTGCTCAGTCATGGCCTCAGTCAGGTTGGCGCCCATGTTGGTCGAGAGCCAGTACTCGTCCTTGGACTTGGAGTCACCGGAACCAAGGTAGTCCTCGTAGAGGCCGGGAACGATGAAGGGCTCGGTGTTGAGCCAACCGCCGAGGTTGACACCCCAGATGCGGCCAGAGTTCATGTCCCAGGTCTCGTTCAGAGGCTGGGTCCAGCTGTTCGGGCGAGCATCGTTGTTGAAGGGGTTCTCGGGGTCCTGGACCCAGTATCCGCCGTGGGGGTTGTCGTAGACCATGGTCGTGCCGTCAGACAGGGTGATGTTGGAGCCCTGGCCGCCCATTGTGGGCTTGGGCTTGGGAGCCTCAGACGTGGCGGAGGGCTTGGCCTGCTCCGACGTCTTGGTAGGCTCCTCCTTGGCGGACTCGCTGGCGGACTTGCCGGCGTTGCTATCGCCGGCGCTGGCGTCGGAGGACGACTTGTTCTTGTCCTTGTCCTTGTTGAGGCCGAGGCCGAGACCAACGCCAAGACCGACACCGATTGCGATCAGGGCGAGGAGCGCCAGGAGGGCCCAAGCCCAGCGTTTGCGGTTACGCTTGCGCTGCACCGTAGACGAGGTCCATGCGGGCGCCTTCTCGTGCTCAGAGGACGGGAGGTGGTGAGAGGGCTGCTCGTGGCCCTGCTCGTCGTGGTCAAAGGGCGACGAATACGAGTTGGCGAGGTTGGACTGGACGCGGGGACGGTGTCCTCCGGGAAGCTAGTGAAACTGTCAGCACTCGTCTCCCTGAGCTATGGCGGTTCAGGCGCTCTACTGGCGGTCTGGAGCATGTTTGGATTAAGCCTAACGCTTTTGGCCTCACGATCCGTAGCTTATCTTGGAACGCGCGAGTCATGCAAGGCCCATGGGCTCCGTGGGGACACTTACGTCGGATCCAGCCATGCCGGCCTCGCCCGCGGCGAGCATGTTGTTGCTGCCCCACGATGACCGGGCCTGGTGGCCGGAGTTGATCGATGGCGCATTCAGCGATCCGTATGTTGAGTCACGGGACATGATGGACGGGGCGGGGTTGGCAAGGCCTTGCGTACCAAGGTAGCCGTCGTTGGGGATCTCGGGGGATGCGGCGAACGAGTCGTGGCTAGAACGGCGGACGCCCATGTCGGCTTCCGGAACACCTCTTCCCGGGTTGGGAACGGAGTGGTAGTCAGCCATAGTGGGCTAACACGGGGAGTCGACGATCGGGGGCAGTGAGCGGCGTGGGAGGGGAGGAGGAGGGGGGAGAAGAAAGAAATACAAGGGCGGAGAGGAGGAGGAGGGGACGTCAAAGAGAGAGAAAGAGACGAAGGAGAGAAAGAGATGAAGGGGGAAAGAGAGCGATGGTGGGAGGGGCAATAATAT